CAACGTACCGGGTAATAATCGCGAACTGCATTTTTGGCAGCATCGTGAATACATGTAGTCATGGCTGCTTCGTCCTCTTTGACGGGGTTGCTTGTTGGCGCGAGGTGCAGCGAAACATTGGATTCGTCTTTGCCCGCCGCCGCCGCCGCCGGGAGCGTCAAAAAGTTGACAAACCGGTCGATCTTGACGCCCGTCCACCTCGCCACCTCCCACAGCCCGACTTGCGCGTTGCCGGCCGCGTCGTCGGCCGTGATTTTCTGCATGTCCTCGTGCACGCGCCGCGCCATTTCCAAAACGTGGTCGTCTCGATGACGTGCTTTGATGCGCAGCGGGACCAGGTTGAGCGTGGGCAGCGTGTCCGGCACGCGGTCGTCGGCGCGGCCGGCCAGGTACACGCCGAGCACAACGTCTTGGCCAGTGTGAGGAAGGGAGAGCGCGTAGGCGGCGAGGACGAGGGACTGCAGGCTGATGCCATTGCGGGCGGCGAGGTCGGTCAGCGCGGATGCGCAGGAAAAGGCGCCTTCTTGAAAGAGCGACGTGCGAGAGCCAGTCATGTCGTTGTCCGGCCTCGAGGCGTCGCTACACCCATCGAGGTATTGGGTCCAGAAAGCTTTGCGAGATGCCATGTGCGCTTCGTCGTGTCGAGCAGTGACCGTGTGTGCCCACTGATGAATCGGCGCCGCATCTCTAGATGCGTCGCCCTTGAGGTGATGGAGCAGGGTATCCGTGATGGCGGGCAGACTGACTCCGTCGTAGAGTGCGTGGTGGATGCGCAGCCGTAGTAGGGTTTCCGGCGATCCAGGTGTCTGGTCAATCTCGATACGAACAAAAGGTTGCACACCGGCATGCGACATGCCAGGCTTGAGTATGACCTGAATAAAAGGCAAATCCTGCTGTCCGGTAGCAAAAAGACATGTGCGCAGCATCGGTAGCTGCTCCACCACTCGCGCCCAAGCATTTCGAACATCCGTGGCGGTGTGTGGCCCCGAAAGCTTATAGGTAAACTCCGGGTAAAAGATGTTGCCATTTGTGTTTTGCCAGATGCTCATCATGTACACCTGCATCGGCAGCGCGGGCAATACGTGCTCGACCTGCCCTTTCAATATGCCCGCTTCGCTCAAGATACCGTCCGCGTCGGCATTCTTTGGCGGCGTCCACGCCTGCCAGCTCAGATTTGTTTGAGGCGGCTCGAAGCTGCCCAACGCGGCTACTTGCTCGGCCATGTGCGCGATGCTGCTGGACCGTACCAGCTGCGTCGGCCGGAGGAAGATGCCCCTCTGCTTGAGAAGAGTCGAGACTTTGATGGCGGTGATGGAGTCGAGACCCAGGTGATACAGCGTGCTGGAAGCATCAATGGCATCCGCGGGGATGTTGGAGACTTGACTCAAGACCTTCCTGATTGCTAGAGACGTAGCGTTCCACTCGTAGGATGTGTACTTGTCAATCTGTGGAATCTCATCGTCATCTTCAGCCAAGGCAATGGGCTGAGATCCACAGATCCGGGTGCCTGCGCGAGAAAAGCTGACCACATCTTCCTCTGCATGCCTCAAAACGTAGTCAAGAGTAGTATGCAGCTCCGCAAGCAACTCCTTTGCATATCTTCCATCGCGGGACTGGCCTTGGCACGCAACCGTCCACTCCAAAACCTCTCCACTGGCCGCCGCTTCCACGCACACGGGATAGTCCACGCCCGACGATCCTTCTACAGATTGAAAAAGCGACCCCGAGCTGCTTTCTGCAGGCGTCTTTTGCAGCAGAAACAAAGAATTGAACAAGTCCTTTCCAGCCGCCTTGGCAGCCGTCGTAGCCTTGCGCAGCGGAACCATTTGATACGACCGCAGCTCGCCAAGATTGTCCTCCATGTAGTGCAGGAACGAGCTGATGGATCCATGCAAGATGCATCGGACGGCGACGGTATTCATCGTGGGAAACAAGAGATCTTCAGCTCCATCAAAGTCGCGTCCCGATAGGATTGAGCCAAAGACGACGTCGAGTGAGCGCGTTGTGCGCGCGAGAATAATGGCCCAGCAGGCTTGGCAGAGCGATTGGAGGCTAATCTTTTGCTCCCGACAGAAGCGGCTTATATCGCTGAGTGTAGTCGAAGAGAATCCCTCTGCTTTTACAACACTGGACGAATCTGGTTCGACTTGGGGAATAATTGTCGGTCGCGCCTTTTCAAGATAATTGGTCCAGAAGCCTTGCGCTTCCGGGGTTAATGAAGCGTTGGACTTGAACAAAAACTGATCTGGTGATGGCCTGCCCACCGATTCACCATAATACAGGGATTTCAGGTCCTGGTGCAACAAGCCCAGAGACCAACCGTCATACAGAGCATGCGAGATGGAGAGCACAAAGAATGTCGTTTCCCCGAGCTGAGCACGTACGACTCGCGCGAGATTTCGTTTGGCTCCGCCTTGACTGGCATGTGCTCTGCTTTGTTCTTGGATGGCTTGCAACTCCTCCAACGAGGTAACAGTCACGTCGGAGATGACGGGAGACGAGTTGTATACGACCTGCGCATAGACTGCCGACGCCTGCGGATCGACGAGTTCCACAAAGCCGGTTCGCAGGATCGGAGTCATGTCAAAGAGCCTGGACCAGGCCGCTTGAAGCTTGTCAACATCAACGCCGGGAGCGACTTTCAGCACTTCATGATTAAAGTACCACGTAAAATCAGATTCAATCATGCCAGACACCATGGCATCTTGAAGTGGCGTTGTAGGGAGAATGTCGTCAGCCTCTGTCATGTCAAACCCAGTCGCCTCGACATAGCGGCGGAGCTTGGATTTGATCTCTCGCAGATTGTCCAATTCGCACGATGCATCGCCGTTTGTCAATCGCATGACTAAACTTGACAGATATGCCATCGACCACCCTTTCATGATTGCCGAGGGACTAATAATCATATGGTGTCTTTTTAGCCGAGCAGAGAACTGGACCGCGTCAATACTGTCCAGGCCAAGCTCAAGCCAGGTAGTCGAGGGCGCAATCTCAGCCTCTGATATGTTGGCTAGAGCTGCAACCTCTCGTCGCAAAACGTCGGCAGCCGGGCCCCATACTTCTTCCACGTTCTCCTTTATAGTCTTTACCTGCTCCGATTTCAATGCATCAACTAAAGCCGTTTCCACTTGAACAGGAATGGCTGCGTCAGTTTCAACGCTCGCGAGCATGTCTTCAAACACATCCAGGATGTTTTTCAGCACTGTTTCACTTGCCAAGTCATTCTTTGCAACCAAAAGGAGCTGCATGGTGTCATCACCGCGCTTTGTGACTTCCAACGCCAAGGAATAGTCGGGATTCAGACCGCCATCCTCAACTATCCATGGCAGATCATCCCGTTGATTCCTCCGATCCTCGATTTGATAGGCAAAGAGGCTTTCAAATAGCGGTTTGCCGTTTGATATCCACTTTTGTAGTTGCTGCAAAGGCACATGAGGGTCCTCGAGGACCGTAGCATTAAAGTCTTGACATCTTTGAAGAAGGGAGTGCCACGTCGGTGCAGACGAAAAATTAGCAAAGAATGGAAGCGTATTGAAGAGTGGTCCGATCGTCTCTTCTACACCTGGCATTGCAATGGATCGACCCGAAATGATGACTCCCGTCGTGGCATTGCCATGGCTGTGCTTCTGAAGAGTCGACACCCAGGCAGCAAGAAGCAAAGACTGCATGGTGACGTTCTTGATCGACCGAAGTGCTTCGAGCTTCGATGCACTTAGAACTCGTGTATGAGATATCGGTCTAACGCTTTTTTCCTCTTTGGGGAGCGCTAGCAAAGACAAAGACCAGCCTTTTAGATGCTCTATCCATGCTTGTTTCGACTCGTCGTGGTTTCTCAGTGGGCCGTGGATGAGGGCATCTGCAAACGATGGGCCTGCTTTGGCTTCGACATTGTTGCAAAGATTTGTAAGCCGGGTCATCATTAAATCGAAGCTTGTGCCATCGTATAATCCATGGAAAATGTGCAACACAATCATGTTGACGTCGGTGTCGGTGACGAAGGTAGCTTTTATTGGCGTGTGCACGCGGTCACTGTTTTCCTTTACCCAGGCGTGCCACAGAGACTCAACAACTTCTTCAATTCTCCCATCTTCAGCGAGAGAGCATTCGTTCCACGGCAGGCTGATGCCCCGGCGGGCGACTTGGACATATCCATCGGGAGTATGCAAAAAGGTTGTCCGAAGAATCGGTTCCTGCTCAAAGAGCTTGTTGAGTGCAGCTCGTACAGACGAGACGACAGCGCCGGGCTTTAAATGAAACTTAAAGACGTTAAAGTATGCTCCTTCCCCATCTTCAACCGCCGTTTTGGCGAGCATCCCCTGTTGCAGGGGCGAGCACGGATAAATGTACTCAATATCCGATGGCGGCGCACCGAGATCTCTGCAAACACGGGCTTTGTACTTGTGTTCAAAGGCCTGGACTCTCTGTCTAGTTCGCTTGACCTCTGCCGATGTATCGTGGGAAGAGGCGGTGGACAGTGCGACAGCAAGATCAGCCACGATGGGGTTGCGAAGGATCAATGCAGGAGAGGCGGCGAACATTCCTTTTTCAACCAGAAAAGCGGACAGCGACAGCGCTGTTATCGAGTCGACGCCAAAGTCAAAAACGCTTGCAGAATCTTCAATGGTAGCGGTATCCAGGTTGCAAAATTGTGCCAGCGAGGAGATGAGCTTCTGGTAGCCTGCGCTATCCTTGGATAGGTCGCGCTTGACAGCAGCGGAGCCGAATTTGATCAAATCTTCTTGCGAGAGCTCGGAGAAGAGTTTCTTGAGCAACTTGGCTTCTGCTTTGTTGTTGGGCGACAAAGGAATATATGGCAGCTTCAAGAAGTAGGACGGAACCATGTAACTCGGGAGTTTGTCCCTGCACATATTTCTCGCGTCCGTGCTGATGCTGCTGTTGTCTGCAAGGACAACCAGAGGTGTGTCAGGAATTTTCTCTTCAACAATAAAAGAAACGAGGACATCCTTTCCGCTTGAGGTATGCTTTGTGACCAGTGTGGTCACGTCATGAATATTCTTGACAGACCGAATGACGTGGTCAATCTCGCCCAGTTCCAGTCTCTGACCACGTAGCTTTACTTGATCATCAGCTCTGCCCAGAAATTCAAAGCATCCATCATGGAGAATGCGAACCAAGTCGCCGGTTCGATAGATTCTTTCGCCAAAAGACTCGAGTGTCGGGAACTTTTCGTCCGTCAGCTGTGGTCGGTTCAGGTAGCCTTTGCCAACTAGCTTGCCGCTGATGCAGAGCTCTCCAACGCCGCCTCGGAGCACTGGAATCTCCGTGTCCTTGTGAAATACGTATGATCCCACGTTGCGGAATTGTCTGCCGATATTGCTAGGGCGGCCGTTTTGCGGTACACGCTGGTAGGTGGTGACACCAATCGTAGCTTCGGTTGGGCCATAGGCGTTGTATATGACGGCCTTGGACCCCCAAGCGTCCAGAATCTCTTGCTTTAACTGTTCTCCACCAGTGATAAAGACGCCGCGACAAAGACCGGGAACCGTCTCGGGATGAGTGAGTCTGGCCAAGCTCGGCGTCAGGTCAATGTGTGTAATGTTGGCGTTGTTGATGAAACCAATCAGGTCGTCGAGGATCAAATCTTTCTTGGCTGAAACAACTGTGATTCCAGCAGACCAGCTCCAGTACTGCTCAAGGACTGAGACGTCAAAGTGCAGTGCCGCAAATTGGAGCCAACGAGAGTCATCAGCCCAGTGGCCATGAAAGAGGTCTTGGAAAGCCATCATGCACTGAACTGTGTTCTCGTGCGTGATTTCGCAACCTTTCGGAGTGCCAGTGGTTCCTGAAGTATATAAACAATAGCAGGTGCTGCTCGGCGTGAGGGTGTTGTTAACCTCACATGGTGTCTCAGCATAATCTGAAAGAAGGGCATTGTCGATTACAATGACTGGGCAAGGCACTTCAAACTCGATGACGTTGTCTTCGCTAGTGAGGAGACAGGGCGCTCGTGAATCCTGCAAAATAAATTGTTTTCGTGCACTGGGTGCGCTAAAGTCTAGAGCAACAAAAGCAGAGCCAGACTTCAGGATACCCAGGATTGCAAAGTACGCTTCGGGGCATTTGTCAAAGTGAATCGCAATGATGCTACCCGCCTCAGTGCGACTCGACAGCATGTTTGCGACCTTGTTGCCAATGGAATTCAACTGAGCAAATGTCCACTGATCGCGAATCGGCTCTTTGCCCCGGAATCCACTGACGTGCTCTAGAGCAATCTTGTCAGGATTGAGCTTTGCCTGAACTTCCACAAATTGGTGCAAAAGTTCAACGGGCGCATTCATGGTAGGTTCGAGCGGTGGAGAAATGGCAAAGATGTCTGGATGATAATTGTGTAGATCATGCTGGTGGCCATCGGGATTCACGAGAAGATCTTCCATGGTGGCGTCAAATTGTCGTAACAGCAATTTTGCTTGGTCAGAGGGCAGAATGTCGCTGAAATAAGTAATTCGCAAGCATATGCTATCGTCATCCCTGGGTTCAACCTCGAGCGACACAGGAAACTCGGCAGCTGCGTCGTCTTGCTTTTGAACCCAAGGCCGATCATTAGCCTCGCTTTCAATCTTCTGGTATGCGACAAGAGTGTCAAAGAGAGCAGTAGCTGGGTAGCCCATTTCCTTCTGGATGCGATTGAGGGGAAGATATTGGTGTTGATAAATGTCAGAAGCTGTGCGCATCATCTGACTTAAGAGGTCCCTGTTCGACCCGAGGTTTTGAGCAACTACTGGCACAGTTGTCAGACAGGGGACTGGTGTACCAAGTGTTGCCTCGCAAGATCTGCCGGAAAATGTGACGCCAAAGATGACGGCTTCCTCTCCGGTATAAGCCGCAAGAAGTCTTGACCATGAGGCCAGGATCGCTGTTTGCACAGAAATCTCCAGGCTCTTTGTCATTTGGTGTAGATCTGGGCTCGTTAATGTAGAGGTCATTTCTTCAATCAGAATCTCTCTGTTTGCTTCTCTGAGCGGCGTAAGAAGTGGGAAGCGGTTGATTGTTGCTTGCTCTCCTAGTTGACGCCAAAACGCGGAAGCTTCTTCCTGCTCACCTGCGGTGCGGTGCAGCACCGCAGAAAGGCCGGTATCGACATCTTCCACGGGTAGGGTCTTGTTGCTATTCAATAGTCTCCCAAAATTGGACAAGAGTTCTTGAAGTGAAGTTGCATCATAGAGCGCGTGGTGGATGATAAGATAAACATTGACTGCACCATTTTTAGTCGTGACGCCCAACCTCCATGGTGGCAAATTCCAGCTTTTCTGTATGCTGTTCGCTTCACTTGCTTTCCAGTCACGGGGTTTGAAACCGCCATTGTCAACATGTATAAATCGTTCGCTCTGCACGCTCTCGTATTGAATCATGGCGTAGGCAGAGTCGGCGTGCCGAACTGATGCAAATCCAGTCCTGAGCATCGCATGGACAGCGACCAACTGCGCCCATTTTTCCGCCACCAACGGAGCAGTAATTTCCTTGTCCATCTCAAGACTGATTTCATTGAGATAATGCACTCCATTGGACGAAACATAGGCGGACAGCATAGCAGACTGCATGGGCGTACAGGGCAGCAAACGGTATCCGTTTCCGGCTATATCCAGCTCTGGACGCACTTGGACATCAAAGGCGGCAAAGTCATGCAGCTCTATCTCTTTCTTAGGTTGATAGCCGTTTTCAAAGATTCTCCTGGCAATTTTCGAGCAATTCTGGCATTCAACAATGTCTGATGCCGAGATAGAGTAGTCCTTCTGGCGCAAGATAGCTGCTACCTGAACAGCATTGATACTGTCAAGGCCGAGCTTGAACAGACTGGTGGTACGGTCGATACGCTGCGTAGGCGTTTGAGAGAGCTCAGATAGAACGGCTCGGACAGCAAGCTCTTCGTCGGTCCAGGAAGAGTCGCTATCCTCCGTCTCATACTGATCTTCACTGTCGTCAAAGAAAAAAGGTTGTCTTAGGTGCACTTGTTCAAGCAACGGCTCAGGAATGCTGCGTCTAGCCAGTACAGCATGTGGCGATTCGAGAATCTGCAGGAGTATGTGCTCGAACAGACTCGCGATTCCTGCGGCCGCGACATGCGGCACCGCAGACATGTCGTAATGTACGTCGAGCACTAGCGTGTTGAGGTTCGGGCAAGGAGTGATTTCGCAGACAAGTGGCAGGTCCATGACTCCCGCGTCTTCTTCTAGCGTCCAAACATTGACATCCATCTCTTGAAGAGGCTGCTGCACGAGAAGAAGACTATCGAAAAGGCTCCTCCTCTCTGTCGCTGCAATCTTTTGAACTTGGCGCAGAGGCGTAAACTGATGTTCCAGCATGCTCGTGTTCAGAGCCAGCAAGCTCTTGGCTAGATCAATATTTGACAGCGTATCTGGCATGTCTTGACGAATAGGCACTGTGTTGAAGCAAGGCGCTACCAGACGTTCGATGCCTTCGAGCCCAATTGTTCGACCATTCATGACATTGCCAAAGCAAACATCACTCTTTTGACTCACTACTGCCAGCAATCTCGCCATAGTAGCCTGACACAGAGCAAGAAGAGAAATGCCGAGAGACTTTATCTGGTGCTGTGTCTTGTGGAGAGACCTCTCAACAGTCAGACTGTGTGTGGCTTGCTGGACCGCCTTTCCGTTGGGCTTCCGAAATAGAACAGAGGGCTGGAAATTGGAGAATTGTTGTTTCCAGAATGTTTGGCTAGTGCTTGGCAGCTTCATAATCTCGCTGATGAATGGGCCTTGAGCCACAGAAGGTCTCAGCTGCTCACCGCGGGCAAGAGATTCGACCTCGCGCCAGAGGCACTCCATTGCAACGCCATCATACAGTGCGTGGTGGCAGATGAAGGAGAGAAACCGAATTTCCCCATATCGAATCAGAGCTAAAGATAGAGGAGGGGTATTTGTCTCCAGAGGTTCCGGCACCAGTGCAAGATGATCGCGGATAGCGTCTTCGAGGGACGGCTGCGTCACGGTAAATTCATGCCACGGCAACTCCCATTTCGCCAGTGACACTTGTGCAATGGGATAGCTCGAGCTATTGGTAGCCATAAAACATGTGCGCAGGATACTGTGGCGCTCGCACATGTGCTGCCAGTAGCCTCTCATCTTATAGGGATCAATATGAAGGCGTAGGAGCGACTTGTTGTAGTAACTCGTCTTTCCGCGAGACACCATGGCTTCTTGGAGTGGAGAGCATGGCAGAATTTCAACAACCTCTTTGTTTTCTTCTGCAAGTACAGCTGTGACAGACTGCTGAAATTCTTGGCTGAAGAAATCGTTTACAATAGCAACGTCGCCGCTTTCATGGCTGGAATGCAGCTTCCTGGCAAGCTGTGCAATGGTAGGATGCTGTAAAATACACGAAATGGATACAGTAGTTCTGAATTCATTCGTTAGGCTTCTTGAAACTTGAATAGCCGAAAGAGAGTCCAGTCCCAGAATTGCGAGCGGCGTCCATCTGCCAATGTCGTTGCGAGAAATTTTGAGCGAGGCTGCTATAAGTGAGGCAATCGCTTGTTCTGTATCGTTCCAGTCTTCGTCATCCTCTTTGACAGAGTTATGCGCAACTGTTTTGAGATAGTCTTTCGACAACTGCGTGAATGTGGTATTGATGGCTCTTTTGTCAACTTTGCCGCTGGAGGTAAGAGGAATGCGCGAAACGGGGATAAGGTACGACGGTACCATGTATGACAGCAGCTTTGCATGCAGCTCTGCAAAGATCTGATGATGCGCAGAGGCATTCGGTTCCAGGATGCGAAAATCTTCCGCGTCCTTGTCTTGGACATAAAATGTCACCAGCCATTCACCCATGGAGTCTATCTGCTTCAGTACCAGTGTCACGGCCGCTGTTGCGGAAGAGACCCGCGACACGATACCGTTGATTTCTGCAGCTTCAATGCGCTGTCCTCGCAACTTTACTTGATCATCGATGCGGCCCAAGATTACTAAAGATCCATCTGGAAGCATACGACCAAAGTCTCCTGACCGATAGAGCCTGCTATATTTTGGGTGCTGGATGAACTTCTCGGCAGTCAGACGTGGCATATTGAGATAGCCAGTCGCAACCTGATCGCCGCCAAAACAGAATTCACCAGCCCAGCCAATGGGGAGAGTTGATAACCCTTTTGGCTGCAGAACTGCAACCGAAGTGTTGTTGAATACCAGCCCAAGATGTTCAATGTAGTCGTCTGAAGACATCTTCTTGACGGAGCAGATATTTGTCGTTTCAGATGGGCCATAGCCTTGCCATAGATACTTGTTCCACCGTTCACTGACAGCATTGGTCATCGGCTCACCAGCAGTTACTAGAAACTCGACGCTTGGTACATTGGAAGGATCGATGAGTGATGCAATGGTTGGTGTGAGGCTCAGGTGAGTGATTTCGAATTGCCGAATGGCCTCCTCGATATCCGCAAACAGAACATCATTCGACGCAGCACACAGACACATGCCTTTATGCCATGCAAAGAATATCTCAAATACCGAGACATCAAAGGCTTGCGAGCAGGCTTGCAGAAAATTTGAAGATGCCTTGGCAGAGTCTGGGTACTCAACTCCGAGATAAGTGACGTTGCTGGCGATATTCTTGTGGCTGACGGTGACACCTTTTGGTGTGCCTGTTGTCCCAGATGTGTAGATGACATAGGCCGTATTGCTACTATTGATGTCGATGGATGGGTTCTCGACGGGATAGTCTTCCATCGACTCCTCGTCGATGAGGATCGTGCGAACAGTAGTTGAAGGAGGAATATTGCTTATCGAATCCTCATCAGCAAGGCAGAGACGGGATCCTGACTGGTTAAAGATTTCCAGTATTCGGGCATTCGGTGTGGAGGGCAGCAGCGGTAGATAGCCGCAACCCGCTTTAATTATACCCAAAATGGTGGTATAGAGGCGAATGGATTTGTTCATGATGATGGGTATGACCTCGCCGGATTGTACTTTCTGACTCAGGAGGAAGTGGGCGATACAATTCGCATTTCGATTGAGGTCTGTGTATGTAATGTTTGTTGCTTCCATAGTAGTAGCCGATGATTGTGTAGCAAAAGAAACAGCCGTGCGATCGCCAAAGCGGGTTGCTGCTCGTTCCACGACGCCAGCAAGGTTATCCGGCTGTGAGTCGCGATCCATCTTTTCCAACTTCATATTGTAAGTCGAAACATCTGTCTCCATCGAGCGCATTGACTCCAGTAGAGAATGTGGGTTCTCAAGGATAGCTGAGGATATCTCGGCGACCTGGCTCAGTATCTTCTCCACCGACTCGGACGAAAAATAGTCATCGTGGAAAGTTGCTTGGAGGACGACAGCGTCCTGAATGGGTTGCACTTCGAGGACTAGTTTAGTTTCTAGCCTGTCAAGATGCGCAATCTCTTGAACGATGCTGCCTGTCTGCTTTCGCTGCTCAAGAGACTCTTGGTAGACAAATAGCACATCGTACAACTGTTCTGCACCATACATGTTGATACTCTTCTTGACGGCAAGTTGCGACAGGGTTGAGTGCTCCATCATGTGACGATTGCTCGACGATATGCTATTGACAAGATCATCGATGGTATTCATGCGCTCCATATTCACACGGAGGGGTAATGAGCTGATGCAAGGCCCCATGATGTTTTCGACGCCTTTTACAGGAATAGTGCGCCCAGAGGTTACAGAGCCTATCACGACGTCCTGTAAGCCAAGGATACCGCCCCAGACCAGCGAAAGAGCTGCCTGAAACGGCACCTGGGCGCTTCCATTGTATGCCTGGTTGGCTGAGCTCGGTAGAGAGTGTCTGTACGTTTTCGACTGAATCGTCCCGCAAGGTACTGCTCGAGGTATAAGTCGGGGAAAGGGGGGCTTGTTCCATCCAAAGAGGTAGTCAGCCCAGAATACCCTGGCTTTTTCGTCATACTGCTCGCGTTTCTGCGACAAGGAGAAAGCAACCATGTCTCGGAATTGATTCCGCGATGGCAGTCCTTCGCTGCCGATAGCTCTTGCAAGATCAGACTTGAAAAGATCAAGAGACCAGCCGTCGTAAATTGCGTGGTGCAGGTGTACCTGCATGTTGTAAGAGTTGCCCTTGGCACCCTTCTTGATGCGAATCTGCAATGGGCGCAGTAGATCTGGATTACTCTTCTTCGGTGGCACCAATTCCATTTCATCAGCTATCCTGACACAATCTGAGTTGATCGCATCAAAAATCACAGAGTAAATTGTGGAGTCGTGTTGCACAAATCCAGTCCGGAGGATCTCGTTTTGCTCAACAATAGCATGAATGGCCCGGCATATGTCCTCGGCAGCGGCTGTCGTGGATAGCTCCAGATCCACCGCATTCCAGTACGCCCCGGGGTTGCGTATTGATTCAGAGAGCATGGCGATTTGGAGATTGGTGCATGGGATAATATCTTGAACGTTGCGATAGGACATCTCGAGCTTGAGTTCTTTGGACTTGAGCTCGGCCAATTTTTCAAGGCAGCTGACAGAGGTCCTAGTTCCCTCGTTGTCTCCATCTGCCTCGTCAATTATCTTTATTGAGGAGACGAGATGTCCGATTGTCTTCATTTTCAGTAGCGACACGGCTCGGACATCATAACCAGCGTCACGCAGGTCGGAAGAGAGTCCGATTGCTGTGAGAGAGTCCAGTCCGGCTCGAGCTAGCTCAGTCTGAAGACTGAGCTGCGATCCGAAACAATCTTGCAGCACCTGTAATAGCTCAGGCTCTGTAGACTTTTTCAAATCGGCGGATTGCCCCTCTTGAGCCTTTGATTGCTCAAATTGCCGTTGTAATTCTTTGGCATTGACTTTGCCGCTAGGTAGTCTTGGCAGCTCCTCCGAGAGCACCACGTCGCCGGGTATCATGAATTGTGGCAGCCATTGACTGCAGCTTTGTAGAATATCAACCTCTGATACGCAGGCATCTACAGCACAGAAAAGCACCAGTATTCCGCCAATCACTCTCGCAGCAGCTCCGTGGCATCCGCTCGTTTTCATGGCCGCATGCTCAATCTCCCCCAGCTCAATGCGCTGGCCGCGGAGCTTGACCTGCCCATCAGATATGCGGCCCAGACATTCGAGCGTGCCATCTTGATTCATCTTTGCTTTGTCGCCAGTACGATACACACGACCGTACGGCGACTCGATGAACGCTTTGTTGGTTTTTAGCTCATCATTGAGGTACCCGGACGCGAGCTGATGACCACCGACCGCAAGTTCGCCAACATCACCTGCGGGTAGTAAGTCAAAGCTTGTTGGATCATAATCGTCAGCTGCTGGCTTGATTATGAAACAAGATACGGTCTCTGGCGGAATGCCAATGTTTCCTGTAGAGTAATTCGACTGAAAGTCACCTTGTAATGTACTATTTGCGTATCAGCATGGCTTTCAAGAGTTATTATCGGCACTTCCTGTACTGACCAGTGAATCGTTGCCTCCGTCGGCCCGTACATTGCCCACAGAATGCTTCCTCTGTCAGTGGTGCCACCAAACTCCTTGACCACCAGCGGGTTCAGCATCTCTCCGATTGTCAGCAAAAGCTTGAGCTGTGGCGCATTTTCTCTCTTTCGCAGCAGGCTCGCCGCCACTGTTGGCGTGAGCTCGCAAGCGTCAACGCTCGCTTGCCGTAGCACAGCGGGGAGATCGTCCAAAGTTTCTTGACGACTGGCACTGATGAGCGTCTCGCCGCGAAAGAGAGGGAAGAAGATTTCAAAGACGGAGACGTCAAATGTAGGCGCTGCGAACTGAAAGAATCTTGAAAAGCGCGGAATGTGAGCATCGTGAGCGAGGAGGGCTTGCGTGGCTGCCGAGTGGGATATTGAGACACCTTTGGGCGTGCCCGTCGACCCCGAAGTGTACATTACGTAGGCATAATTGTGCGGCGTAATCTGCCGTGTCACGGCCTGATGATGCTGAACGATTGCTTCATAGCTGTCGGAGGCGTAAAGAAGCTCAACTCCCGCATCTCGAGGTATCCTGGCGGACAGCTCTGGACTAGTAATGACAACCTTGGCACCGACGTCTTTCAATATAAATTGAACTCTCTCTGCAGGGGCGTCTAAGTTTAGGGGACAAAATGCACCTCCGGCTTTGAGAATAGCTAGCAGCGTGATATATAGATCTGGGCACTGCTGTAAAAGCACGGGGACAATCAGCTGGCCATGGACAGAAACGCATGACTGCGCAATCTGAGATGCCAGGGCATCAGAAGCATCATGAAGCGACTTGTAGGAGAATTTGGTGATTTCACCTTTGCAGAGGTGTTCCAGGGCAATGTGGTCGCAAGCAGGCCGTACGAGCTGGTGCAACAGTGTCGGCCCAGGCAGTATTGTGGGCGACGGGTTGAGGACGGACAGGCCAAGACCTGCGGCGGCGCTATGCATGGTTGCAGCAGGCTATTTTCGTCTGGTGTGGTAATTGATAGTCAACGAGAAGATGGTGCTGCTGGCTCGGACTGCGCACGCTCAAAGCCTGACTTGTATGTTTAAGAATAGCTGGCTTTCATGTGGAGTCGTGGTAAATAGTTCTCTGCGTGCATGACTTGTCACAACGCGCAGCCGGCGCATGCTAGGACGAGGGACCGCGGGAAGCGTGAAAAGTCATAAACAGCCACGTCAATATTGCTCTTTACGACGAGGGTCAGCAAAACAAAATCATGCTATCATCAGCCGTGCAGACGGACGGTACGTTCCGGGCTTCGTTCGATACATCTACCCTTGCAGAAGCTTGGGATCGCAGGGATAGTCTGCGGCGTTGCGTGTGGAGGTATGTAATTCGGACAATCGCGCAGACTCCAGCAAGGGAGACAGATGAATCTCATGAGCCAATGAAAAGGATGGTAAATCAAATATTATTGCGTGATCACAAATCGAAAGCAATCTGTTTGACAGTTGCTGGTCGACAGTGGTCGTGGCCTCTGTGGGGCACTTGCATTGGCGGTGGCCTGTCAGAGCTCAGCAATTATTCAGCGCAGCGTTGTGATTCGATGACGGCGCCCAGATCACGCCGTCAGGAGTATGAATCACTTGAACGGGATGGCTGGCTGCAGCAAGGGCAGTTGTATGCGACCGGCCGTTGGGGGTTTGGTTGCATTAAACAGGTTGCGGGTTAATAAGAATTAGGCTGAAGGATGGAAAATGCGGAGTGTAATGGATTGGTATAGGGTGGGCGGCAGCGCGGTGGCCCAGGCTGTCTCGCGTGGAGCTTCTAAGTTGGCCTAGCACTTGGCTAGCAGATGCGAAATTCACAAGCGTGGCTGGGCAGGGATCCGCCACATGAGCTGTCTGAGATGCAGATCGAGGGCTTGGGCTTGGGTGGTGATGGTTGATGATGGTGGTGGTGGGAGTGAGAAGGGAGCGAGCCCGTGCTATTCCCCTGTGTTTGGTGCAAGAGGGAAAAAAAGGACGGCAGGCCAACGCAATGGGACAGAGAGCTACAGTGTGAACAGACTAACTAACAGTGCACTACGTACGCCTTTTCCCGCCAGGTACAACTTTATTCCCAGACAGCCACCTCCCAACCCACCAAGCACAAGGCGGGTGGCCTTTGTCCATGACGAGGCGATGCGACCAGGGCATACGCTAATAAGGAGTGGCACCGTGCCGTTGCATACATCATACATCATGATACACGCTGCCATTCGTACATACATACAGCTCGTGCGGAGCTATCGGAGAAGCAGCCTAAACGGTCTTCGAGTCTGCGAGTCCTGCGACCGCCACTATCGCAGACTCGCTGCGACAATGACACCACGACGGGATGGTACTCGCGCCCCCCAAATTCTTGCGGGATGTGAGTTTCTGCACAGACGCTGTTGGCAGGTGGGCGTTCACCCACCCACTCGCTTGTTCGAGGATTATAACGCAATCACAGTATATACTCCATCGCCTTGGATACCTAAACACCTCGTCTTGGCCAGCCTGGGCATCCTGGATCCAGCAAGCTGCGAGCCACTAACCAAAAAATAATGGAAGTGGCGCGCCATCGCAGGAGAGGGGTCATGCAGGGAGGGCTTGGGTTAACTGACGACTTCCAAGTCGCAACAACGAAAGAGCAGCAAAGCTGCAAACTAGCCCAAATGCAAGACAAGGTTCCACCGCCCCCCCGGCCCGCGGATTTACGTAGTCTCTGCACGACTTATTAACCAAGCTCGCTTTTGGGCTAGTTGGCTTTACATAGTTTATTAGTCCACCCATCACAAGGCGCCCGCAGCCTAGGCGCGGGCTCAAAATTTACCCCCCTCAAAGATTCACAGGCATCCGTCGGCGCCATGGCATGCCGGGAAGCAGAAGCGGTCACCTTGGTACAGATGACTGTTTGTCTGAGAGGGGAACGACGACTTGGAGGAGGTGCGTGTGGGTCGTGTAGCCGGCAATTGAGCGCAGTGGGTGCACATCAGTCGCTCGGTGTGGAGTATATAAGCTTGCCTCCCATCGCAAGAGAAACCAAGGCCACGGTCCGGCGCTCAAGGAGAAAAAAAAACGAAAATTTTTCACGACGAGGCGGGCAAGGGCCGTGCAGATGAGCGGGTGGTGGGCAGCTTGGGTGTGTGTGCCAGGTCTGGATCTTATCAGATCCTTTTTTTTTTTATCTGATCATCAGATAAAAAATTCGCTCACCCCCCACATAGCGCTGGCGAGAAGAAGACAATGTAAGTTGTTTCGCACCCCTCCCTCGAAAAACGGAAGCCTTGGCTACAGTGTTGGAATTGGCGCTCTTATTTGCTACATTATTGTTTTCTATGGCTTCTTCAGATGCGCGAATCTCTCGGCTTTCTTGATCTGCGACTGCATCTTTCCAAGGTTGGCCAGGTTGCGACAAGCCAAGCACGCTATATGAGGGGGGGGGGCGCACACACGAGGGTTCTTGGTCAGTTCCTGCGCAGTGGGCGCGGATGAACAATTTACCAAGATCCAAAACAAGCCAACCGAAGCGTCATCCTCCCCCCCTCCACTGCTCCCCTGGATGCGTACTCCAATTCGAGCAGCTGAACGGCACAGGCAAATTCCGCCAAGCAGCGCATGTGGATGTTACACTGCATTTAAGCATCCCAGAGGGGCTCCGCTTGCATACTTGCCTGTGCCTTTTTATTCTCTCTTGTTCTTAATGAGACACCGTTCTCCGAGCTCATGCGGAGCGCTGGACTATGTCCGAAGTTGCTGCCAGCTATGCCGGCGGCTCCATTGAACAACCTTGGACAAGGAACTTGCGTCTAGGGTCGTCTCAAAGCAGCCGGCCGGGACGAGACCGCCTCGCCCTGACAGCTGCAGAACTCACTGGTCCAATGTCACCTTATCTGCCAAACCTCTGCGCGGAGATATTTCCTATTAGCCCACGCCAGTAACTATTTAAACGTGGCCGCGTGGGGTTGTTGAATGCCGAACAACGGGGCCACTAATAGCAAGCAACCTTGGGAAACGCTGTCTTTGGCGCCGGCAACTCGTGATTCTCCCTCCCCTACCTAGATGACCTTAGTGCCAGTAGAACGCAATAATAGTTACAAAGCACCGACTAGTTAATCGAGCTCCATCAGGTCCATGAAGGGTCCCCAGTTACGGCTGAAATCGGCAGACACTGCTACGAGCATGGCATGTTGTTGCGCCCATTCTGCCCGACCCGCGACCGGCATTCTCATTGCCAATCAGTGGCGTCTGTCTCCAAGAGATCCCGAAATATATATGTAGACGCTTGCCCCTCCGACCAAGCCATCTTGGACCCCTCCTACATCTTTCCCGCCTCGTCTACCACCACCTCCCACATTCAACATCCACCTCGGCACTAGGCCTCAACTGGACCTTTTCTTGATTCCGTCTTCTCGTGTAAGACTTTCACTTCCTTTTCCTCTGCTTGCTTGTCACTCTCAGCATTGAAACATTGCTAACTCTATCCAAAGACTTTTTTTTATATTCTTAATTTGTTCAGCAATTGTCGTCTTTCAAGTCAGCAGCAAGCCACAATGTCTCCTCATCGAGAAACCACTGGAGACGAGAGCACCACTACCACCGTGCCCCAGAACGGCACTAATGGCGCTGCTGCTCCGGAGCTTGTAGCTGTGCCTACCAACGGCGCCGCGGTCAAGGCCCCCGAGACTCTTGCCGTCCAAAATGGCGCCAATTCGCGCGTCAAGCCCATTCAGCGCTCCTCCCATCTAGTCGCGGCCGATCTCGACGGCGAATTCGACCTCATCTGCGTCGGCTTTGGCCCCGCCAGTCTCTCCGTTGCCATTGCGCTCCACGACACTCTTGCCGCAGGCAAGAAGCTGCGTCCCGATGGATCTTCTCCCAAGGTACTTTTCCTCGAGAAGCAGACTCGCTTTGCTTGGCATGCCGGTATGCTTCTTCCTGGAGCCAAGATGCAGATTTCGTTTATTAAGGATCTGGCCACCCTCCGTGATCCTCGATCACATTTTACTTTCCTCAACTATCTCCACCAACACGATCGCCTGGTCGACTTTACCAACCTCAGCACATTCCTCCCCGCTCGTGTCGAATATGAAGACTACATGAGATGGTGCTCCGCTCACTTTGAGCACCTTGCTCAATACGACCACGAGGTTGTGTCGGTCACACCAGCGGTAAAGAAGGCCGACACCGTCAAGCTTTTTGCCGTCGAGGCCCGAAACAATGTCAATGGACAGGTGCAGACTTTCCGAGGACGAAACATCATGCTGGCCACCGGCGGCAAACCCAGCTTCCCCAAGAGCTTCCCTGTCAAGCACCCCCGCATTCTGCATTCCTCGCAGTATGCGTACATGGTGCCCCAGATTCTTACTGACAAGAATGCCGCCTACAAAGTTGTTGTGGTCGGTGCTGGCCAGAGTGCGGCCGAAATTTTCCACAACATTCAGAACCTATACCCCAACTCGAGTACGCAGCTTGTGATGCGTCAAGAATTCCTGAAACCCAGCGATGACTCGCCCTTGTAAGTACCTCGCCCACCACATTTAAGCAATGTTGTTGTTGCTAATGCATGCATGTCCAGCGTTAATTCCATCTTCAACCCTGAGTACATCGATGCCCTGTTCCCCAAGTCGGCGAAGGGTAGGAGTGAGTTCCTTGTCGACGCTCGTGCGACAAACTATGGTGTTGTGCGACTGGAACTCATTGAAGAGCTCTTTGAGCGCATGTACGCGCAGAAGCGCGTACTTGGCCCGGATGAGCGTACCTGGCCTCATAGAATCATGGGCTGTCGCCAGATCAGCAACATTGAGCCTCACGGAGATCGTCTCGAGGTCAAGATTCACGGCCTTTCGGATGGCGTTGTCAACTCTGCTGATGAAGAGATTCTTTCGGCTGATCTCATAATTGCAGCCACTGGCTACCAGCGTAATGCCCACATTGACATGCTCAAGAGCACTTGGGAGATGCTACCCAAGGCTGTCCCGGGGACTGCCATGTTCAACAAGGGCGTTACAGGATGGAATGTCGACACGGAGCAGGGCGAACGCAAGCTGGCTGTCGGTCGTGACTATCGCGTCCAGTACAAGGCCGGCTCGGTAGCCGGTGACGCCGGCATTTGGCTGCAGGGCTGCTGCGAGGGAACCCACGGAGTAAGTTGAACAGGTCTAATGTTCAGGTGGCGAATAAGAATGCTAATCAAGGACATAGTTGAGCGATACCCTTTTGTCAGTCCTTGCTACGAGGTCCGGCGAAATGGTCCAGTCCATTTTTGGAACTGAGCACTAAGACACTATTATGTCGGCTGGGTAAGAGTGGCGTGGCGTACGAAGCGCGGCGAGAGTGGCCTAACAAGTAGACAGAATCAATTGCTACTTTGGAGGGCTTAGTTTGGAAAAGTAACAGTTCATATTCTTAGCGAAGATGCGTGCGCGTGAGCCGCATCCGATGTTTCTTTTGCTTTGGGCTTTGATATTTGTGTCGGCCTGCCCGTATTTTGCGGTACGAAGGTCATAGAAGGATAAACGCATATCATGCTTAGATTCGATGAATGGATCATGGCAGAATTTTGTCAAATCGAAGTCTGCGTCTCGAATATGTCTTTCTGTTGGGTGATCATTTGTTGAGTAGAGGAGCTGATAGCAGATTTCGAGTTTGACTTTGTGTTGGGTGAGATGTACATCGACTCCATCCCGGACTTGAACTTGTGTTTTTGTTTTGCTGTGTAATTGAGCCAATGAGCCAATGGCACAACTCAGATAAAGCCAAAGCTCGGGCTTGATGATGTTGTTGCGCTTGGTGAATCAAAGATGAAGCTCGGTAACAGGTTCAAGTCCGCAACATGTCCGTTGGCGGTGGTGCGGTGAGCAAGTGTGATGGTTGCTCCGCTTCAATCTGTCTCAGGCTTGGATAGTGGAGGTTGACACAGAAGAACACCATGTGGAATGGACATGCCTCATACGGCGGCTTGAGGGATGTACTGATAAAGCAGCGAGCAGCTGCTGTTTCTGGCAAGGGTCTGGTGCCATTTAAGTGGGCAAAGCTGAGGTGGAGCCCGCCTCGGACCCAAGCAATCAACTCGAGGTCCGAGAAACGGACATCACATTTACTGGTGATAATAGCAAACGAACCTGTAAGAAGGCTCCATAACGGTGGCCGTGGATCATGGCACCTTTTATCACGGCGAACCTGGGAAATATTACGTGCGGAGGAACCCCGCAGAAAACAAGTCCAGACAATGTTGAGATTGTGGCTGTGCAACACAGAGACTGGGCGGTTGGTGCAAGCGCGACTTGTGCGTTGTATGGGCAATTCCTAGTCGTGATGGCCGAGGGCGGCGCAGCGGCGGCGGCGGCGGTGGCGGGCAGCGGTGGCATGCACCATTGTGAAGTGTCCATCTTCTATGGTTGACTGGATGCAGGTCGTTGAGTTAGCACGTCGTGGCCGCGTGGCTTTAAGGGAGAATATGTGCAGGCTGGGCGGCGCCTTGTAGGGCGAGCCGAGCAACGGCAGCACCGGGTCATCTGAGACCGGCAATCAGCTAGCAAGATCGGTCGTGGTGATAAGCCAAGGACGGTATTCGATAAAGGAGATGGAGGCCCCAAGGACGTGTACTCGTACGTAGCCTGTGTCGTGGCCCTGTGACGCGGCATGAGTAGAGACTACGCGGCGAAAGCGTCAAAGCCTGGTCAACTGGTGTCAAGTGCGTGTAGCTGCATGCAGGGCTGTTAAATGGACGGCGAGGTGAGTCACTGGGCGCTAAACATGATAGAGGTCGACTAGAATGCGTGATTGATTGGTGCACTCGGAAAAAGTTGAGGCGGCGAGAGGTTGTATGGAGGAAGAGAAAGAGGAGAAAGAGTGGAAAGTGGAGGCGACATGAATCCTAGGTAGGCAGGTGGTTAACTTGAATCCGTAGATTTGTTAGTGAATTTACAATAAAATGCCTGAGCTGTTAACAGCTCGCTTGTTGGCCGCTTCTCCACTAACAACCCCGCTGAGTTGAAGGCGGGGTCTTTCGGTCGGTCCCAGAGGTCCCAGAGTTCCTGGTGTGCCTGGGTGAGGCCGGGGGGCCAGTTGGTGTTCAAGGACACGCTCTGGGACAGTTTTTAGAAATTAATGCCTGAAGATGGGCTTAGATTTGACTGATTTGACGCCCAATAGGTCATTCAGAAGTGCTACACTACTCGTAGTCATTTGTCACTCGGCAGGCTGGCACAGAGCTTTTGAGCAATTACGAGAATGTACCAATGTCGATCAGCCAGGTACCTACCTCGGTGCGGCGCTGCGCTAGAGACGTTCTTCAGCGGGCTGTCAGCCTGTCACCAGCTAGCCATGGCGCAAACGGTGCGAAGAAAGCAGCACCACAACTTGGGGTATTCAAGTTATCTCAATGACATTAAAAGCCCATCATTCAGGGTGTTCGGCCAGTACAACGGCACCGAGATTCCGCTGTCTCACTCCCGGCTGGCTCCGCGTCACTGGACCGGGGTGGGGGTGACGGAGAGGGCTGGCCGGACCCTCCAGGAGTCGACACCAAGGCTACACTTCAAGTCGGCAAAGAAAAGCTTTGCGAGGGCCAAAAATTCACGGAAAAAAAAACGCCAGAGTATGGATTTATCCCCAAAGTATTTCCTAAATCTCTCTTTATTCTAGATCTCTGCCAGCCGAAGAGTGTGTCCTAGGCACTTGATAGGCGAAGCACTACTAAATTGCCTGCCCTGGCATGCTGCTCTAACTATTTCATCAGCCTGCCTCTTCCAAACTTCTTACTTATCATCATATCAGTACACTAGTAATAACTACTGGTAACGTTGGCCAGTAAAAGTAACCATACGTTTAGCTTATTTCCACATTGGAATTGCACACCCACCAACCGCCTATACGGCGGATCCTTTCATGCCTATGTAGGTTTGTACGTTGGCGCCCTCCTCTGTGCTGAGCCTTGTTACTTGTCTCTCCAAAAAGACGCCATCTTCTTCTCCACGTAGCAGTAGCCAGCCCGTCCTGCAGCCTTCAGCCCTCCTCTCTCCATCTTCTCTTTCCTTTTCTTTTTCTCTCTCCCTCTGCTTTCCCTAGCTTCCCTCAGGCACCTTGTCTCGGCCCAAAGTCTAGTCAGCGCTGCCGTCTCCACTCCATCCGTTCGTTTCCCCAAAAGCTCGTCCCGGATTTTTCGTGTCAACGTCAACACCAGCCTCTTACCATTCGCAATCCTCTTGCGAAACCGAATTCTTCTCCTGCAGATACCTCAGCCCTATCACGCTGATCCTCCCTATTCGACGCGACGCCCACCCCACTGATTGTGCCCGCCGCACGCCCAAAATTGGCTGCCTCACTGCTACTTCTATCCCATCCGCTCGGTCATCCTCGGACCTGGCAGCCCTTACACACTCTCATCAGCGCCAACCTCGCCCCAGGTTGGCTCATGATGGACAGTCTTATCCCCTCAATTCCTTGACAGCATGTATATTGCTTCTGCGCCTTGGTAAACTACCAGCGACATCTCATCCGCTCTCACATCTCGGACCCCGCCGCCGCCGCCGCCACTCCTCCACCTTGAGTACTGCTGCGCTGCCGAAGCTGCTAAACCTCTCTATTTCTCTCTTCCAACGTGACCCTTGAGCCTCTTCCTTGGCTCTTGCATCTTCTTGCCTCCTTTCATCTATGCAGATCGACGGTGAGCGACGGCCCTCTCAGAGGCTGCCCGTCAACCCTCGCCGCCATAAAGTAGCCCCCGAGCAGCGCAAACGCGTCGCCAAAGCGTAAGTCCTTCCGCTCTCAATTGGAATATTCTAGCTCTCTCTTCCGCCGTCAATCTCCTAACGACTTGTCTTCCCTTGGCTACAGATGCAACAGCTGCAATGTTCGTCGCATAAAGTGCTCCGGCGAGAGGCCCTGCGCCTCATGCGCCTCAGCCAATCGCGAGTGCGTATATCCTGCGCCCATAGAAAAAGTCTCCGTCTCCAAATCAGAACTCGACGACCTCAAGAAAAAGGTTGAGCTTTACGAAAAGGCCTTGCAGGATGCCCTCCCAGACCCTGTCAAACGACATGAACTGCTTCAGCATGCTGCTGGCAGCCCGCCGTCGGCCACTTCGCCAATCCACAGCCCATTCTCCGCCAGCAACCATTTTGCCCCGAGTGTCTCCGGCCAGAGCACCCTGATCAAACCCGAGCCAATAGACGACGACCACACGACCGGTCGACTCCTGCATGACGCCGACGGCACCGCCCGTTTCCATGGTGAGACCAGCGGCGCCACCTTCTTGGATCATCTCAAGGAGCTTATTGGTGCCGTCCTGCCCCTCGCACAGCATCAGCAGCCCGCTCCTCACGATGGAAGCGCCTTCTTGTCCTCTCTGGGCAAGTGTCATACCGATGACTCTCGTCCACTCGATGAAAAAGATGTAAATCCGTTATTGCTCCCGCCCCTAGCATCCATGGTCTCCATGCTTTCTGAAGTCAGATTCGTCGTCCAGGACGGCAACGGCTCATGGCCGAGCGGCGGCATCTACTGGTTCGGCGACCTAGCTCAACCGCCACAACCCCCAGTCCTGCCTCCAAATCAAGCCTCTTTCGATCCCGACGCATATCGCTCACTGGCTTTTCCCCATGCTGCATTTGCCGTCGCCGCACATAGCACCTGCCCCTGGCCACCCATAAACGAGTCAGAAGACATCAAATTTAGCGACTCATTCTTCGCGCGAGCCTCTATGCTACTACGGAACCCGCTCGATATTGGGCGTTGTTCCATTCAGGACGTCTCCGCGTTTGCACTCATGGCATATCACCTGGTAGAGGTTTGCAAACGCGACTCTGCCTACATGCACATTGCTGCTGCGTCTCATTTGTGCATCATGCTTGGGGCGCACCGTGGCTGGGTAGATGAGAAAGGCAAGCGCATTTTCTGGACTGTTTACATCTTAGATAGATGGCTCAGCTGTCTTATGGGTCGTCCGCCCGTCATTGCCGACGATGCCATTCGTATCCCTCTTCCCTCTGATGCCGCGTAAGTCACTCACTTGCACACCTGCAAACTCAATGGAACTAACCCAATCTCTTCAGTGGTATGCCGCCAGCAGCCGGCTTACGCGCCCACGTCGAACTCTCACGCATTTCCGGTTACGTCGTTTGCAACACCTATCGCATAGCTCCTTGGGACTCTGTCAACGGCTCCGGCGACTCGTCACAGAGTCCTGGAAAGGTTATGTGGATGCTGGAGCAATGGAAAAGCACTCTGCCCTTGCGCCTGCAACTTTCACCAGACGGTTTGAGCAATGACCCAGCTTGCGTCATGCTGCACATGCGATATAACCAGCTGATTATTGTCGCTACTCGCCCACTTTTCTTCATTGCGGTGAAGAAGTCGGTCGCGGAGCGCCTCATGCCCCAGGGCAGCTCCAAGGAGTACAACATACAGCTCGCTCATCTTAGGATGTGCATCGACGCCGCGAGTAACAACATCAAACTTGCCCGTCACTTCATGACGATCAACCGCCACCCGAAGCCGCTCCACGCTATGCTGCACTATTGTTTCAGCGCATCCGTGTGCCTGATCCTGGAAAGCCTCGTGTACCCGCAGCAAAGCGCCACCCCAGACCAGAACGCCAGCCGCAGCGCCGACATTCAGTTTGCCCTCGACATCCTCCAGGGCTGCGAACGCCTCAAGAGCGATCCGAGCGACAAGTCGTGCACCGAAACGCTGCATGACTTGCAGATGCTGGTAGCCAGACTGACGACGCCCGTCCACCTCGACCCTCAAATTGGCAACCCCCACTTGCAGGCGCTGGGACTTACCAACAGCTTCCCACAGCCGCCGCCGCCGCCGCCGATGCCGATTGAATCGGAGCCTGCTTTGTACAATGAGCTGGTCAATTGGATGGACGACGACTGGTTCATGTACGGCACATACATGGACTAACCTCCGGAAATACTCGTGCAAACGAGAGTGCAATGACGATTTTATATACAAAACTTTGTTCAATATTCTCCTTGATATATACCATACGCATATTTTTCTTCTTCTTTCATTTACACGATTTACAGAAGACGCTACTGAATATATGGAACAGCAACATCACATACGCTGAGGTGGCCGAGAAACGACGTCAGACTTTAACCGCAAGTCTTTTTCTTTTTCGAACCAGCACTTGTTTTTTTTTTTTTTCTCTTCATTTATTTCAATTTTTATTACCTCTTGTCGATTCCCCCTCTAAGCACAACATTCTTATATATGGTTGTGGAGAGCGTTTTGTTTATTGATTGGTTACACACATCCTTGTCTTTTTGGCATGACTGTTGGGGAGAGAAGACGGAGCGAGAGCAGTGGCGCCTTTTCTTTTTTTGGATAATAAGGCTTTTTCCGGGGTACAAGACATCTTTGTTGGTAGTCGTAGAAATAGATGCATTTCATAAAAGCTAACATTCTCCCGAAATCATGTTTCTTGAGAAGACTATGTACATTTATCTGCTTAAATATGAGCCGCCCGAACTATGACGTTTTGCCACGGCCAGCCCGTCCCCATGCCTCGTCTCTTCGTAACTTTGTATTACCCGCAACATGGCTTTATTTTCATCTTCTTTCCTTCGTGTCGTTACTGTCATCAAGCTGCATGTTGTCGGCAATGACATCGGGGGCCCGCACGAGAAACGGCCAACTGGCAACCTCGTCGAGGCTAACCGACATTGGTCACCCTAGGTAGGTAGGCATCAGATCACATAGATTGACGTCCTTCACGCAGAGGGCAGAGCTCAAGCTCGAAAACTGGTCCACTCGTTTGTTCGGGGGCGGCGGGGTATATATATAGTCACGTATTCACCGCATCCTTGCTCTGTGTGCAATTCGTGGTATCCCTCTTCAACTCTCCTCTGCCTGCTTCTTTGCCTCCTCCATTCTCATATCCGCCAGCTGGCCCTGCAGACCCCTCTTATCTACCCTCATCGCCCTGTCAATCTGCATCTCGCCATCCCTCAGCCTCGCCTTGCTCGCCGCAACGTCGCGCTCCCTCTTGCGTCTCTGCTCGTCCACGGCGCGTGTGTGCTCCCGCAGCGCCTTTTCGCGCCTCTCCCTCGCCTTGCTCCGCTCCTTTGCTTCCTCCTCTTCTGCTGCTGAACTACCTTGCTCGCCCTGAGGCGGCGGCGGCAGGCTCTGCACAAACGCCTCAATCAGCGGATCCCGCACACTCGGCGGCAGCGAAATGTACCGCAGGTCGGCGAGGACCGCGCTCGGCAGCCCATTCTTCAACGACGTGTTGTTGAGCTGTGTCGCGGGCTGCGCCTTGAGCAGGGCCGTGAGGTCCGATTTGAGCGTCGCTGACGGCTTTTTCAACCGATTCACGTGCTCGCGATACATCTTCTCTTTTTCCCTGTCCGGCAGCTTCGCATCCCGCATCGCGTCCTCCTTTTTATACTTGCGCTTAAACTCTGGCCAGTACAGCTTCGGCGTGGCCTTTTCCTGCAGCAGCGCCACGTAGGCCACGCGCGGGTCCTTCTTCTCCTGCTGGGCGCGCTGCGCCTTGAGCTGCGCGATGCGCGCGCGCGCCCACTTGTCATGGCACTCCTTGCGAGCCTTGGTTGTGCCGAGCGCCGTGTACCGCGGGTCGTCGACAATCTTACCGTCTTCGAGCAGCTTCTCCCACGCGCTGTACGGGTTGATGTGTAAGTCGTCGAGGAGGTCGATGAAGAGCAGCTCGGCATCTTCCTGAGAGAACGCCAGGCCTGCGGCGCCTTCGGGCCAGTCTTGCATGTTGCCGTCGTCGTATTCGCCAGGTTCCAGCCCGTACTCTTCGCCCATCATTTGTAGTTGCATCGCAATGTCGGCCTCTGTGAACTCGAGCGAGCCAGCATCTTGCTCTACCCCTTCTTCCTCCTCTTGTTCTTGTTCTTCTTGTTCGTCGACATTGGCATCGTCATCAGTCCGTAGTCGTTTTTTAGGATGATTTTCGCTCGCGTCGTCTCCTTCGCCCTCGTCATCTGTCACTTCGACCTCTTCGTATTCCTCGCTATCGCCAGCCCCATCTCCGTCACCTTGAGGTGTGTTTTTGCTACCCGTAGCCTTCTCTTGTATGCGCTTCTTGTCCATTTCGAGGATGGCAGGCATCAGCTTCTCAGGAATGCGCCAGTAGCTTACGTTTTTGGCGGAATTGTATACGAATCGTCGTGAGTATTTGGTGTACACGAGGACCCAAGGTTCATGGCCCGGGATGGAGACCCTTCTCCGCGGCTTGTCTATCGGCTGTGGACGAGGTCGGGCGGCGCCTTTTCCATGGTCCTGGCGCTGCTGTTGCTGCTGATATGGTCCACGATTGTGCTGGGCGAGATATGCATTGGCTACCTTGGGGTCGGAAAGCGAGGGCAACCCAATGAGTGGCGCATATGGATGCTGTTGCGGTATCGGTTCGGGCACAGGAGCGAGTCCTGGACGCTTGTAGGTCGACTCTTTCGTCTCGGCATTGTAGTAATAGGTATGTCCTGTGGGCGCCGTGTGTTCTGTCCAGCCAGGCGGCAGTGGTGCGCTGCTCGCTGCCGCTGCCGCCGACGGCACGTATGTCGATTTAAGCATCGCAAATGAATTTTAAATGATTCCCTTCCCCTGCAGAGCGTGCCCACGTATTTTGCGCAGCCGCCGATGAAACCAAGCGTATCAAGCAACAAGTTGGCGCAAATGGGAGATGCAGATTCATTAGGAAATTGATGCAAGCTTTGGGCGAGTGGGCTTCTGGTGGAGCTATGACAACGGCCGGCAGCAGATCAGCCAGCGACGATGCTCATGGAAACGCCAACAGGTCTGCATATAGCATGATGTCAGCTCATTTTTCGTACATAAAGTAATCAGAAGTAATGTATTTGAACCTGGCCAAGAGGATAGTCTCGATTCATGACATCTGAGCGCATCTTATCATCCCAGCAAAGGCCTGTGGGGGCGGTCCGCACTGTCTTTGCGACAAACGTACCGAACTCTGCGCCCCTAGCTCTATCTTGACACGTCTTTGCGCAAGCACGATACGGACGAGTTGGTCCAGCGACAGAGTGCGAATTCACATGGTGTAAAAGGCAGACTCAAGCTTTGCGGATCTCAAGACAGCCGTTGAGCTCTGGAAGAATGCCTCCACGCAGCACTCCCAGTCCTGTCCGGATCCCGTCGACTCCTTTCGCCAGGCTGTGGATGGTGAGCTGGCCTTGTCACATCACCATGTAGTGCAGACGCTGACAGAACCAATCCACAGACATCGCATGCTCCTGAATATGTTGGATTTTTTCTATTGCTTATTGGTTGGATATGCGTGAGCTGTTCCTCACCTGGTCGCCTCCGACCACGCGACACTAACTCATCCATGCCAGTTGGTCCTGTTCGTCACTCCGTTTCATCGCATGTTCAGTATCGACGACTTGCAAATATCGTTTCCGCACGCAGAACATGAGCGTGTACCTGTTGGTGAGAAGACTCGCTCGACTCTGTAATTTGTGCTGTTTTAACAGGCCGCAGTCATGAACTTTGTATATGCCTTCTTCATCCCGCTCGGGGTGCTCATCTCGTACAACCTCATCATGCGGTCCCCTGCCACAAAGCACGAAGTTACATATCTTTCGTTTCTCATCTCAGTCGCATTGACGCTCTTCTTGACAGACGTCATTAAGAATGCCGTTGGCCGACCGCGACCTGACCTCCTGGATCGTTGTCAACCCAGGGCTGGGACCAAGCCTCACACGCTAGTCAGCATCGACGTCTGCACGACAGGCGATGGTCACAAGCTGCAGGATGGGTGGCGTTCGTTTCCTTCTGGTCATTCGTCCTTTTCCTTCGCGGGACTGGGCTTTGTGAGCCTGTACTTTGCGGGTCAGTTTCAGATTTTTAGGACGGCCACCGGCGGCCGCGATCTCAGCCGTGCGCTCTTTTGCCTAGCGCCGCTGATCGGAGCGGCTCTCATTGCTATTTCTCGATGCGAAGACTATCGCCACGACGTGTACGACGTTTGTGTCGGTTCAACCCTAGGCTTCACCGTTGCCTACTGGAGCTACCGCAGGCACTGGCCTCCGCTGGCCAGCCCTCTTTGCGCGCAGCCATATCCACCACCCGGCACTGATAGTCAAGTTTGGCAACGCGTTCGCGATGAGGAGGCTGGGCCCGAGGGTGCAGGTTTCGAAATGGGCCAATTTAGGGGCAATAATCGGAGCTAGCTCAAAGTCACGATAGATCATTTAGAGACACTTGTGCCATATTTGTTATACATAGTTCAAGAAGGATGCCTTCCTTCATATCTATCAGCCAATCCTCTGCTTACGCATTTATTTCTCCTCGGTCTCCTCGTTCTTGGCGAGATCATGCTCCTTTAGCAGAGCAGTGATCTCGTCTGCACTCCATAATCTGTGGTACACCTTGCCATCCTCGGTCTTGCCTACTGTAGCGAATTCGACTAAAGATATGTTAGCATAAATAGATCCGACAAGCGTTCGAGGTACGCACTCTTTTCACTGCTCAGCTTTGTAGAGTCCATGGTCTTGCTCAGGACCTTGACAGCCATGGCACAAGCCTCCTGCAGTGTGCAGTCTTCTTTATAATCCTGCTTCAGCAGGCTCTGGGCGCTGGCATTGTTGGCTCCGGCGCTGGTGGCCTTCCAGCCACCGTAATTTCCTGAAGGGTTGCTGAGATACAACTGAAATTCTCTGCGGGGGTCCCAACCGGCGTAGATGAAGGAAACACCGAAAGGTCGGAGACCACCGTGTTGAGTGTAGCCCTGCTTGAGATCGCAAAGTCGACGCACGAGCTGTTCGCAGGGGATGTCTTCGTTGTAAGTGAGGAGATATCGCTGGGCGGCTTGGCGTGCGTAGTTGATGAGGATGTTGGCATCGGCAGTCATGCCGGCGACGGCGCAAATCATGTTACTGCAAACGAAGGTTAGAGGCGGACCGTTTGCAGAGCACAAGCTCAGCGTTTTATTGCATACTCATTGAGGACGTAGAGCTTCTCGGCCGAGGTGTCCTGCTCGAGAAGCTTGGATGTGACCTTGCGCTCAGCAGCAAGAACGATGCCGTCCTTGGCGAGGATACCAATGGCGGTACCAGCATGAGAGATGGCCTCGAGCGCATATTCAACTTGGTAAAGTCGACCCTCGGGTGAGAAAATAGTTGTCTAATGAACAATGGTTAGGCTGGAGAGCTTTGATGTAGCTGTGAGGGCGAGGAGTGGCATACTCTCGAATCGTAGCGACGAGACATGATGACGATATCGCAGGCGCGCAGAGACTACGAATGGGTATATGTGGTTGTGAATCGCGGAGTTGGCACTGGAGCCGGAACAATGCCGTTGGTGATGGTGACAGTGCAGAAGGCCGATCGGTAGGCCTTGAAGCTCGGGATGATGGGACGCTGGTTCCAAGCTCCAGGCACGGCCGCCGCGTAGCTCACTGTGAGGCGCCTTGCTGGCTGGGAAAGGTAGCTTGGGTGCGAGATGAATAGCCGATGATTTGCCACGGTTAGTCAGCGTTGGTAGCTGGCTGCAGACAGATTGACACAACACAAACAGAAACGACCGCCACACACATTCAGGAAATCTAGCCTGATCTGTTAGGCAACAGAAGTTTCCAGCAGCGCCGCCACTTGCCGCGCCAGTCTTTCGCGTCACACCCCGTTGTTTGGCTGACTGCTGGCGTGCCAGCTGCCAAACCCGACACCTTGGACGTATGTAATTCGCTGGTGCCTCCACCCAAAAGTTGACTTTTGTATCTTGCCCTGCTCGATTTCATATCCCCCCCCTCCAGGAGACAGACACCGTTTTTCTCCTCGCCACCTCCATCACCATCTGCCTGATCATCAAATATCACGGCATCTTCATCACTGACCTTTCGTCCTTCTTTCTATTTCTCCCAATACTTCTTTATCCTTTATCCTCTGACTCCTCTCCCTCAGCTTTACTCCCCAAAAGTGGGCTTGCGACTGCTGCGTGACCATCTCCAAGTCTAATAATTGCTCAGACAAAAGCCAGTCTCTCCCAACCCACACCAGAAAATCCAAAGGGGAGCTACTGCAAATAGCTGCGCGCCCGTCTCAAACGCGACCTTTGACGTTTCTGCGCCAGGCTACGCGATTCATCTTCGCTACTGCAAGACCAAGATAGACAGGCACTGTTACACTTCGTGGCGCGGGAAAATTTCGCGTTTAGTTCTGCTTAAAGTCCTGCCTGCTCCGTAAATCGCCCATTGCCTGTTGGACCAGGCACATAAACAGTAGACAAGCATCGCAGGCAAGCGCCTTGCAAACGCGTATATCGCTGCGTTGGCCGAGTAGCCATGTCCGGTAAGCCATAAACCTTTCCACTTATCCGTCGCTCTGCGCCACGCGGTGCGCCGAGATGGCACGCGACGCTGGCGTCTCGCGACATCATGCACCCGGTGCAGCTCTTCTTGCAGCTCATGCTAATTGTGTCGCGACAGGTGAAACCGAACCAAGGCGCTCTGTGCGCGCGACCAAGGGCCAGCACACAAAGTCTTTTGACGAACTCGAGCAGCCCGTTGTACCGAAGCGACGCCAAACGAAAAAGTCGAGGAAGGTACAGGACGAGGAGGAGCAGTCTCAGGAGCCCGAGGAGATTATTCGATGCGTCTGTGGTGCTACGGAGCAAGATGAAGACTCAGGTGAGGCCTGGATCTCGTGCGAGACGTGCTACGCATGGCAGCATAATGTCTGCGTTGGCGTGAGCTCATACGAGGACGAGATTCCGGAGTACTACTGGTGTGAGCAGTGCCGCCCGCAAGATCACAAAGAGCTGCTAGATGGCATTGCCAAAGGAGAGCAGCCATGGATTGCGAGGCGCAAGGCTCACGAGGAAGAGGTGGCAAGCAAAAAGAAGAGGGGCGGTAGGAAGCCAAAAGGCAAACGTGCAAGTGATCCAAAGGACGAGATCGAAAAAGACAGCCGTGTCAAGGCCAAAGCATCACCTGCACCAGACACTTCTGCAAAGGACAGACGCGAATCTGGCGGTCGGCCGGGCAAACGAAAGTCGCGCGACGACTCCCAGGACAGCGATCCTAAGGTATGCAGTGCAAAATTTTCACTTGATCTAAGCTGCCTGCTAACTAAACCACAGAACGTCAAATTGCGGCGTGTCTCAGCAAACGACTCAACCGCCAGCGGCGTCCAATACACACCGCCGGCCGACCTTGCCACAGGTATATCCAACTTGCCAACTACGAGGGCGGGTCCCGCCAAGGCCCTCAAGAAGTCAATATTGCACGTCCTGTCATCAATGGAGAAGAACAATACTGTGAAGATTCCCAAAGACAGCTCCGCGGAAAGCATGTCAGAGACATATGCTCTCCAGATCGAGCGCGCCGTCTTCGACACGCACCCAGCCAGCAAGGGCCAAAAAGAGTACATTCAGCAGATAAAGTCGCTGACATTTAATCTGAAGCACAACTCAGAGCTCGTTGATGGGTTGCTTCAAAAGGCCCATTCTCCCGCAGCGCTAGCCGTCATGACATCGGAGCAGCTCGCATCTGCGGAACTGCAAAAACGACTGCGGAAATGAAGGCCAAGGCAGAGAAGCAATCTATTCTCTACACCGGGGACACGGGACCCCGCGTTCGAAGAACGCACAAGGGCGAGGAAGTCGTGGAAGATGAGAGTATGGCGAACACGAACGACCTCCCAATTCCTCGTGGAGGAGGTGCTCGACGCGGTGCCAACACCGACGCGAGCCAACCAATCAAGCGGGAGTCGATGAGTACCGACTACGACATGGCTCAGTCGCCCAAGCAACATGATGATCAGCGCTCGCCCAGCCAGTCCAAGTTTGATATTTCCGAGGTCTTTTCCCAGGTCAAATCGCCAACTGAAGCCCAGCGCCGGCGACCATCCGCGCCTGCCCTCAACACATCTGGCCCCGGTTTTGACCCCGACGTTGACCGCCTGCTGGAGGACGAGAACGACTCGCCACCTTATTCGCCCACCGAAGACTCGACGGACCCTGACATTGTCTGGAGAGGATCTCTAGCTATGAGCTCCATTGCAGACTTCCAGGCTACCGGAAAGCACGTCGGCGGCGCCAACTTTGCCACCTTGGGGCACTGGTCCAAGCTCATTCCGAAACGGATGACTGTTGCTGGCCGAATTACGGAGCAGAGTGCCATCGAATATCTATGCAGCCTTCGCTATAGCAATCTGACTGACATAGTCGTTGTCGGTCTTACGCCAAGCTCACCAGAAGCGCAGCCAGAATACAACGCTCTGGTGGACTATTTTATTAGCAAGAAGCGGTATGGTGTCGTCGGTAATAAGGCTGCAGGCAACGTGCGCGATACCTATCTTGTGCCTGTCCCTGCTGGCGAGAACAACCATCCGGAATTCATGTTGAACCTGGTTGATAACTTTATCCCCAAGGTACGAACGGAACCTATGCTGTTGGCAGTCTTTGTCTACCGCAACGAGCCCTCCGAGACCCTTCAACCAAAAAATGAAACCACATCGTCTCCCTCCACACCCGCGGTAGCCAATGCACCAAACGCAGAGGGATACGCGCAGCGAAGCAACTCGATTCCCGGCCCTGCATTCTCTCCCGCCACGCCGCAGGGTGGCTTCGTAGGCTCTCCTTCCAACGGGCACACGCCCGGACCGCTAGCCACGCCGATTCCGTCGCACCTCGCGCATGGTGCTCTGCCTCCGGCGCCGACGCCCCCCAACGCGTCGAACCTGACCAGCCCCCCGCCGCCATTTGCCCAGATGACGGAGGCGCAAAAGATGCAGGCGCAGCAGGCCGGCCAGCACACTGCGCACGAGGTCCTGGGGCCCTTTGTCAAGGTGCCCACCGTGCAGTTTCTGCTTCCCCAAGCACACCAAATGTCCCGCCGCGAGTGGGAGATTATCAAGTCGATATACGAGCGGGAGCCCAAGGCGCGCGATGATTTGCAGTACCTGAGTGTGCTGTTGGAGAAGGAAGGCGGGCCTAACAAGCCATGAGCTGGCTTTTAGCGACGTGGTTCACATCAATGTTGATGCTATATTGTGATGGATTTTCGTGTCAGGGTATATAAGTCTTACAGTTATGTGCCATCAATTGCTGCGCTGGGGTTCCAATGGTCAAATCTTTTACAGCTATTTTGTCGGTCGTTCACGAACATCTTTTGGCGCTAGCGAGGAAGGGTGGTAGAGGGATATGGCAAGAGTTTATATTTCAAAAAGAATAATAATTCCATACTATTTGGAGACGTTGACAAGATGCAGCTCACGTGTTGATACTTTGACGAATGTGAGATACACCATCGTAGCTGTGGATGTTCGATTAAGATGGGGGATAAACAAAAATTGCATTAATTTGATGTGTATTCTCTGTACACCACTCCCTCTTTTGGGCTTTGTAACTACTGGCCCTGGGTATTTCTCTAACCTCATCGCGGTGGCTAGCATTCTGCCAATCGTAGCACCGAAATATATGCTAATGATTAGGTATTCATACGTCCATGACCTCGCGTGCTCGGCCCTGTTCGTGGTCGTGCCACTTGCGCGGTCACATAGCACTCCAAGTGGCGTGGTTACAATCCACACCCAATCAAACGGGTGAGAATCTTGGCAGAAGCACGCATCATTACGGTGGTACCAGTATCACGCTGCCGTTGCAGCGAGCTGGGAGCTGCTGCGCTCGGTCGCACCGTAGCAAGAAGCGAACTTTTGTATCTCTGTGGTTTCTTGTCCTGTCAACTCCAGCAAGTCTCACTCAGGAGAACAAGTCATCCACAGATGCCCAGATTTGCCTTTCCCTCTCCCAGTCGACATCCACACCTTTTGCCGCCGCCGCCGCCGCCGCCGCTGCTGCTGCTGCTGCTGCTGTTGCATCGCCGTCGCTCTTCATCTCCTTCTCCGCCGTCTGCTGCGCGCCGGCTCCCGCCACGCCCGCACCCGCGCCCGCGGTGTCGCCGCCCAGACTCAGACTGCCCAGGCCCTCGAGCAGCCGCCTCGCCTTGTCGACCTGCGTGCGAATCGCGAGCGTCTCGGTGCGTGTGCGGTCGAGGTGGTCCTGCATCATCTCAATCGCCGACTCGCGGGCCTGGTGCGGACGGTACTCGTTGAGGATGTGGTGCACGTTGATGAAGAGCGTGCGCAGGTCCTGCACTTTGGCCTCGGCGTGCCAGGGGCTCCGCGACAGCGCGCCCGTCAGCTCGAGAAAGTTGAGCAGCAGCGACTTGGCCAGCCGCTTGAGCTCAAACGCGCGGTCGTAGTGCTTGGCGTCGCGCGCGCTCGACTGCCCGGACGCGGGGAGGTTGGTGGTGCCCTGCTCTTCGAGCGTCGGGAGCTGGTCGTCGAGCTGTTGGAAAAATATGAGAGACACAGGCGCGGGTTAGCGACGGGGGATGCGGCGCGGAGGATTCGTTTGCGATTGTTTCATACCATGTACTGATCGCCGAATACGCGCCATCGGCCGTCGGCAGGCTCCTCAGGCGGTTGCAGGTGCATCAACTCCTCTGGGAGGTTCGGTATCCTGCTTTGCGGCTTGTAGTTTTCGTCAGTGGCCGTCTTTTCGGCCTCGCCCTCATCGTACTCGTTGCGTAGCTGCTCATAGCGAGCTACCTTGTCGGCCGTAAAGTCTCTCCAAAACGGCGGCGGGTTGGGAAACGTCGACGACAATGAGGCGCCATCTTGTTCCTCCATAGTGGTCGTTATGTTGTTGGTGAATATATGGTCCGCATCGCCATCTGACTCTGACACAAGTTCGTCGTAGCCAGGACCCAGGTTAACGAATGGGGGGATTGGGCTGTCTGGGTCTTGCGAGCCTGGAGACGGCGTGAGATAACCGCCGGGTAAATTGCGGCGGTGAGAGCCCTCCATCCTTGCAAGTAACTAATAATGATCCAACCTCTTTACTTTTCGGCACCTGAACCGACAAGATTTTGTAAATGTTTTAAATTCGGCTTTGCCATTGTGCTTTTATACTTCTTTTTTCCCTTCCTTCATTTTGGTTGAGAAACCCAAAACGCGGGTCGAGGTTGCAAATGCTTCGCATACTTGGGTGTACCAATCCATGCATTAGTGGCGGCACAGACGAAGCTCCACGGCTGTGTGCTCCTCGCCAGCTCTTCTCATCTCCAACCAAATCACGATTTAGAATGGCCGACGTGCGAGCGCTGCTACGCCAGCAGCGGCTTTCCCGTCGCATCAACCACCCGCACGCCGCGTACTCTGACGCAGGCAAGCTGCTGTGTACCCTGTGTCGCGAGCAAATACGAGCTGAGAGCCATTGGGAGTCGCACACCAGGAGCACAAGTCATCAGCGACGGGTCGTCGCCGCCGCCGCCGCCACTACTACTACTACTACTACTAACACCACCACCACCACCACCACCACCGCAGCCAGTGCAGAGCCAGCTCCCTCGGAGGCCGAAGAGCCTGTGACGGAGAAGCTGCAAGTAACACAAACACACGACGCCACCGTTACCCAAGGCCCAGAGGAGCAGGAGCACGTGGCCGAAGACGAGGACGAGGACGAGAAGAAGAACAACATGTCCACAGTCAACGATGGCACAGAAACGCGGACCCAATCACACAAACGAAAAATTAGCGACGAAGACGACGACGTTGACGCCATGGATCTAGACGAGGCAGCTCGAAGAAAACGCAGCCGCGGCGACATCTCCATCGACGTCTCCGCCGCCAACCACCGCCGGGACAGCAGCAGCGCCGCAAGCAAGGACAAGGACGCAGGCACCACAACAACAAATTCCCCCGCCCGCCGGGACTCCAACCGCACGACGCCGCCGACGCTGGCGCGACGCATGTCCTCGACGCCGTCACGCGGCGTCGAGCTGCGGATACCCTCGCGGCCCGCCACACCCGCCCACCGCGAATCCTCCTCGTCCACTCCGGGCGGCGGTTTGCCGACTCTTACCGGTCTCTCCGCCGTCACGCCCTCATCCGCCGCCACTAACGGGAGCGCCATCGCCGCGGAAAAGCTGCCCCGCGGCGGCGGCAGCAGCAGCAACAGCGACGTCGTGGGGGCTCAGGGGGTCGACGAGGACGAGTGGGCCGCATTTGAGGCGGAAATGGCCGCCGCCACGGCTCCCTATGCCGACGACGCCGTCATCTCAGCTCCCGCCATGGACGCCGAAGCTTCTGCCGCTGCCGCTGCCGCTGCCGCCGCCAAGGATCTAGCCAATGGCGGCGACGGCGGCGCTACCCGCAAAAGCCGCGCCGATCTCGACATTGAGGGCGAGCGCGAGGATGCGGCGCGCGCGAGAGAGGACGAGTTCAACGATATGCAGGAGCTCGAGGCGCGTGTGCGACGCCTCAAGGAGAAGCGCGAGGAGCTGCGCAAGCGGGCGTCGAGCGTCGGCCAGAACAATGATGGCCCGGCAAGGCTGCAGAGTCAGTTGCCAGACGGGGGCAGCGGCAAGAGTCCCGCTGCGGAAGAAGGAGCTGAGAAAAATGCAGAGGAGGATGAGGATGAAGAGGACGACGACGATGACGACGACGACGACGACTGGGACGGCTTCAGATTCCGCAAGTAACGGAGTTTACATATCGTCCTTCTAAGTGGCTGCTGGCTGGTATCTGTAAAAAGGCTGACTGCCAAAAACGGGGGTAGATTTTGTCGCACATTATGGCGTTTTGATTTGATATCAGCAATTGGGATACATAGCAACAAGGGCGAGATACTGTACTGTACAAAAGGAGGGGCAGTTTAACTCTCCGTGTATATAATAGATACTAAAGGCAAACTCGCATGCAGACCGTTAATCATTCAGGCATGACGTCGCATATTCGTGTTCCCATTATAACCCTTCGCTTCAGACCCCCGTTGGTAGGCCAGCTATCCGCGCCCAGGTGTGCATAAAGGGCGTCCAAAAGAACAGAAAAACCCCAGCATTGCTGCCTAACGTATGGCTAGATGATGCTCTCCACGACCGACCTGCTCCCAAAATCGAGTAAGTCGCCATACCCGGCCTACGCCACGTACTTCATCATGGTGGCGAACCATTTCTTCTCGCTCTTGTACCTCCCCGCGCCACTTGGCAGCAATCCACCGCCTCAGACCATCCTTGACTCTTTCCTTTTCAATAGCCTTGCGCTTAGCAACCAGACCAGGGACAACGTGTACAGTAGCCATGCCGGGGACGCATTCCGGGGGTAGCACTGCACGCTCAACTAGGGCCTCTGGGGAGGGGCGAGCGGCTAGACGACGGGACAAGCGGATGGATACAAGAGACCGAGCAAGTCTTCGAGACACAACTGATGTGTGCGTGAGGAAGATGGAGCGTGTGATCAGATCTGCTAGGGAAAGTCGGTTGTGCATAGCTAGTAAAGGAGGGAGGGTGAGCCGAGTGCGTCTGAGGCGGTATTGATGGAGTATTGGATCCGCACAGAGAGAGCGCAAGTAGTGGCATGCCTGCAGCCGTGCGGCCGAGTCAGCAACGTGTATCTGCATATATTCGTGGTGAAGGTGTGTGTGGCGCATGGCGAGGAGGTCTCAATTCGACTGAAATGGAATCAAGGACATTGGGCTGCGTGGGTTCTTGGGCGCGCCGTGGAGAAGTGCGTTTAGTACTCACACGAGAGATAGGCAGCAGATCGCACACGTCAAGATAGCCCAAGATATGGAGTAAAATCTCGGGTGGCAGTGCCTTTAGCGAGGGGTCATGAACTGGATGACCCAGGTTGCATGATAGAAACACCGGGGTGTAAGTCAAGCCGCGGGGTCCAAACGTACTACCCAAGGCGTTTGAGCAGCCTTCATGGGCTGGCAAGGGAGGTTGGGCATCAGACGAGCGACAAGTACCTGGCGTTGTCGGCATCCAAGTCCCTGTCGCAACGACATCATCGTGAGGCGCATGCTCTGGCGGCGGTCCAGACGTGGCCGTGGGGGCGCGAGGGCGACGGCAATTAGAAACAGCCGGTCTGCGGGGCTGGACTATGAGTTGTCCATCGCTTAAGGCGGGCGGATGAGGAGAAGAAGGTGATACTGCTGGTCGACTGTCGGAATCCATGGCAATGGATGGCTGCACGCTGCGACTAGTTGCGGTTTTCACGTAAGCCGATGCTGGTGAGGCCCGATGCAGCGGCCGAGTGGGAACTTGGCGTTTTGGAGATGCAATCGCTGTCGTTTTGCTTCTTGCGCCAACGGTCCTGTTCGGGACAGCCTTGGTGTTGTTGTCTTCCAGACTAGGCCAAGGCAAGTCGATTGGATGGCCACAATAAGGCGGTCGTCGTATGAGGTCGCGCGTCCGTGCTGGGTTTACGCAACCGTTCGGGCGGCCATACTTTGGTGGGACTGCGGCCGCCACAAACACCCGCCTGGCGGAGGGCTTGACCAAGAGAGATGGAACAAAGAAAAGATGCTGTAGGTCGAGATGCGTCGAGCAGTATGCAGCTGCAATGGCTTCGCAGGTGGGCAAAGAGAAAAGTAGTCGACGTGGGCAAGCACAAGCAAGATGCTCGCTGAATCGGGCCCCAGGTTTCACAGCACAAGGCTCAAGCAGGGTGATGCAAGACGCACGTCCGAGGGTGGGTCGCCCGATATGCTGAAACAGGGTGTTTGTCAGGCGCGAACTTGGAGAATGCTGGGAGCGGTCCTTTTGATAGGCTGGTGAGGATTAAAGCCGGGATGATGAAGGGTTCATCATGGAGGCGAAGGAATGTAGTTGTAGAAACAGGACGAGCAAACGGCCCGGCATGTCGTTCGTTTGCCCTCGCAGCTAGCAGCCGGCAGCTGGCAAGCCAACACGGAAGCCGCCGGCTAGTCCCAGGCAGTCATCTTTGCGGTGACAAGGTGGGTGGTACCTGCGTCTTTGCTGCGCTGCACCGCAAAACTACAAGTCACTTGTGGAGAGTACATCAGGCAACCCGTATTCTGAGGCCCTGCAGCTAAAGACAAGGAATCTATGAGCAAGGAAATCTGGCATCGTGCGGGGAGCAGAGCCTTTCAGTCACCAGCATGAAGCCAAATGGCGGGCCTGCGATATACGACGCTAAGCGCTAATGGGGTGCAACCCATGACAGCGATCGGCCAGGCGCACGACGACTACCTACCCGGTACTAGATGGTAAAATTGACAAGGCGGGTATCTGTAGCGCGAGGCCATCTGGGAAAAAAAGCGAGGTTTGGCTATGGCGTGTGATGCTTCGATACGGTTTTGAGGAAGTGCTTGTGATGGTATTGGCATTGGCGGTGAGTGGCCACTTCCAGGCAAGTCGAAGGTGGCCTTAGATCGTATGTCCGAATGGCAGCACTGTGAGCCCGAAGAGTGTACCGAAGCATTAGGGCCTGTAGAAGATGGCCTAGAAAAGAGAGGGAGTGGGTAATCCGTCAAACACAAAAGTATTATTGTTGAGTTGAATTTCCCTCAACTATGCTCAGGTTAATATTAGTCTTACTGCTGTGGCTGATACTCAGTCTTCAAATCACAGCCGGGACACGGGCGAATCGTCACAACCCAACCAACTTACTATTAGAAAAAAAAGTAGCATTCTAGAAGCGTAGCTAGCAGGTCTGTAACGTACTCACTTTGAAAATCGTTCCCTCTCGTCTTTCACTTGCTAAACGCTCTTACACCTCATCTCACGCAGCCACATGCACACCCCACAGTGAAAGTGCTTGCATGGCGGTGGGCTACCCCAAAAGGCATTGCTGCGAAAGTACAAGAAACGTGCCATCGAGCATGTCAACCAGATATTGCACAGCACACCTATGCCCCCATACTTGGTGCAGCATCGGGCGCCCCTTGGGCTTCGACACTGCAGACTCGTAAGCTCTCTTGACCGCAACTTACAATAACAAACAACAAGGCTAGAAGAGGCTGAAGGAAACTCCCACAGTTTCCTAGCCTCGTGTCTTTGAGAATTAGCTTGACGCCTTGTCTCAACTCTTTCCGAACAAAAAGATGTGCCTTCTTGGTCCGCGGCCACCGCCTCTGGCCTATTTGCGCGACCCTCAGGAACTCACAGCCTAACCAAGGAACACCCCTCCACGTCGCCTTCTTGGCCGCTTGCCATGCGGCCATCCCCTACCTTGTCACAGTTCCAGATTATTGCCGGCTAATGATATCATTGACACCTTACGGATACCATGATCCGCTTTGCGAGACTTGCTGACGACGCCATGCTTGATAAAAGATCCAAGGGCTGGATGAATGGCTGACTGACGAATTGTCTGGTTCGGAAGTAGACTTGCCGGCGTCGCTTATTGATATTGAAATTAAGATTATTGCATTGTTGTCAATTAGGTATGCCTGCGGCAATAGTACCCATGTTCCGCCCCCAAGCATGAGCGCGAAAAAAAAAAACATTGTGATCTGCTTGGCGGCGATTTTTGCGGCAGCCCGCCGCATTGCTTCACTTTGCCGTCCGATATGTGCCGGCAGTGGCGTGCTGATGCTGAGACTCGAAACGCCGGCAGAAAATATGTCACATCAATCTCAGAGTTGCGATTCGTGAAGTATGTAACATGGGATTTTCTCGGTCATCGTACATATCGATACACACTGCTGCATGCGTCATTGTAGTCAAGCACACTACCGCAGCAACTGTGTTTAGAGGGCTGCTACTGCTTCAGGGTTAACTGCCGTGGATTCCCTCGGATGCCAGTCAGCAATAGACAGAAAGAGCAATGCGACACATGCAGCCTTGTCTTCCTTTGCGGTTAATTCAAAGATTGAAAGACATAGCGCCAAGGCAAGCCTCAAATTTCCGGGAGTGTTACTCCGGGTTTCACATCTTTCAATCTTACCATCCACTAGGTTGAAGGAGATCATTCAGCTATTGTAGCTGTTCCTATAGGAGGTCTGTCGGTGTGGCCGTCGTTTTCGCCACACATAAGTACCTTTGCCTCGGATATCCGCCGTAACTGATGGCCTGGGTTGTTGTTCGTCCGACCAAAGCCTATGGAAAAGTGAGATGGCCAAATATGCCCTTGTCGCTAGGTAAAATCAAATAGTCATAGTGATTGCAGCGCCCACGAGCCATCAGACGGCCTAGTTCCAGGTTCAGAGACATATGGCAAGCCGCACATCTGACAAGCGGACCTTTGCAGCTCAGCGTCAAAGACTGAAGCAGAAAATTGCAGTGGGTACCAATGAAAGCACAATAATTGCCCTTCAGACGAGAAAAGGGAGGGTAGAAGGTGTGGGACGATTTGTCGGACCAGGCGGATGCTTTCCCCGCTTGAGAACATCTTCAGCCGTTATTGAACCTGTCTTGCTGCTCGGTTCAGACTAGTCACAGGCCAGCGTACAGAAAGATTCCAGATCAGAGACAGCCAGGACGAATACAGGCATCTGTGCCGGTAGACGAGGGTCAGCGCAGCCTGGTCACGAAGAGGCACACCCCCTCCGATAGTCTTCCTTATGCGGTGTAACCGGAACATCTTGATGCATGCCGCCGTGAGTCGTAGTCACGCCTTCATTTTCTAGCCCCCGTGCCATGCATCTTGTGAAACGGCTGGAGCTGGATCAGAATCCTTCGTGTCCAGAGGCATTGGGGTGGCTGAGGGGTAGGCAAGACCGCCCTTTTTGTTTTTGGAAGGCGTTCCACAGTCACCAGGATGGCTGCAGAGCCACCGGGCAAAGAAGTTGCATCCGGGAAATTTGGCCGTCGCCCCAGCCGTCTTGGGTTCGCGACCTGGGATGTGGCCAGGGACACAAAAGCAACCACTGAAGGGGGACACAGCAAGACAGCCTCAACCTTTTGTGGCTTTCTGGGGGATGAGGGTAGTGAGATTGTGGCCTATGCTTGCCGCCATGATGACAAAGGAACAAGAGTCATTTAACGGCTTGTGTCACGCCGGCCGCCTCACTTCCCCTCGGAGCTCGATCCTAATGTGACGGGCAGGCGGGGGGCGAGTACTCCATACTCTGCTCAAGATGCCGGCTGAGGCCTTCAGGTGGACAAGGGCTCCTCAATTCTGTGCCTCCGCTACCCTCATGTGAGGCTTCAGGCATGCACATTCGCTCCGTGCTCTGCAAAATGTGTCTCCGACTCACTGACAGCTACTGACGGCCAGTGCCAGGCTTCGGTGCTACCCCTCTGTGTCGGGTTCCAGGGCTAATTGTCCGGCGTACCACAAGAGTTACACTCGGATGCGGCACTGTAGTCGAAATCTAAGACCAGAACAATTGCAGTTGTCTTATGAAATACATTGAAGAGCGTTGTTGTGTCCGTTTTTAGGAGCTGTAGACCACGAAGCGAGTCAGGCTGACGGCTAAAGTGTACCGCGCAGGAAGGTATCGTATCCCGAGTTCCGTAAGGATAGTGTAATAATAATAAAGGCTTGTAGCGGAGAAGGGGACCGCGAAGCTCCCGTTCACTACTCCGTACCGACGTGCCTGATTCGTCTGGACCAATGGAGACGATAGCGGACTTGGAGTCCTGCCAGAAAGCTGCACTACCTATGCCTCGATTCCCTGGACTTTTTGTCACTGCAATCGTGCTGCCACATGAATGAGTCAAACTTCAACATGAATGAGGACGAGAACAAACAAAAGACGCCTCTTTAGATTCTGCTGATGCGTGAGTGCGGCGGGGACTTGTTTGAAGGTGTTAGTGTAGGTGTGTGTGTGTGTGTGTGTATGTGTGTGTATGCCTGTGTGTGCCTGCCTGTGTGTGTGCCTGCCTGTGTGTGTGTGTGTGTGTGTGGTACGGTACGGTGCGAGGGATGGGCTCGGCGCTTTCAAAGTTCGGCGCTGTCTCAGGCCACCTTGATATTATATCCACCAGCTCGGGGGCCAAGAGGCAAACTGCAGCCCTGGCCCTCACCGAGATTGCCATGGAGAACATGCCCGTCATCAGCGGATAAAAAACAACAAACAGCCCCCCTCACTTGCCTTCCTCCTATCCCAAGACGAACCACGACGACCCACTGGGCCGCAGATCTGGCCGCCTGCTCGTCCATCCGCGTTGCGGTATGGTGAAGTTGGGCGGCGCTGCCGTGCAAGATTTGAGGATGCTAGCAAGAGGGGAGGGGTCAGGAGCGCCACTAGCAAGCCCTGGCAATAACACTGCTGCTTTGCTGAGCTGCATTGTGCATGCAATACTACCTAGCCAAGGTGGTGTGCATTCCGGATCTGTACAAAGGCGTACCCACGACCCGCTGCCACGTCTCTATCTTGTCGTCAAGCAAGGACACGCCCCCTTGGTGGTTTGGACAAGGCGAGCATCTTCTGGGGGCGGGCTGGTGTGTCTGTGTTTTTTGGAAAATTATCCCGGTTTTTGCTTGGGGCGCATCCTTGCATGGGTGTGCTGCCAAAGCATCGCCATGCATGCTGCTATGATGTCTACATGCAGGCATAGCGTCCTAACTTATATAGATGAGTTAATCAAGCCATCTCGTCCGAATTGGGTGGCATTGGAGTCGAATCTTTCTCGCAGACACGCGAGTATTCGTAACGACAAGAGGGGCGTCGGCCCCCTTGTGGATGTGCGCCCAAGTCGCATAGCACCACACTCAGCGTTCAAACCACAATGGGCCAAGCAGTCAACAAGACTTCTGCAGGGTCTTGGGCCAGAGACCTTGACACCAACTTGGTCGACACTATACACCCGCAGCATTGCCCAGGAACGTGTCGTGTAGGTGGCCGCATGTGCGTGCGTGTTGTTCTTCAGTGGGGGGAGGGGTGCGCGCATCAGGGCAAGATGTTGACAGAAGAGAAAGTATGGGGCACAAAGTACGGATACCCAATGCAAGTAAACAAGCCTCTTTGACTTTTTTTTTTCTTTTTCTATTTTTGCAGGATCTATACCCAAATGATGACGATTGTTGGCCAGCAAAGGAAACCGTCATTGTTGGTCTCGGAAGTCCCACTGCGGGTTGGGCCTTAAGTCGATGCAAGCCAGGCGCGGACGAGTGAGGGCCTCCTGAAGCGGCCGTTTGTCGATTATAAGTATAAGTTAGCTCGGGTACCCAAGCTTGTTCAGTTGTCTACCGGTCGTTCTATAACCTCAAGCTTTGCTGCACTGCAACACCCTGTCCAACTCGACTCGAGAGATTGTTCGGGCTGCCGCATCCAGTCGCACACTAGGTCAGAGTCTGGTGATTTCTCTTTTTGCTATCAACCAGTGAGTGCAGAGCGCCCTTTTGTTGTCTCGTAAGACTTGTCTGGAGGCGGATCGGGGGAGAAAAGTGCTCGTTCGTTCCCAGGATCGCTGGGTGGGTTCGGTTGGTAAGTTGACTGGCTGACATGCTTAGACCAGTCTCCGGCTTTTATTAGTCGTCGTCATCCCTCCTTCCTCCTGTACCTTTCTTGGCTTCGGTCTTGTTTCGCTGCGCTTTCGGCCGATATCTACCTGACCATGTGCTACTTTGAGCAAACGCTTTGGAGCTGTGGCTACTGGCGTTGGGGCCACTTTCGCCAACAATGCAACAAGGAGTACCGCATGGGCGAGACTTGCGGCCTCAAGCTAGTGTATATCACGAAAAACGAGCCAGACGTCTGCAAACTCTGCCACGACATAGAGAAGAAGCAGCGACGCTATGACAAGATGGCTCGCGACGTCGAGCGCTGGCAGCGCGAGGGCAACCGCAGGGCGACGATTGAGAGGACGTGTGGAGAAATGCGAGAGGTGGCCGATCAAATTCACAACATGAGGGCAGAGCATTATCATAGAACATCTTCGCTTGGACAGGTACGCACCGAAAAAACCCCTGCTGCACAAACGATACCATGCTGTGTGGCTGCATATTGGCACCTGCGCTGCGAGCAGGGTTTCTGACAAAATTTCCCTCACAGTGACGAGATGTGCGAGTTGTGTGTAACGACAAAATTCACAAATTGTGGTGACCCCTCACCAGCCGACCAAATTAATCGACCTAAAAGAAATATGCGTGGCATAAGCGGGCAAGGCGGCCGAACGGAGCGCGCTCTGCTGGCAGGTCAGATTTGTTGCGGATTGTCGGCGAAATGGACCAGTCATCTGCCGGGACCGCCAAGCATTCTGTTAATTGGACACGAATTCATTCAACGACGAGTCTTCTTTGTATTCCATGGCTATTTCATATTAGTAGCATGAGCATCAATCCCAGACTGCATAATTCCCACCCGGTCCGGAAAGTAGGGCTGTCCCCAGTGTGTGTACCGAGGCGAAGCGCTGTCAATCGTAAATCAGGAGATGGAGTGGCTGCATAATAAGTGCAAAGGGAGTGCTAAAAAGTTTCATCTGGGGCAAACAGATTGTCGACAAATTAGTTGCAGGCCCGCATATGCGAGTCGATCCGTCCGAAGAGTAGACAAACCGCGGCTGCAAAGGGTGCCGCTCGGGTGTCAATTGAAGGCCAAACGTACGACTCTCTAGGGCTCAACAGCCCCAGCGGTCATCTTGGTATCAGCCTCGAGCTTTCCAAGGCAGAAAGACCCCCCTCCCAATGGTCTGATTTGCTCGCTTCTCCTGCCTGAAAAGGTCGCGTAAAGGCAGTGAGTGCTCTGCTAGCAGCCGGGGATACGCATCTGCTGTGGTGCGCCGGCATTCGCCTATAGTGAATAGCCGGGTGCACAAAAGTGCCCAGACTCGCCGTGTGCGAAACTTTCTCGCCCATGAGTAATAGTCGCCGCGATAACCCGTCAACTGAGCCCGGTGCGTCCGTCAGTCGCCCCGTGATTAGACCACGACGCGCCCTGCGGCCCTACACGCCCATTCACGTGGTGGAGAATGCTTCTACGGGCTTCCTCAAATAAATCTCGCCTGGCTGACAGTCGCATGAGTGCCCAAGATGGAGGCCACCATGCGTTGACGTGGTGGACAAGGGCGCCCCGCCGACGGGATGGCGTGGAATGGTGGAACGGGCGCCATGTGGGAGGAGTACACGCCAAGCACATGTCCCAGATGCGGAAGCGCTCCTCATCTCGGTCGCTGACCCAGAGATTGACTCTGTATGCGTCCCTCCCGACCCGACAGTCTGGTAGCAGGCTGACGCGCGATCCCGCCAACCTGGACCTGGGTGTAATGCTCTCCGAGGGATTGGTTGATGCGCGGGACGCTCCGTCCACCCTTGTCCGAACCATAGAGCGGCCCCATCCCACTTGTGCGACTAATGAGCGGTGCGAGCCGTCGCGGCTTGCTAAAGAACAGGGCTAGTGTCTGGAGAATTGAGCCTATCCTGGTAGACTAGCCGTCTCCGCTGGCGTTCTTGCGCACGTGTCCGGCAGTTGCAAGTAGCAAATGATGTTGCGGTGAGACAATGCCGAATCTTCTATTTAAACTTTGGCATTTGCCTTTGTCTGACGCATCGTCCTGACAATCTCAAGTGTTTCAAGCGCTGAGTGTATCGTGTTTATCTTCATTGTGTCCAGCCTTTCAATGTGAGTTTCGAGTTTTGATATCATTTTCTTTATTGACGAGCTATCATTTGGGAACTCAAGAGTTCCTAGGTGGTTTCTTTCGTTCTTCCAGAAGCGTGACAGAACGCTTCAACAGGGTCGGTCAGCTGGCAAAGTGAGAGCCTGCCTACTACAAACAGGGCATTGACCATATCGTTTATGGCTGCTGCTTAGCGCCCCGTTGGCTAATTTGCCATGTATCAAACCAGTATTGGTTCGTGTGGTGTACAATTAAGAAAAGTCGAAAGTCGTTCAGTTGCGCCAGCACCATGCTTTACCTGGCGGAAGGTATAAAATATTGTACATAGAATGTATAGTTGCAAATGCGCAGCGGTCGCTTCTTAATCCATCGCCGCTGCTGCGTCCGCGAAAGTTCCGACGAGCGCACCCTCGTCGTGGTCTAATGTCTTGAGGCTCATGGGGCGTTCGTGTTGCGAGTCGTCTTCTGTGAACCAGTCGATTTTGATGCCAGCGGGTTGGTCGACTTCTTCTGATGACAGTTTTGATACAAGGTGCTGATAGCGCGCAACTCGGCCGCCGTGTCCTGCGTAACCGAATCCAGCGGCCGATCCTGCGTTGGGCTGTTGTGGCGCAATCTCGAATATGTCAACCATGTTGCTATGCGCCGAAGAGTTAGCTATTAGCATCCACTAGAAACAGGTAACCAGTGCTGTCGCATCTCAGGCCATCCCCGGAATCGTGTGCCCGGTCCGGAGATGTGCGCCGTGTATCCGTACCTTGATGTCTTTGCAACTACTTGCTGCAGAGCCTCATTCTCACGTTGGGCTTCAATAGACTCGTCACCGCCGTGACCTTCCGCGAAGCTGCCGTAATGCATGGTAACGTCGTCGTCGTATAGTAGTCTATTCTCCTCCTGCTGCAGGTGTCAAAGTCAACCAAATGCGCGCAGAAATTCCCGCATCGCTGTGCGGGCGCGTACCTCGTCGTATGTGTCCTTGTTCCGCAGCCCGAGACACGAATAGCAGGCACCCATAGTGACTGGAGGGCGCCGAGGCCAGCGACGGCGTCGCAGCAAAAAAGAGAGCGACCGGTCGGCGCAGAGAGCTTCTAGATCATTCTAGGTGGTCTTTCGAGGGAGCTTCGCGCCGTTGGATGAAATTGCGTTTGGAGGGCCTCGATGTTTCACAAAAATTGCCGTTCCTGATGATGCACATGCAACCAACTGGCGCAATCAGCAGGACAAGCGTCGGCGCCGGAAAAACAACTGACCCGTTAGAAGCGTTAGCGTCAGCGTGACAGTTTTGCGTCACACAATTCTTGTGTATTGCAACTGTCAACCGGTGTTTCTCTTTGCTAAAAGATTCGGAGTTCGACTTTATCGCATGGTATCTAGCGAGAGATGCTTGGTGATCTTTATACTGCGCTTTTTCGTTCACTACGACATCTGGCTTGCGCCCAGCCGAACTTTCGACCACCTCGACAGGGTGTTACCAATGACCGCGAGGAAGTCGGAGAATTTCAACATCAATTCGACCACGGGTCGTATCTCTCTGATATAATGAATGCAGTAGAATCGATGCTCATACTTCTTAGCGATCTATTATCACGGGCCTCCACACCCACACCATCATACGAAATCCAATTGCCATTCAGTCTAGCCCTCACTCAACCCTGCGAGATTTACATGTTGCTATCCGAAGCAACAGCCCATCAATTGCTGCAGCCTCGCAAAACCGTCATCTGTGGAAATCTCACCGGTCTTCGACAGCGCCGGATCTCATGAGTAGCAGCATTTCTGCCCCCGACCTAGTTCTGCCATCATACATGCCCGGCAAGTAAATGCTGACAGACGGCCCTTCTCCCCCGACGTTCGTTATCCATGGCCGACAGGTAGTTGAGAGCCCCCAAACACCCGGAGAATTCCTTGGCCGTGATCGTGATTGGGGCTACCGGCAAACCAACCGAGACGCCGGAGGAATCGATGGCCGCCACAGTACTCTTGAAATCTTTGCCCGGCCCGTCGATCAAGACCAACACGGCTACCGCTTTGAACGCCGTCCCAGCCACCGTCTGTCCTGAATCTAGTCATGCAGCGATGAGCGCCATGCGCACAATGCCCGTCTTATATCCGTGACGCCGGACCGTGGCAGCCAGCTCGTCAGTGAAAAACGTGCCTGACCTAGGTACGGTATGGAAGCACTGCCAGAGCCAGCCTAGTAGTAACGCGCTCTCTATCCTCATTGACCTCCTCATTGACCTTCTCATTGACCTCCTCATTGAATTTTCACCCTTTTATTTATCATCTAACGCAAGCAAGAGCGCAATTGTAGGCAGATTTGTGCTTACGAGACAATCTACAACATGTAGTGTATGTTAGTCACAGGAGATGAATCTTAAACCGTGAAGCAAGTCGTAGACTATTTTCTCCACGTATCTGTCGATTGTTTCCTCATTTTGTTGTTAGACAAAGACCTCTACAACGCAAAACGAACATGTCAACCAACAGCTACGCGCCGAAATGATATGCGAATAGCTTCATTATTCGACAAAAAACAAGAATTTCTCATCCAACGACCCTCTACCACTCGTTTTTTTTTTCAAACCCAATTCGCACGAATTACATCCGCAATCACTCCATGATCCTCCTCCTGCTTCAGCCCGCTCACCACCACCACCGCCACCACGCCCTCGACGCCCTCGACGCGCAGCGGCACGCCCCCGCCGTGAATCGCGTACACGCCGGCCCCCTCCGGGCCGAGCCCGTTCTTGGCCGCAAACAGCCGCTCGTCGCCGCCGCCGTGCTTGCGCCCGACCAGGTACGAGCTCACGCCCCAGCGCAGCACCGTCGCGCGCTTGCGCCGCACCCACGACTCGTGGTCCGGCAGCAGGCCCGCGCCCGTTGCGCCCTGGTACAGCGTCGTCCCCGACGCCGTCGACACGTGCACGAGTGCGGGCCGCGTCGCCGCAAAGGGCCGCAGCCGCGCGTCGAGTAGGTGGCCGAGCTCGCAGGCGTCAGAGGCGGTAAAGGAGGACAGCGTGAAGCCCTTGCCGCCGAAATCGCTGGCGGCGAGCTCGTCAAACTAGAGAGGGTTGGTTGTGTGAGTGAGCGCGTCTCAGACGGGACAGGATGTAGTGTATAAAAGGGGAGAGAAGGGGGGGGGGGAAGAAAGACGTACAGTGGCCGGGGGATGCGGGATCGGAACCTCCGGACCCGGAGTCTTGATCGCGGCGAGGGCCTTTTCGAGGCCGTGCCCGTCGGCAAAGTTTCTCTTCCAGACTTTTTGCGACATGATATATTTATTCCTCGAGTTTTTCGTTCCTTTTTGTGACCGTCACTGACACAAATTTGCATGTATGATGCAAAAGAACAACTTCAGCGGAAAAGTGATAGCACCCAAGCCGCTTTCTCCTCATTTAGAAACCATGCAACGTTCCCAGCACCCAGTTTTTGAGCCATTTTTTTTCTATCCACGTCCATCGGAGCGCCGCAACGGCAGGCTTTTTTTCTGTTTTTAATTAGTTCGCTACGCAGTCCGGCCGCTGCAACCCCCGAATTGAGTTTGGCTGCGGCGCCGGCTCCACCGTTTATTAGAGAGAAAGAGAAAGAGACAGAGGCATCGGCGTGTGTATTAATTAACGATAGATGTTGCTGGGACGCGCATAATCAATCATTGGCTTGGTATTTCGGCTAATAAATTCGCCTGGTTCTTTCATCATAACAAAAGGACTATAGCAAGTGTGTCTTCATCGTTCTCGTACATAGTGGTAGTCTGCTTTTCTGTAACTCGTCCTTCCTGGACGACTCAATCTTCTCAACGCCTCGACATTCTCAAAACATAGATAATTTTTTTATAAAAAAACACAAGACCAAACAAACAATACTTCTTGCCCGGCTGGAAACGATCCTTCACATCTGCTACACTTCTTCTGCAGATAATCAAGGCTCATTTACAATAAGCAACCAACGATCAAGCCTGGTCGCTAGCTTGCTCGCTTGTCGTCTGCGAGTCCTCCATGACCACATCCCTCTCCCTGTCCCGTGTAAAAAATGGCAGAGACACGCTGCTTGTCGTCGCGTAGAAGCTATCGTCGAGGCCCGGGTTGCGCTCGAGGGCCTGAATCGTGTCGAGGGCGCGCTCAAACCTTTCCCGCTGCGCCTTGAGCGCCTCGCGCTTCACCGCCGTGGCTGTGTCCTCCTCCATCAGGCACTGGTAGGCGGCCGCTGCGTTTCCATCAATGATGCCGAGACGAGTCCGCAGCTCAAAGTCGAGGCGCATGCGAATCTCGGGGAGCATCTCGCAGAGCGTCAGTTGCGCCATGCGGTCCACGAACCTGAGCGCGGCGAGGCGGTAATAACCCCTAATATAACTGATCACCATAATCTCGCGTGCAAAGGCGTCAGAGCCGAGCTTGTACTTTTCCTTTTCCTTTTCCTGGTCTCTGGTCTCCTGGTCTCTCTGCTCCTCGGTCATGTTTGCCCAGTTGCCAGGTCGACGCGCCAGGTCCGGAAAGCGAGCTTGGAATCGCATGTGATGCCGAAACCACCGGAGCTCCCTCTCTTCTTTATCTCTCAGAAAAAGCAATATCTCATTTTGGAATGTAATTAGCTTGCGTGTCTCATGCTTGAATACCAGATCGGCCATCTCTTGTGTTTTCTTCAACTGCTCCTTGAGGAAGCACTTTAGATTCCTGGCCGTCTCGCGGTAGATGAGTCTTTTCCGTAGACGGTCGAGTGACAACACGAGCTTCTCCTCGAGCTTGCCATGTAGCTGTTCCATGGTAGCCAGCAGGAATCTTTCCATTGGCTGCTGCCAAACCTTGACAGACTCCACCGCCATGTCCTGATAGACCTCTGGCCCGATGACATCGGGAGTACCAGCTTGCGATTTGCCCAGGATCTCGGCTCTGACCTGAGCCAGAGTGCGAAAGGAGCTTCCCAACGAGCTGTACTCTGTGAATGGCTGGGCAAGCAAGGCTTTTCTTGCGCGAGGCGGCACCCCACTCACAGATGGACTGGCCGTTTCTTCGTGCTTGAGGCCTGGAATATGCCCATTCGGAACCCCATTGGAGTGTTCAAGCCGAGCACGCTTTGACGATGGCGTTATTGAGCTTGCGCCTTGTCGTCTCTTCGGGGTGGCCGCCACTGGTGGCGGTGCATCCGACTCATCGTCGGAGATTTCAACGACTGGGATATCGCTTTTGTCTTTCAATATAAATTTCGGTTTTATGTGCAAGAGACAGTCTCGGAATGCCTCCGGAAGAGCGCTGCCGCTTCTTATCAGCTCGTCAATGCCCTGGCGGCAGCTCTCGGTGAACTGCATCAAACTGCTTTCCACCTCCAGCTGAATATTGTCTGGTAGATCAGGGAGGGAAGTCAGTTCTTTGTCGACCTTTTGCAGTCGACTAGTGACCTTTCTCTTGATGGTAGGAAGACTTTTTTTCACGTCAGCATGCGTAACAAAACAGAAAGGTAGTTTGTACTTACCTGCTTGCAAATGATTCCGCCAACTTCTCGGATAAAAAGGTTTTAAGCTTCTCCACGCCACAGCGATGACTGAACTGATGAAAGTCACTTGGCCACATGTCCACGCCGTGCTCGACAAATATTGCCTCCTCCCATTTGTCTAGTTCTTCCAGCGTTTTGCCCTGGGGGCGAGATGTAATGAAGTATCCGAGTCCAGTTTTATGAGTCTCGCCCTTCATGATGGAAAGCCACTGCTCACAAGCCCCTTGGGGCGCTAGGAGATCAGCTTTGGTCAAAACACCAATGGTCCGGTTCGAGGCGCCGAGCTTTCTGGTCAAGCCAAAAGTGCAGGAGTTTTCGGCATCCGAGTTCATGGGCATGCTGCACATGATAATGGCAGACGGGTGCTGAATGTAGGCCTTGGACAGATTAGTGACAACCGAGACGAGGTAGTCGTCCTTGGCATCAGCCGGATTTTGGAAAATGCCAGGCATGTCGTAAAATGAGAGATTAGGCAGATCAGGACCTTTGATCTCCAGTGCAACAACATTGGGCGAAAATTTTGCCTGAGTGCGTTCTGCCTCCAAATGTATCGGGGTACTGGAAGCGATGGACCCCGATCCTGGAACAAAAAGCGCAGGGTTTTTGTCGTCGTTAAGAATAGCTATCTGCGCCCAACGAAGAACTTCTTCAATTTCCGAATTGTCCTTCATAGCTTTGAATTCCATGATTTCTGTGGAGGGCTTTTGTTTCCAGGGAAAAAAGGGGTCTTTTGCCGTGACGTCCGACTCCAAGATGTCGCGGTCTGAGGGCGGGGAATATGTATACTGCTTACGCAGCCCAACTCGACAGGACCACTGAGGGTTCATTGATACACTGATATGCAGCGGGCATCTGGTGCAAGTCCCCTCACTTCGAGGCAGGTCAAGCTGCGCGAGACCAGACATCAAGCTGGACTTGCCCGCACTCTGGTCCCCGACCAGAACGAGTTCGGGCAGCTGGACGTCGTGAGAGACTCCGAGCTGCTGCAGCTCACCGAGAGCATCGTTGAAAGCTTTGAGCCTCCTGGCAATATCCTTGAACGACTCTTGGAAGAAACTGCCTTCCTCTTGCGGGGCTATAATCGGCGGTAGCATGCTTGGGACCCTGCGAAGCTCACGAAGTAGAGGTTCGTTATCCTCGGTGCGCTCACTTGGCGTAGCTACAGAGAGTGTCAGAAGTTCATTAATGGTGGAGATGTGATCAACCGGTGTTGGCACGCACACGTCCGGAGAAGTGTGTTGCACAGAGGAGGGGAGTTGTGAAAGTGAACAGGGACTTACGGGCATCGGAGCGCCCAAGGCGGTAGGAGAGCGGCGGCGCCATGCCGGGCGTGTCTGTGGCCGAGGCGAGTGAATTCTCTGTGGATGAAGCGCGCGATGTGATTTGGTTGGTTTCTGAAGTGACTTCATTGTCAGATGGGAGTGAGTTGAGCGACTCGCGCTCTCTCTTGATGCCACGACCGCGGCTACGGCCGGCAGTGCTGGTAGCGGACGGCATGACGGCTATGCGAGGCAGAGCTCTGGGCTTCTGATTAACGATGATTGGGGATCTAAAGCATCACCGATGCGGCGTGTAAGTGGGAGCGGCGCAGCGCGATCAATGCGCAAATATGCGTGTAAGAGGACAACGGCCGGAAGATGCCCAAGGGCGGCGGCTGATTTTCTTAGCAAACGCGCCCGGGACGTTTTGAGGTAAGTAGCAATGAAATTGATGCAAACAACAGTCGAAGGTGATACTGATGGTGTTGTTGGAAGAAGGATGCGCATTGCAGTGAGAGCAGGTTGAGAGCAGGTGAGAACCGCAAATGCATACTCTGTCGCCTCTCTAGGATCTGATCAAACGTGATAGCGGCGGTGTAAGAGGCGGGCATAAGCTGCACTGATCTCACGTGCAAGGCCTATTTAGTGCAATGATTATAATTCAGAAACCTATGAAAAGACTGAGATTATTTCATACAGTGTTTCTTGATGTTAAAGGGCGATTCTGTGAGTGCTTGAACTTTCTCGTGCTAACAGAAATTATTGTCGGATGGAGTTGACCACGAGATGCTGGCAGCGGCTCAGGGGGCAAACGAGGTGGCTGGGATGTGGGCCGAGGAAGAAACTGGCGTCTGCTCGAGTAACCAACCAGTCACTGCTTGGCGGGAACGGCCCGGTGCTGCTATTTAGTTAGGCGGCGCCACACGGGCAGCACAAAGATCTGTGTAATGGAGAAAGGGAAAAATCAAGGAGTACCTGAAGTAATTAATATCTGTGCAAGTGCAAGTAGAAACCAGGGAGAATAAACTATAACGCGCAAACACTACCACCGTTTTCTGTTCTCCAAATTGGTCTGCTCCTCCTCCTGGCATTATTCACCAACATACTTACCTGAAGCTGGCGTAAAACAATGTGCAATGAAGTGCAGAAGAAAAGGCAGAAGAAAAGGCAGAAGAAAAGGCAGAAAAAAGTATCTATTTCGCTCACTCTTCTAGTAACATTCTCTATTCATGGTATCGATCCGCGACGTGTGCTGCCTTTAAAACCTTTCCAAAAAAAACAAAAGTAGAATTACCCAGACCGCAATGCATCCATCCACAACCCGTTGGTCTATAAGAAAACCCCGTACTTTGCCCCTCAAAGTGCTGTACAACCTTGTCGTACAACTCATAATCTTCTGCTCCTTCAGAATGCATGCTCACATGACACAAGCACCACCGATCTACAGCTGCTTTGTCAAGCCGGTGCGGCTGACTTGCCGTGGCGTGGGCGCCGGGCTGCTGGGACGACTACTCGAGAGACCCTTGGCGTCAAACGGATCCATGTTGAGCCTCCTAGGGTCAGCAGTCCGCGGGGTTGAGCCTGGGGTCAATGTCCTCTCAATGGCAGGTTTTTCAAAGCTGGCGATGCGCAGAGGAGCAGGCCGAGAACGGCCACGTTCGGGAGCGCTGTAAAGCCAGACAGCAACTAGCACCAGCGATGTGCCAAGGAGGAACGTGGTGGTCACCGGAAAGTTGAATAGCCAGACACTGACAAAGAAGCTGACCACGATACTAATGCCCGTGGCAAAGTTCTTGACAATGTTATCGGCATCTCTAATGACGATGCTGGCAATCACACCTCCAGCCGCTTGCAGCACAATGGTGCACCACACAACCCAGTTGTAGCCTTCAAAGAAACCGTGCTCCATGATGCCAGCGCCGTCCTGCCAGACAATGCCGCCGAAGAATGCAGCGAGGATCGAGTAGACGCCTAGCTGCAAGTTTCGAATCCAAACGCTGTTGTGGCACGGGGACTCTTTGAGAATCTTTTCGAAATAGACACCAGCAATGCCAGACACGATCGCAGCGATGAGAACTGCCGTCAGTCCGACCGAGTAGTTCATGACCGGTTCCGACTGAAACTGATCGCTGTTGATCCCTTCGTAGCTAGCTGAGCGACGACTGAGATGCGCAGGCGGTTCGCTGTTTTCCGTGTTGGGTTGGAAGCCGAGCTCGTGTTGGGATCGAGGAAAGAAGTGGTCGGCGACGCCGTGGAGGAAGAGAGACTCGAGGGATTCGCCGGCCGACGGAAGTGAGACGACGGAAACGCCAGCTGTGAGGATGATGAGGGAAATCCAGCGTGTGATGCCCAGATAGCGATTCAAAAGCCAGACGCTAGAGATTGCTGTGGTAAGGATCTATAGCTCTGGTTAGTCCCGGATTCGCGTGGACGCGCGAGCGAATGACGCACTTTAAGCTGGTACAGGACCTGGAAATGAACCGGGTCCAGGTTGCCGACGGCAACATATTGCAGCAGATTTTGCCATGTATAGAAGACGGCCGGCATGGCCAGCTTCCAACCGTCTCCGGAAAAGACTCCGTTATATATTTGTTCAAACAGGACGGTGGCAGGCGTGCTGGGCGCAAGCGTCTTGGAGGCTTCGTATATGGCAACGGTGAGAGAAATGGCAAACTTGATGATTTCGTGTAGCAAAACGGCCGTCGAGGTAAAGTATCGATGGTCGCCAGAAGGGGGCATAATTCGAGAGTAGTGCATAATCTAAAGGCGCATATTAGCGAACAGTTGAAGCGTGCGAAGAGGTTGTCCCAACATACGAGGATCAGCGCAGAGTTTTGAAACGTCAACTGTTGGCCAAGTTAGATTGACAGGTCTGCCATGTGTCTCGAAACAGCCACACATACCGTGATGAGGGAGATATGCTTGGGGATCGATCCCGGCTTGGCGCCGCCGCCGCCGCTTTTTGTTAGAAACACCATGATTGCAAGACGCTCGTATAAGGTGAATTCGTTGTAGTCGAAGAAATTCAATGGGCAATGTTGAACAGCTGCTGGAGGTGATCAGTGACGTGATGGCTCCAACAGACTGTGAGTCCTTGTCGCGGTGTGCGACGCTTGCGTAGCAAGCAACGGTCGTAACCCGGCTGACACAATGGGGATGGCGAGATGATTGTTCCAAGGGAATGTGGTTGCATTTGCCAATTGCGAATGGTTGTAGTGGTATCAATGTAGCAGCGCAATCGGACACTGCAAAGGGGGGATTTCGTCGTGAGAAGCAGGCAGAAGCACTGGAAGAGAAATGAAAAGGAGTGGAATGTCAAACGACCAAAGCGTCGGAGCTAATTTGAACAGGGCTCAAACGGAACAACGCTAGAAAGCCAAGAAGGAGAGAAGAGAGAATTGTTGAAAAATGAAAGAATGAAGAAGGGTAGGTTTGATTCTTTTGTTCCCTGCTGGATTGACTCGTGCAGAAAAAGCAAAAGGCCACAGAGCTGAAGCTCTCCTGAAAGCGGAGCTGTCGCAAGGACAATGCAGGTAGGGCGCCAATCAATCGCCAATGCACGTCACAGGTATCGCGTGCTGCAGATTCGGTACCTACCTACAGTTACAGTAGCGGCTAATAGTGGCTAGTAGTGGCTAGTAGTGGCTGGTGAGCGATGGCTTGGCAGGGCAAAGGGGTCAGTTACAATGTAAAAGTTTTGTGAAAATGGCCAAGATATATAGCTTAAAAGAGGATTGAGAAAAGGGGAACCAACACGAGCCATTTAAGTCTTCCGACACCGTCATCTATTTCCAAGGTTTATTCACTTGCCCTTGTCCAGCTGCGCTAGTTACGGAGTACCTGGTCAAGTCCTGCGGGCACCTGTCATGGACGTGTTGTGGTGCCATGCCGCATGCATGCCAGCCAGCACACGTCGTGCACGGCAAAGGAACTCGAGCCAGAGCTAATTAATTCTCTTTGGTCAGCCAAGCCCCAGCCCGGCCCAGAGAACCGACCCCTCTGCAGATCGTTTCCCGTATTTATTGTCCGTACGGATTACAGCCGACGGCCCTACAGGCGATCGCCCAGCGTTGGTGGGCCCGTGGCGGCGTGTAAACGAAAGCTAGGCTTTGGTTGCATTGGCTGGTTCGGGAAGTATCAAGGAAGCATAGCCAATAAAAATACAACCAGATAGCAAACTTCCTGTCCCTCCAAAACTAATGTATTCAATTCATTGGCATCACTCTCCGGGATTGAATCAATATTTGTCGTTCATTATGGACTGCTTGTACCAACAGCTAATAGAGATAGCTCCGCACAAACAAACGACAAAAACACAGCCTTGATTCAATGGAGCCGCGTTCTCCTAGTGTCTTTAGCAAATGCCCTCGCCGTCGTCGTGCCTTGCCCCCCTCTTCGTCCCTTTGTCTTAGCTCGAATAGCTGTTCCAGGGAAAGCACATTAAAGGACGTAATAATTCTTCTCACGTGTTATCTCGTATCATGTTTCCGCCAACTCGAATTGACGCCTAGAGCTCATCGGTCATCGCTATTCAGCATCTCAGGGATATTACCCGCCTCCGATCCACCATCAAACCATTTTCCCATCCTAGCATCCCATTAGTACGTTTTGGAGTCATTCAGATTTGCTCCTCCTCATTCTGTCTCCCAAAGTCAATTTATTAGCAGTGCCAGCGACGGTCCGTCGTCAGGCACGTTGGCACCAGACTCACGCCGCACGTCGCACTGTGGAAGCATGAAAAACAATATATGACTCGTGTTCAAAAACATGATATTGCTAAAAGCTATCTCAGTCTATAGATGGATAGATGCCTGGCTCACACTTCTCAATCTCTCGTCAATCTAGCAAATTCGTTAGTGTTCAAATCAGGCAGCAAGGCCAAACTATGTTGCACTGTTACCAGCCTCTTCCCAAGGCAAAGTTGCGTTCGTCAATCACCGTGTTCCCAGATCGAAGGCCGGGCCTGGTGCTCTGTTTGTCAATGTCGCGAGCGAGGTGATCCCAAAGCTCGAGCTGCCAAAACATGGTAGTCGAACCGTCTTCGAGCCTCCCGAAAGCAACTGAAGATTCCTAGTCTAGTGCTCGACGAGATCCTTGAAAAAATTGCAATGCTGGTTTTGGAGTGTGCTCAGCTGGGTTAGCCAAGTCCGATACCGTCACGCGCTTACGGAAACTCCAAACGCTCTTCTGCGGCAAGAGCCTGTTGGCGCTGATTGTTGGAACCGAGATGGCTCGAGTTGTCCGATGGCACAACTCTCCGATGCTGTCGAGACGATTGAAGAAGCTTTGCTGGTAAGAAAGCCGAAGAACAGTAATTATGTCAACGCCCTTGGTCAGACGCAGCCTTTCACTGAGATTAATTGGCAAGTACTTCAAGGTGAAATGCTCGTGTTGTTGAGTCCAATTTCGTATCTCCTGTTGCCAATCAACTTTTAATAGAGAAACGAAATACGCACTGCTTGCAGAGAGCGATCGGTAAAATCGTGACAGTTCTGCAGCGGTATTGGCGACCAATTCGCATGAATGTTCAGAACTCGGGCATACGAGATCGAAGATGGTTTCGCTGCGCAAGGCCTGTTGCTGCTGTAAAATGTCACCCGGAAATTTTACATGATACCAGCGGCGTTTCTGAGTCTGGGGTCAATGAGTGTCTGTCCTTGAGAAGTCCGATTAGGTACGTTTTCCAACTTACATCCGCGCCAACGACCTCGATCTCACAGAAGCCAACAACAAAATCGGGATTCGCTAGCGAGAAACACAAAATTTCTTCATTGGCGAGTTCAATGCACTTGTCAAAGGCGGCAGCAGCGCCAAGTTGATAATTGTCCGGCTCAATTCTCAAGGAGCATTGCTGCATCCAGTCGCTGGATAGAACGGACCGAGGGCAGTTGGCACTTGGCACCACCTCAGTAACGTATTGCAGATATTGTTCTGATACAAACGGATTACCAGTAGTATTGTTCTGAGAGACTGTTCCGATGTATGACCACATGTCTCGACTGTGACCGCAAGACGATCCCGATGGTAAGCTGGTCTGAACCTGCCCGCAGGTATTAACCGAATCAGCCGAGTTATCGCCGTTAATTTTGAACCATGAACTCAAAGCCGCAAGTACTGAAACGGTAATCCTCCAGAAATGCGAGCTATCCTGGTATGCTCGGTAAGGTCGAAGCCAGAGTTCCATGTTCAGTCACCAACGGCCACGCGCATTGGCTTTGTCGTAGGTGCGTGGATGAGGAGAATCGAGACCGATAATGAGCGCCAGGTGGTTGGAGGAAGACAAAAACCCATCAAGGATACTCTATCTAAAAAGGAACGAAGGTGAGCAGAGCTCGGAGTGTGCAAGTCTACCAACGTGAACCAAGGAGCGGAGGCGCAGGAACCAGAGGGCGGAGCAAAAAGTGCAATGCAAAGAGAAGAATTAAAAAATGTTTGCGAGTAGCAGTCACGGCAAGTTTTTCACAACACCTACCTCGATAGTGCTTCTTCTTGGCAGCTGCCGGCCGACACGTTGCCAGCTGCCATGCCACTCTGCCAACGTCATCGCGTCTTGCATGTGAATAATCTCTAGACCGCTGGTTATTGATAGCAAGGACGAGGTACTGATTGAGTTGAAAAGAAAAGGAAATTTGAATATTTGTGGTAAATCATGTAGCTTCCTAACCATCTTGGAGCAAAATTGGTGCCTCCAAAATACAAACGCCGGCAAACGCCCGAGATCCATAACAGCCATTGCCACCCCAATGACCCCCAGAAAATTGCTTCTACTTGATCATACATGGTAATGCAGCCTATTTCACATATTGGCCACGAAAAGCTAATTTTCGATTTCCATGGAATCGACATCTCCTCCAGTACTGTTACCCAAATCGAGATCCAGCAGCCTGGCATACTGGCCGGTCAGTCGCTGCAGCTCGCGGAATTTGCCTGTCGTCTGATTAGCAGTGCGTTCGCATCAAACATAGTAGTGTTGCTCACCGAGTATCAGAACCACCCCTTTCAGCAGCTCCTTTCGATCCCAGCCACACAGCTCGTCCGATTTGCTGAACCAGCCCTTCCCGCCCTCCGTCTCCGCGTCACTACCTTGGAGAATACCGCCTATGATAGTGTTCAACAACTCTTCGACTTTACCGTGTGCGCCCTCGGCTCCCAGTCGCTTGGCATACATGAACAGATATAATCGAAACTCGTCACGAGCTCCTAGTTGCATTGCACCCGCGATGCGATTCTCCAGATGCGCAATGCTAACCACACTCTCCAAATCTTCCGCCTCCTTGCGTTGAATGACTGTTTTGATAATGCGTTGTAGAGCATATGCTCGGCCTTTAAGCAGGAACTCGTTGGTGGTATGACGCTCCAGGAAAGGAATAATGCCAGACGAGACGTCCACCACTGGCTCTTCTGGCTCCTCCTCCTCCTGCTTTCTTCTGCTCTTCCTCCTTGTTGACCTCGTTCTCGACTTTGATCCCACTGCTGTAGACTGCAGAGCGGAAATGGATGAGTCATTCGAATTCCAGTATTGCGACCCAACAGCCCACCATGCCTCGCTTAGTCGTTGCCACGTGTACATATCGCGAGCGTAGTAGTATCCATCACCGTTGGTCAGAGTTACGACAACATGGCCCGTCGTGTTGAGATGGGCCGACGTGACTCCGGGACCGAACGAGGCGCTGTGTTGGTCAAATGATGATGTCGCCACATCGAGGATCGGTCCAAGTGACACGGGAGGGTGTGGTGAAGATTGTGTCTTGATATCCCAAACGTGGGCCATGCCCACCGCCGTGATGCATAACAACCAATGATCGCGGCACTCGAGAATGACGGGTTGTGATTCGAGGACCATAGGGTTCAAGAGTCGACGCCCAGCAGGCGACCATATATGGATAGAGCCGTCTTCACAGGCAGCAGCCCAGAAGTTTTTGTTTGCAGTCACTAGAATAACAGCACGTGGCAAGAACTCGTGCCAGACGACAACGCCGCGTTTCGAAACAACAACTTGGGAAGGATCGCGAGGGTTCGCATCGTTTTTGGCTTCCAGTATGATATTCTCAGTCGACTTGGAGGTCGACTCCTCAGTGCCAAGGATCCCTTTCTGAAGAGGCCGCAGAATGTGCGATCGCACTCGAGGCACGGCAAGCCTCACCGCCGCAGCAGATATCGCCGGGTTCAGGACAGCAGGTCGCAAGAACTCCGGTGTAGGGAGAACGCCATTCTCTATGTTAGCAAGCGCTGCCGGCTCAACGCCATCCGCACCGTTAGTCATGATGGCTGTTGGGCCGCCAGTTGGTCGCTTGGCAAGAGGCTCTTCAGATTCTTCCGCCTCAGCCACCACGCTCTTGCGCTTATTGCCTAGCAGCATGGATGCGATACCCCCTTTGGGCAGCCCTTCAAAAGGTTTGCTAAGATCGAGGACTGTGAGGGGAGCATCGTTTTGTGATGTTTTCGCCGTTGACGTAGAACCGATCAGCTGCGTCTGGGGCAAAGAGGATTGGCCGGTGCCTGATGATGATACTAGAAGAGGAGCAACACGCTTTTTGCCGTCTTTTCCGACCGTGACTCGAGATTTGAGCTCCTTGACTCGCTCTGCGGTTTTGTCTTCCTCGGGTTTCTCGGCCGAGTCGCCGTTGGCGGCGGGTTTAGGTGTAGAGTCGCCGGTTTGTGTACCATTGGTGGCTGGGGATGCCTTGCTCACACCATCATGCGCATCTCCCATCAATGCGCCCATTCGCGACTGCAAAGCTTTTGATTCGCCGGCTCTGCTCTGGTCCTCGAGCATCAGGCCATCAACATCTTCTGCAATTCCCATACCTTTCCGCGAGACGCCATATTTTTGTAGCGCCCGGTCATTCTCCTCCTCTCTAGCAACCCAGCCGAGTTCGCCAGGTTCGAATCGAGCAATGACAATGCTACCATCCAAACTGGCTGCGTATAAAGTCTCGCCATCGGGTGTCCACGCCAAGTCTGAGATGGACTTTCCAGCAAGATCTTGCAAGATGATGACAGGCCGAGAAGTGTTGGTGTTCCAGATGCTGAGTGTTTTGTCCTGCCCGGCGGATGCGATTACGGTGACGAGCTGCGACGACTGGTCGCCATTCGCATCCCCAGCACCGGGTTTCGAAGTATGGAACAATCGGGGAGAGAACAGACATACTTCTGTTGGCGCTTCATGGCCGATCAGATTGATTTCGCTGTCCCATCGTGTGCGCTCGATGATTGCGACAGAGCTGACAGGCCCGTTGACGGCATTGGCAGCGGCGATGTGGTTGCCGTCGGGGGACCATGAGCAGCGACGGAAATACGTTGTAAGCGGCGAGCTCTTGAAAGGAGAGCTGATTGAGGTTTCGAGGACAAAGTTGTTGATCATGTCGTGCTGGGTCGAGTGAGGGCCCGGAGACGTGAAGCGAAAGATTTTTATAGTTCGATCGTCACTGGCGGTCGCAAAGAACTTGTTGGCAGGGTCAAAGGTAATTCCCTTGACATGCGACTGATGCGCAGGCAGCGATTTGAGCTTTTCGAAAGTGTAGCCCGACCAGACCACGACTTTGGAATCCAGGCCGACCGATACGAGTATCGATGAGTCGTACGACCAAGCCAGGTCCTGGATGTCATTCTCGTGACCAATCAGTCGCTTGTACGTCTTCCAGTTCTCGACGGGCGGCGGCTCGTCGGAGCCAAAGGTGGCGGGTGGCGGGCCCTTGTCGAGGTGGTAGACGCAGATGAGCTTGTCGTCGGCGCCGCTGGCCAGGTACTTGCCATTGGGGCTAAAGCGCACCGAGTGGATGGTGCCGAGGTGGTGGCTCATGTGGCAGAGCTGTCGCGGCTTGGTATAGGACGGGTCGCGCGAGTTGTAGATGGCCTCGGTAGACCAGATGCGGACATGGCCGTCGCCGCCAGCGGTCGCGAGTCGCTTGCCATCGGGCGAGACATGGCAGCTGTAGACTTCAAAGTCCTTTTGCTCGCCGCTGTGGCTCAGCCACGACGGCTTGATGAGGAGCATACTGGTATGAACGGTGCCCACATGCGCTAATGATGCTTGTCGATGGCAAAAGGACGATCTGGCGATGAATTTGGGGGGGGAGGTGGTGGTGATGGGGGGTGTTTGAGCTTGGTCGCTTGGTCTTCTTTCAATTGGTGCTGGTTGGCGACGCGCGGGCGCGTTAGACAGCCCTTCCAGCGTGTCTGCTTTTTTTGGCAGCCCAGAGCTAATGACAGCCAGCCAACCGGCCAATTTAAGGGAGCGGAACAACCTTGATGCGTCGCGTCATGATTTGGGAGCTTGTGTTGGATGCAAGGCAACTTATAAATCTCAGTTTCCACTCAGATGGGATGGTTCTCTACGAATTGACGTCGTCGTGAGTGAACAAAGTACATCTTGAAAAGATGAATCGATTCGCCTGATACGTATTTGTTTCTGCGTTGACAGCTATTTTTAGTGTTCAAGACCTCGAGTCCATCACTTCCACTCTTCCTTCCAACAATCCAACCCATGCATGCATGGCCACAATGCTCCAGGCGCCGTTGCTGGAAAAATCAAAACAGTCATCAAAAAAGTAGCGCTTCCCATTCCAGTCATTTCTCATGCAAAAGTTTTTTTTTTGTTCCGAATGCGACAATATCTCTCATATCACAAATGCTTCTCCACCAACGGCGTCCTCACTCATGCAACCACCGCCGTCGCAATGGCAGCCATGTGATGATGGTTCATCGAGTCTTCCGCCATCGCCAGCGGCTCCAGGTCTTGATAGCTTTTGAACAGCCTATGTCTCGTCACAGCCGTCGCGTTGGCCCTGATGCACTCAACCAGCTCCTCGTCAGCCTCCTGGATGGTTTTGATCATTCTCGCCAAGCCATTCCAGTCGACCACGTTCTTGGCGGCCGGGTTCCAGGCGCTAGCGGCAGCGCACACGCAATTCATTTCAAATTCGAGGATTCTGCGATATTGCCGTGATATTTGACCGTGCACAGGATCTTGCTGCGACCGAAACTTGGCGTCGTCGCGCCAGCTTCCCGGCATCGAAAGGGAAGCGAGTGTCATGTAAAAGTCTATTCGACCGAGGACGTGCGAAAGCCCGGCATACATGTAATCGATTCGTAAAATAGGGTCCAGCAACAGCTACATGGACGAGGCACGAACTGTCATTAGCAGGCTGCACTCTGTGGCTGCACATTATGGGTTGGGGGAGCAAATTGCTATACATACCGGTGTCATAGTGCATATGCCGGCCCACGCAACCGCTGACGACATGTACACAGGCACCACGGCGTCAATCGCCGTTTTCGCAGCATCAATTGTCGCGCGCGCCTGCGACTCGCCCTGCTCTGTCCGCGAGCCCCTCCTCTTGGCGAGGCCAGCGCTCATAATTTCCTGCAACAGCCGCAGACGGCCATCATCGGACAGACCACGAAAATTCATGCTCATGCCGCCCGTCTTCATGTGGTTCGGGAGTTCCTGGGAGACGATGGACTCGTACGCGAGGACGAGTCCTGCAGTGGACGGGCCGTCGCGGAGGCCATCGTACGCTGCGTTCCAGAGGCTGAGAGAGATGCTAGCTTCGCGGGCCGCCGCGGCCGCGAGACTCGAGAGCGAGTTGCGCGGAGAGCTACTCGTTCTACGTCGTGAGAAGCTGTGATGGCTGTTACACGAGTCTTGACTACCGTGTGAGGAGGGTCGCGGGGAGATGAGGCTCATGCTGCCAGCACGCAGCCGACCCACGAATTTGCGGATGGGGTTATGTTCCAACTCCGCCGCCATGGTGTGCTGTGTTTCATAGAGGAGGCGAATATGGTGATGTTGGCGTGTATGCTGCTTTCGTTGGCTGGTTTGGCGAATATGCGTTGCAGTTGCAATAAGACTAGTTTATCAGCCAAGCTAAGCTCGCCGGAATCGGGGCGGAAATAGCCCCGATGCTGAAGGTCAATGGTGCTGCGTCGGCAGGCAACTGTCGAAACGGCGAGAAACAAAACAAGGCTCAGCTGGTCCAACGTATGAAGAAATCAAGGAATCAAGTTCAGGGTCTTTTGGTGGGCGGCGCTGATCTTTTCCTGTCTGTCACCGCGGGCAGTGATCGTCTAAGTGGGCTTGAAGGGCGGCAACCGAGCGCGAGAGCGTGTAGACACAGTGCCGGCAAAGAATTGTGACTTTTGATTGAATAGTCATGTATGTTGATAGATGCAAAAGCTTTGAAGGAGCAAAATTCCTGCTGCCTGTTGGGGCGTGTGTCTGTATCTTTTTTCATCGGAGCCGTTTCTGGCCGGTGTGGCTGCATAGCTACTTAATCAAAAAGAGAGGGTGCCAAGGTGCTTCAACTGAGGCTGGCTGACCATACTGCAGTTCGGCGACACCCTCGGCCACGTCTAGCATGAACGAAAACTAGCGGGGAGGGAGTTGGTGTGCAGTTACGGTGTCAAATGCCTAGTGCTCAGCTTGTCGTATTGCCTCGTCTGGCTTGGCAGGCCTCCAGCTGGGCGCATGCAATGCCGGCCATAACTCCGTTAGTCCATGGATGACGCTTCTTTCCGTCGGCGGGACACTGCGTCATGGCTTCGGGACCGAGCTGAACCGCCAAAGTTACCACCCATTACACAGCGAGAGCCCGAAATAAGTACCTCGGGTCACGAATATGACACAATGCCCGCGGAAAGACATATCTAGTAATTTGCAAAGCTTCGGTCAGTTGCTCATGTTGGCTACATGTCCCCTCCGAGGCAGCTGAATGGAAATATTGTGCTCCTCGGGCGCGATTTCTGTGTTTCCCGGAGTACCTGTCCAGTCTAATTCCGCAGCGGGACTGGGCTTCTAAGAAGGTTTTGGGGGGCCAATCTTTGTAGTGGCGGGCTAATCTTGGCCTTAGACATCGAAACGAGTAACGTTATTTGAGGTACTGGTAGTTGGTGGCCATCCGTCAAGGTTTCGTCATGCGATGGACTGTATTCTTGGTCCGGCGTCCTATTAGCTATCGGCCTCCGGCGCCCGACCCTCCCCGACCTGTGCTTGTACACTTTTACGCTGGTAAGTTGCCGGGCGTCTTGGAATGTGCTTTGGTGGCAATGCGGAGATGATCATCGGGCTGCGGCGAGTACGAGATACGAGGTTGAATTTCAAGCGAGCTGATAGGCTACAATTCAAGGAGCATTCGATCATGAGTACCAAACAGTGATTGAGATGGAGACTGGAAGATCTCGGTTTTCTCGTTCCTGTCTGCCTTTCATTTACCGCGCGCTCCAGAGGGAACAGGGACACGTCGTCCATTCTTGCATCACTGTCCCGTCTGCCAACGCGCGCTCGATGCGAGATGAGGCGGTAACTAGTTAGACATACCAGTATGTCTCGGTCTTTTATGCAAGAAAGCATGCGGGTCACTTTGTCGTCGGAAAAAAATTACTGATCGCTCGCATCTGCCCACCGACCGCTCAAAAATAACAGCAAGTGCACCTTGGCGGGTAAAAAGTTGCTTTTTGACTCGTAACGGGTTGCAGAGGAGGCAAAAGTTGACGCCCACACCGCCGTTGTAATCACACCCGCTCGCATTTCGCCTGGTCCTGTCTATCGAACTGCAGAATCCAAGATGAGGGGCACTGGAGCCAGGTCGATTGCAGTAGCAAAGACCAAAGTACCGCTATTCTTTGCCCTTGTGCCCTCCTCGGTGCCACTCATGAATAATTAGTACATAATAATTTTAGTTGCAAGGTGCAACAGAACAGATTCGGCCAGTTTCGACGGCAATCTTGCCACTCTCCATCACGGTAACAGGACGGAGCTGTATTTACCGCAGCATTTACCGCAGCAGACTAGCTGGTGTGGCGATTATACTACAACCGGATGATGGCCCGGCTAGAAACAGAAACCTGATCACCAGGTTCTGCTTTTACAAAGCTAATCTTTCTACATGAGCGGCATATGACAAAAGGCCATATCGGGACATCGCAACGCAAAATGCGCTGTTGCCATGGCAGCGACCGCCCATAACGAGGGGCAAAATCAACGCACTAGACGGTGATGTGCGAGCCGCAATGATTTATTGAGGAGAGGGAGCTCTGCAAGTTCTTGCCTTGTTTAGTCGATGGGGCCTACGCAAGACTGACCAACGGCGATGGCCCCCAGACAAGCGCTACTAGCCGATGATAGTTTGGCAGAAGCTCTTCTTCCAGTCTGATTTGGACAAGCTGTATGAAGCTGGGAATCTGGAGTTGGAGCTGAAGCTTGACTATCTGTAGTTGGTTTTTTTTTTTTTAAATTATTATCAGTTGACTGGGCGAGGCAGGCACTGCGGTCAGTGGTTGGGCAAGGCAGTCACTGCAGTGACTGGTCCCTCTCGCTGGAGCCAGACAAAACAGAGTTTGCCAACAAATAAAAAGCCAAGCTCCCCTCACTCCATGCAAAGCTCGTAGCTACACCTGCACATCCCACCTGCAAAACATTACCCCGCACCACGAAAGAACCTTCAATCCAAATCACAATGGCTAACCCCAAGGTCTTTTTCGAAGTCTCTGCCAACGGAGGTAATGTCAATGCTCACGCTCAACGGCAGGGCTTAGCTAACCAGTTTCTTTCGTTTTCAGAGTCCCTCGGCAAGATCGTCATGGAGCTCCGCAAGGACGTTGTTCCCAAGACGGCCGAGAACTTCCGCGCTCTCTGCACCGGCGAGAAGGGATACGGATTCAAGGGCTCTTCTTTCCACCGCGTCATCCCCGGCTTCATGTGCCAGGGCGGTGATTTCACGAACCACAACGCAAGTCTCCGATGGGCAACCGCCGACAAGATTGACATACTAATGCACACAACAGGGCACTGGTGGCAAGTCCATCTACGGCGAGAAGTTCGCTGATGAGAACTTCCAGCTGAAGCACACTGGCCCCGGTATTCTCTCCATGGCCAACGCCGGCCCCAACACGTTTGTCTCTCTACCCTCACAACGTTGCATCATGGCCGCTGACTTTTCGTGACTAGCAACGGCTCCCAGTTCTTCCTCTGCACTGCCACCACTGGCTGGCTGGACGGAAAGCACGTCGTGTTTGGCAAGGTCATCGAGGGCCTCGACGTTGTCAAGAAGGTTGAGAAGTACGGTAGCGACTCGGGAAAGACCTCCAAGAAGATTGTCATTGACGCCTCTGGAGAGTGCTAGACGAATCTCAGCCAACAGGTAACCAGGTCCCGACGGGCCGCGTGCCCTGTTGCGACTCTGATGGAGCCAAAATTAAAAAAAAAAATTGACATTAGCAGCATGTCCAAAGAATTAATTCTTCATTCTGCCAATAATTTGCTACGATATGCTTCGCTCCTGACAGCTTTCGAATGTTCCTCGAGCTACATAGCTCGGTACCTTTTTACCCCTCATCCCATCCAAGTGAGAAGCAAGCTAAAAATTACCTCTGCTTGGCATCCGTGCCTGTTCCACTTTTCCGCGCCGTAGTCGTAAAAGCGCCCGCGGGGCATAGAAAGCAAAAGCATAGAGTGTTGAAACAGTCGACCAGACGCTTATAGATGCTACCCTTCAAGCTAGACAATCTCCTTTGACTTCGCTGTTTCCTGCTCGTAGCCGGTACTGTGGCCCTGGTGATGCGAATCACTTGAGGCACGTTTGTTGTGCAAGTGAGAATCGGCGCCGTCACTATTGCGCTAGCGCCCGCCACTCCGACCGCCACCCTACAAAAGGACAACCACCAAGGTAGGCTTGAACAAAGGACCAGAACAAGGGGAAAGGCCCGAACAATGGAGGGCCAGACAATAAAAGGATCAGACAAGGAAACAGGTTCCTGTCCCTGTCCAGTTGCGCATCGCCGATAGAGCTATTAGTCATGAGTCGCTGCTATTTTGGACCAACTCGAGATACACTACGCTATGGGTTGAAGCAATGATAGTCAAGCTAGCCTGAGCATCTGTCGAACTTTTTTTGATCACTGCGAATTTAGTTATTCATCACTTCATATTCATCAACACCGCAATCACACACCCAATCATAACACTCAAAGCGTCATCATCAACAACTTACAGCGGCCAAGGTTAATGGTAAGGACTAAGTAGATTGTGTATCTTGTTTTTGTAAAGGTACTATTCTGGTGGTGGTGCGTCCATGAGGTACAAAAGTCGAACGAAGTACCAACGTTGGTTTGGCAATTGAAATGCACCCATTACACCAACCAAACAAAAGCCTTCGACGAAATAAGGGCTTCCGGGTACCCAGGTATTCTCATCAAATTCACAGTTGTTAGGGATCTGGTACGTCAAGTGTCATTGAAAGGAATATTATTGATTTTCGAACTGGTAAGAGTAAATGGTGTGTTTAAACTGCTCCAAGTCTGCTCCAAATTGGGCATTTGGGCAACAGCAGCGTAGAAATGAAGCCGGTAGGTTGGATAAACAAAGAAACACAAACAAGCGCCGACCTGGTGCTTGGGTCCAGCAGGCACAGAAGCACAGAACCTTTCGTGCTCCTCACCTACGGCGGACCCCTTCTTCAAGGCTCAAGGGTCCCACGCTCTACGATCGACGTTGTGAAGCAGCCTCGATGAGTTCAATGTGCGCCTCGCGCAAGCCCTGCAGTGCCTTTCTGGTGCCGCGAAGCTCCGTCTCCCTGCCCTTCAGCGCGTGGCCGACGGCGGCAGCCGCCGCCAGACCCTCCCGCAACGTGGCATTCTCGTTGCTGGCCTCTTGCAACTGTATCTGGAGGCGCCGGTTCTGGGCGTGCAAGGCGTGATTGTCCTCTATGGCAACGTCGAGGTCCTCGGATACGAGCCGCGCGCGCGTCTCGTGCTGGGCGACGCGGATCTGTAGCGCGCAGACGTCGGCGCGCGCCTCGTCGAGCTGCAGACGGAGCGCAGAGCTGTTCTTTTGGGCGTCTTTCAGCTCCTGTTCCAAGCCCTGCAGCATGCCCCAGACATCGTCATCGTCGTCCTCGTCGTCATCGGCATCGTCGTCGGCATCGTAGGGCCGGTCAGAGGGCAGGGAACCCGGAGATGCTTCCATGTTGTCCCATGATTTGACTAGAGCCTCCTCCTGGTCCCCATTGCCGCTCTTCTCGACGCCGGCCATGTGAGGGGCACTTTCAGTTCGTTCGCTGCTGGATGCATCAGCGGCGCTTCGCCAAGCTGTGCAGGTTCCGGCCTCTCTCTCGGATTCGAGGGTGCCAAACGACCAAGCCGGGGACCCCTTCACATGTGTTCGCTTCTCGTCGTTGTCGTCAGTCTCGTCAGGCGAAGCGTATGCTGAGAACAAGTCAGCCATACATGAGAGACGCGATGCGACGGCGACGATGACGGACACCGCTATGAGCGAGCCGACTGTGAGCGTGACTTTGCTAGGCATGGGCATCTTAAAGAGACTATAGGAATTTGGGGGGTTGCCTGATGAGGTTGTTATTGATCAGTATGTCGCTCGCTGTCTGGTGAATGATTTGTCGGTTAATGATATCATCATCAATATGAACGCTGAGAACAGCCGCATCTATTATATGTTCGAGTTTCCGTATACATAACTTCATTATCTACAAGGCTCTTTGAAGCATTTAAGAACAAGGCGGCGTGAATTTGCGAGTTCAATGTAGCATGAGCAGCCTCGCAAAGCTCTTCGAGTCCTCTCCTCTTTCTTACCAGTCATTGACGCCTGTCTTTGCGAGATACTCTTTCACAAAGCAAAGCAGCCTCGACCAGCTTTGCCGTGGACGCACAAAGACAGGGGCGATGCACTGCATCCCAGCAGTCTGCATAGCACTGGCGCTCTTTGTCCGGCTCTGCGGCTCATCCTCACCTCAACTTGCGAAAGCAAATACTACACGCAATCGGTCATTGCAGCCCCCACCAACCAGCCGACTTGGCACGATCCGTCATGGTCCGTTCGTACCATGTCTTTCCCATCCAGCCGAGACTGCCGTTTGCCCTTTCAGCTCTCTGCCGCATGTTGTCGTAATCTAGGTGGAAGAACGCTCGATCGCTGCCGCCCGTTTTCTCGTTGTCGCGACGGACGATCAATCAGGACGAGGAATGTCTGCTTTGGGGGGGGGGGGGGGGCGGGCGGCGGCTGACGGCACGTACGGGGGGGGCATGCAAGGTTTGGGCGATAGGGCCGTGTCGATCCGTTTGCGCAGCCTCGTTGTTGAGCTGCAGCTGTCGTTTACTTTTAGCGGAAAATCGAAAATCGAGCGGAAGTTACGGGAGCCGCCGACATCCAGTCGACTTCGAGGATGAGACTGGACGCCCGCGGCGCATTTGAACAGAAACCGGGCGGTGGTATTGCCCGAGTGGCATCGTTCAACGACTCCGTCACAGGCGCAGAGATGTCGGAGCCTTGTTGCGCTGCATTGTTGCATGCACTTTGTCAAGGACAGATAAGCGACTGAACGAACGTACTGCAAAGTCGAAGACCAATCAAAAATGAGGTATTGGCATTATGGATGTTACTCCTTTGAGGCCGATGCCGCGCTGTTACGAGGGGAACATGCCGTCAGTTAATCATAGAGCCTTTCGTATCCTCCACACCCCTCTGTTCGGTCCCAGCTGACGCAAAACGAGGCTCACAATAGGCCAGGATGCACCCGTACTTGGCCGACCCCTCCTCTAATATTTACCAGTAGCGAAAAGGACCGGAAGAGGCAGGTAGCGGTTGGTGATTCCTCAGCCAACTAATAACTGCCTACCCAGTAATTATTTACATTACGGTCGTGGAGATTCGCGTTGTGGGCCACATTCTTTGACCACAAAATAAAAAATCGTCGGCCAACGCTTCTCCGTTCCTAATAACAAGTAATACGAATTTTTGTTTGCCTTTTTGCCTTGTAAACAGCTGTCCCCTTTGAAAGCCTCTTTCGAGACTGAGAAAACAAAGGCGCCTTCTTTTTACTAATATTAGAAACCCGACATTTCTGCGGCAGGTTTGCCACACTGCAACAAAGCAGCACAAGATATTGGACGCTGATATTCTCGGAATAACGCGGCGCACCGCGGCAAACCCCATTCTGGTGGGAGGCTGACCCCATCTCATTGGCGTTGGCGCAATATCGCGCCGTCGCAAGCTCGGCTGGGATCTTGGAGCTCGGGTTGTGTCCGTTGATAGTGAAACGCCCTTTCTTCGCAGAACGGCAGATGAAGTTTATATCTCGCCAACCTGGTTATTATCATCTTGGTCTTGGCTGGCCTGGGCAGTTTGGGCTCTTGATTCCACTCTCGGTGTCCCATTCTCATTAACCAAAAAAAAATTCAGTCATGTAATTTCGTTGGACGAGAATTGATCGTGTTAGGGGCCAAGCCACACTGGGGCCAAGGTTTGGTCGGTTGATTGAACAAAACCGCATGAGCCTGCCCGACTAGGCGAGGGGGCGTGAGATAGCCGGCCCAGGTGAGGCGAGGGCCAACAAGCTTTGTCAAGACTGTCTTCGCCCGCTAGAGATGGTCTCTGTCTTGCTTGCTCGTATGATTATCCATACTGAGTTGTACTCGGTGCGCGGGGGACCTCTCCAATCTAGCAGATTTGAGAAATCAGGAGACAGAGTATTTCTCTCTTGCGCTCCTCCACAGATGGGGACGGGGCTGTCAGCTGGTCGATTGGGCACTTGCGACTTGGTAGCATCGCGCTGGCATTACCAGTAATATGAGTGCGCTCGTCGTGTTATTAGCTGAAATGGCTGCACAAGGAAGGCGGCCTAGACGAGAGCAAAAATAACATAGATGGAAACCCGCCGAGACTTGGTAGAGTGGAATATTTGATAAAAGCAAGTTCGCGACAACTACTGAGTTATTCCGACCAAACAAGGAAAGTTTGGAGCCCCCTACTTCGTAGCTTGATGCTCTGTAGTTTGCTTTTTGTTACCGTGTACCCGTGGTTCCTTTTTTACCGCCAGTGTGATGATGCCAAGGGAGGGGTGATGGGGGCGTGTGGTGTACGGATAAGAACCCAGATTGGCCCGGCTATCGGCTCTTGACTCTCGAGAGCTTCCCATCCCTTGTCAAGTCAGAACAAAGCAAAATTCGGCAAAAGAGCAGTCACAGCATCGATACTTCATTTCACCGACATGGCATACGAAAATATTCGGGGAGCACCCAACGAGGCTGTGGAGAGGACTTTAGGCTAAACCCCAATGTTAAAAAAAGAATCGGCAATAATAGAAGAGTATTACAGTATGCAGCGCATATTTGAGCTGCATCGAGCTTGTCACCAGGGCATCTGCGTCGTCTGAAACGGTGGGCAGGCAACAAGCAAAGCCATTTCACATGACGAGGCGACGTAATGTGCTACTCCTAGTTACATGATAACGGTTCTTTTGTTGGCGGCCGACTTTTTGAAAGTTTGACTGACCGTCTGTTGGACCGTGACTCGCAGGACTTTTGGCGGTTAATGACATGAATAGTGTGGCTGGATTGGTTCACTAATAATAACCAAGTTAGTCGCGGGACGAGGCGCATCGGCTTGCTTCCTCTTCCACGCAGTCATTGGCGGGCATGCGGAGTGAGAAATTTTGTGAGACGCCACGTCGTCTACAAAAGAAATGAGGGCGAATAACACAGCGCGTGATTGTGATTGTGACGCATACTCAGCGATGCCATGTCTGTTGGGCATCTGTGGCCGTGCCGGTTGAGTTGTCATTACGGTATCAACGCAGCTGAAGTTGCACACTTGTCGGTGTGGAATTGGGACATGTGGTGTAGGTGTGTAATGTGATGGATGTGTTGTCGCGCGACATTTTTTTTTTTTTTTTTTTTTGCGCGACGGAACAAGAAGTGTAGGGCAGTCATCAGACTCTTTTGGCGGAGTTGATGTGGTGGTGGTGTCTTGGTGGTAATGGAGGTGTGGTAAAAAAGCGCGCACTAGTCCTGAGAAAATACATTTAACTTTACCATTGTCAAGATGTTGAATAGCATTCATTTATTACCAGCGAATATGGAGCTCGAGTCATCTTTTGAGCGATTATAGTTTCGGATGTCGCTGAATTACTCGCAAAGCCCATCGTGGTGAGAATGCGGGTGACGCAGCGCACAGAGCCATTAGCATACCAGGCGTCAGCGCAGAGACCACGTCTGTAGGGCATATCGTTGGCGAGGTGCTTACGGTCCACGGAGCGATCGCAATCACAAGCCAGGGCTGGCTGGTTGGCAGTTGACAGTTGACAGCTGTTGCCACCTCCGTCGCGTCGATCGGGGGTGTAACTAGGGTGGTTTCGCGGGCTGCCAGATTCAGGCAGGAAGCCGAGCGGCAACGGTTTATTGACAGGACCAGCGAATCGATTCCACACACCCGTTGGCAGTTGATAATCAGAGCACAGTTGCCTGGCACGCCTGGTGGCAGAAAAAAAAAAGAAATCCAAACACGGCAAACGAGCAGAGGCAAAAATAGCCTGCCGAGAGACCCAGCGGGACAGGGATTGCGGTGTTCCGCGCGGGGGCTGGGATTGGCTTCAGGCTCACGACTGGGGCGGACAATGCCATGTAACAGTCCATTGAAGGCAGCTTGCGAGAGGCAAGCCTCCTCGGCAAGTGCCTCCGTTACATGCGCGGACAGCTGTGCTAAACGAAGAGCGGTGGGTGGCATGGGCCGACGCATTGATGATGAGCGTGTTTGTGGATGGGTGACCTGTGAGTCTGGGGAAATAAGCCTTTATTGATTTGTTAAGAGGGGGCACGGAGTACCTAGTGTGGGGAGAAAGGAGTACCTGCTACATGGGCGTCTGCTTGGCACAAACAACAAGTACCTAATGAATATTAAGGGTTGCCAATCTTTGATTTTACTCAGGTGCTTCGAGCAGGTGATGGTCTGTGGTCATCCTACGAAGTAAATTCCCTTCTTCGGCTCAACAACCAGCATTGATTTTGAGACTTTCTCGTTGGAAGATAACAAGTTGATAATGTTTTGAATTGGATTGACAAATAGCGCTGCAACTTTGCTGCCTGCTGGTGTCTCGCCACGGAGCCACAGGGCCTGGTCTGCTGACACGACCTTGCACAAGCCGAGATGTGCGTGCCGCAGAGCTTCATGGCAGGCTTACAGGCGGTTCACGAGCAGCGCACCGAGGCGTACAGGGCCGTGTAGCGGTGTATCTCCAGCGGCGTACAGGCGGCGCATAGCGGATCACGACGTGTTACAGCGCACTCGGCCCTCTGCAGACCGCTGCATTCAGGTACCCGCCGTACACTGAATCACTGCCACCGACCGCCTGCCAACCGGCTTACCAACGTACAGGTACCACTGCCGGCTCCCCAAGACAGCTTGTCACTGCCAGCTCATCATGTTAGGTAGTCACTCATCACGTCCTGCACTCCCACCGCTGCCATTCTCCTCCAGCTCCAGCTGCCAATATGCATCCCGCGATCAAGTCACGCACCCGGCGCAAACCCTCAACAGGCAGCGATCGGGCGTCATCCAATCCCATCCGCTGTTCGTGGCTGCTGGCGGTGTACTCCGTGCCGTAAGTTAGCAACATATTTAGGTGCGTAGCTATTTACATAGGTAGGTAGGCACCTAGGTAGGTACCTAGGTACTTTTCCTCCACCCACCACTCTGCTCTGGTCGGCTCTTGTCCACCCTGGCCTCCGTCCTCATTGCTGTCCGAAATAACCCAGGGTCCAGCGTCACGCCTGGCCCTGACACCAGTGTGGCATGGCACTTCGGCGGTTGTCCGCGAGGCCTGAGCTAAGTTGGCTTGGACAAGGCCTCGAAGCAGAGACACAGACATATGTAAGGGATCAAACCTTGCCCGCAAACACTACGGATACGACCGGGATAATACAATCGCGGCTTACCAGAAATGCCGTTGTGCCAAACGCTGACAACATCAATGAGAGGTGATATTACGCTTAAATCTGCAAGTCTGACGTTCACTGTTTAGGTAACTGACAAACCACACAGCTGCTTGCCTCCAGCCCGCCAAATAAGCAAAGCGCGGGCTGGTCTCGGTCATCAAATAGGTACGGAGACGCTTACTCCCACACCCACTCCGGCGGCATCACCCACACGCCTCATCACACACACACCCCCGCGCTGGATCTCACCGTCTCTAGTCCGACTCACCTACGGGTACTCACAACCTCTGCTAGACGAGCAAGGGTGTCGGGTACGGGTCCGACGCCACCAACACAGACTCAGATCTTCGTCCGCCTTATAACATCCCAACGTTGTCCGCATTCTTGCCCCGTCTCTTGCTCATTTCTCCAAACATCCTCTACACGACGGCTGATTGTTACCTTGGCCGGTTTACACGACTACACATCCACGTCGCCATATACAAACAACAATACACACGACAAATATCCATCGCTTCATATAATCACCACCTTGATTGTCGTGGCCATGTTGGCGCTGCCTCTTTCGCCGCGCCAATGCGGAAGCCTTTTCGAACTGCCACATAAGAAATGGAGACGCCGCCGAATCACCAGTGATCTCATGGAGCAGGAAGAGCGCGATAGGGCTGCACGCGAGGCCGATATGGAATCGAGGGCCCGCGCCTGCAACTACCTCTCCACCTTCCTTCACAGCTCGCCGTGGACCGACCAACTTGACCAGATTACCATCGTGTGGGACTCTGTGCCCTCCATGGAAGAACTGGAATCCTATGGCGAACTGGACGAAAAGGAAGGCACTCTCAACTGTCGACGCCTCTTCAAGGCTGTTGTCGTCTGGGACGAAGTCGGCCATCTGCTCTGGCGTACGCTCAAGGATGCTGCCCAACAGGAACAGCAACCTTCGCCTGCCGCTCTACCCACTGTCATCGAGCACAACTCTACCGACAGCACCGATACTTGGTGGCACGCCCCTCATGACCGCTCATTTCGCCGCGGTTCCCAAGAAACTTCACACTCCAGCCTCGCCTCGCGCAGCTCCGCTGCCACCGACCCCTTCTCACTCGCGCGCGACTACACCACCTTTACTTCGCTTAGCAGCTCGCCATGCGAAAATGGCTTCATGGTCACTGCTGACCAGACCCGCAGGCGCAGCGACTCTCTCTCCGCCATGATCCCTCGCGCCATCTCCCACAGCTGCGTCTCTGCTGTCAAGAAGACTTTTAGCGTCTTCTCGGAGAAGCAGACTGCGTAACTCGCAGTATTGCAAAACCTCACATACCACCTCACGACTTTACGATTCATCATCACTACCATAACACTTCTTTTTTTTTTTTTTTTTTGAGCCATACCTCATCTATGCTTTTCGCCTACATCATCTGTCGGTTGCTGGGATTTATGCGAGGCGCTCATCGGCATGGTATCATAGCGAAGCGTGTTTACTTGTTTTCAGGACGCTTGAAGTGCTCAAGCAGTTGTTCGATTCGGTTTATACCCTGCAAGACAGGAAGACATTGGGACAGGCGTATGCACATTATTTACGACAACACATAGTATACATAATCAAGCTAGGAATCACATGATTTCTTTTTCATCCTCCATTCTCGTCTCTCTCATGAGTGTCACCTTGACTACCAAACACGATCAAACGATAATTCTTATTATTGGATAACACATGTGCCACTTCGTGATTCAATAGATGCTGTGTTGCTCTTACAAACGAGGATGCGTTAGCAGCGATGGCGACAGCACACTGATCGGCTAATTGTCGGTCACTTCGCGTAATTGGCCCGTGCACTGGTGCTCCCGTGCGACCAATTGTTGTGCTGTTGTGCTTGCTGGTGGGGCAGCACCTAATCTACTATGAGCTCCCCAGGCGCGCAAGGCTCACTTCGCCTTCTATTTTAAATTCATCGTCCTTCGCTTCTCCCCAATCTTTCGCGTCGTGATTCTCTTCTAGCAGACAAAAAGTCTTTCGTCGCAGTCGCATACACTCCTTCGGTGCACTGCTGAATTTTATAATCCCTGACCGAACATTATAAGCATTCCTTTTTGTTTGTTTCTAGCCGTGTTGCCAGGTGATGAACAGCTTCGTTGAGTTCACCATCTAGGCACGACGACATGGCGGCCGCCGCTGTTGATGTTGGCTACCTCGCCGGTCATCTGGGAATCGATGAACCTGTTCTTACGACCTTGACAACCGAGCCGACCGTCGACCTTGTCGCGATTCTGCTGCAGGCTGTGACAAACAAGGCACACGAGTTCGATGTTCTCTACGCCGACAAGCTGCAGCTCGACATTGAGCTGGAAAATGCGGTTCGCAGCGCCGAGTCTAGGTCACAAGCATCCAAGTCCACCGCCGAACAGGCTCTGAAGGATGTGCAAGAAGCCAGAAAGAAGGTCCAAGAAGAAGGTAAGCCTAAAGACGAAAGCATCGCCCTTTGTAGCTACCAATGGCTAATCGCAGCTTTCGTTCGGCAGAGACAAAGAGACAAGCTGTCGAGAATGAGCTGCAAGTCTTGAAATCAAAGAGCTCCGACCATGACGCGGACGTCAAGGCACTGAATGACAAGATTGAAACTCTTCAGTCGTCAAACCGTGCCAACTTGGCAATCATCGAGGCCAACAATAAGCGAGATACGACGGTCACGGAAGAGTTAACGAAACAGCATCAGCGCAACGTCGAACTCTCGCGGGAAGTTACCTCGCTTCAACAATCGGAGCAAAACGCCAAGGGCCAGCTTAGCAGTGCCAAGTATCGCGAAGAATCGATTCAACAGCGACTTAATCATGCGAACCAGACTATCGAATGGCTAGAGGCCGAGCTCAAGACCAAGAGCGAAGAGGCACTCAAGTTTCGCAAGGAAAAGGGTACCCGCATCGCCGAGCTCCAACGCCAAAATGAAGATGCCATCGCTCAGATCGATTCTCTCAAACGGACCGAAAAGCAGCTCCGGGATCGCCTCTCGACCTTGCAAACAAAGGTTGACGACACATTGGTCAGGATTCAAAAGCAAGAAGAGTCTTTTGCGGCGACTGTCGATAGCTACAAGTCCGAGCTCGAGGATCAACGCCGCTTAGTCGGGATGTCTGAGCAGCTTAGCCAGAAGCACCAGGATCGTGTTCGCGAGCTTGATGCCGAAAAGGAACGTCTCAAAGACAACTACGAGAATGAATTGCGCCGCGTCCGTACCGAGCTCGAGCAAGAGAAGCAAGCTGGAGTCGACCTGGAAGAGCGCATCCGCCAACTCGAGGGCGAGCTTGACGAAGCCCAAGTTCGTCTGGAACATGCTCCCCCTCCTGGATCTGCGCCTCAGACGCCACGCGCAAATGGCGGGGCCTTTGGCCGTGCAGCATCGCCTTTCGTAACACCAGGATCTGTTCGCAGTAAGACTAGCATCACCGCTACCCAGGCTATCGACCAGCTATTCCAGGTCAAGGGCCAGCTTGCTAGCGAGCGACGCCGGACACAGCAACTGACGGAGGAGCTCGATAGCATGATTGCTGCCCTAGAAGCTAAAGCCCCCGAAATTCAGGAGCTTCAATCCGAGTCTGAGATGCTACGTAACGAGATTGCTCGCATGTCGGAGCTCTCGCAGCAAAGCTTTGAAGAGCGTGATGCTGCTAGAAAGGCTGCGAGAAAGGCAGATGCCTCGCTGAATACAGCGCAGTCGGAAAACAAAATTCTTCGCACACAACTTCGTGATCTCGGCACACAGATTCAAATGCTGGTTTTCAACGCGTATGCTCTTGAAAAGGGCGTAGATCAGCTGAGCGATGAGGAAATTTTCCGACTGAAGCAACTCGAAAAGGGCGAAGTAACTGAGGAGGCTCTGGCCGACATGTCTGATACTCACCAGTTCATCACTCAAAAGCTCGTTGTCTTCAAGGACATTCAATCTTTACAAGTCAAGAATGAAGACTTGCTTCGTATTACTCGTGAACTGGCTGATCAAATTGAGAGCGAAGAGGCGCTGGCTGCCAAGCATCAAGCAAAGGAGGACCATGACAGGGTTGAGAAGCTTGAAAAAGAGCTCATTCACATGACAGAGGAATCCAAGTCGATAAAGACGACCTTGGAAAGCTACAAGACCGAGCGAGATATGTTCCGTCGTCTGCTTCAGCAGAGAACCTCAGGTGGAGATGAAGCATCTATGATGCGTAGCTCTCTGGACGGCCGCGCGCCTCTCGCCAGTATCGAGTCTGCAGAGCACACTGAGTCTCTCAGCGAGGCTCTTCGCAAGTTGCAAGCCGAGTATGATGGCTTCCGTGAGGCCCAAGATGGTGTGCGCAAAGATCTTCGCAACCAGGTTGACGCACTTTCCGCCGAGCGCAATGCTTTGCAGTCTGAGCGAATTAAACTGCAAGGCGAAGCTCGCCTCGAGTCTGAGCGCCGCGAGATGCTACAGAGCAACTACGCGGCCCTTCAGACCGAGAACGAGGAATTGCAAAAGCGTAGCCGCATTCTTTCCGAAACAGCAGCCAAGCAGGATATTCGCACCCAGCAGGTGGCGGAAGAACTGATTGATGCCAAGGGCCTCCTCGATAGCGTTCGCAACGAGGCCGCTAATCTAAAGGCTGAGAAAAAGCTCTGGAAGAACATCCAAGATCGCATGAGCAAGGACAACGAGATTCTCATTGAAGAGAAGAATAGACTTGGAAATTTGCTCACAACTCAGCAGTCCCTTGAGAATCAACGCAATCTTTCGGAATCGGAGTCTCGTAGGAAAGCACAAGCCAAGATTGAGCAGCAAGAGCAGGAGCTAGACTCTCTGCAGCGCAAGCTTTCTCAAGCTACCGAAGAGAGCAAAAACCTCCAGCAGCGAAAGGAATACGAGGCTCGTGAGGCACAAAAGCGCATCGATGAGCTGATGACAAGTCTCGGGCAAATTCGCGAAGAGCACATCAGTGTCAAGACCACAAAGGACCATCTGCAGGCTCGTGTAAACGAGCTCACGGTAGAACTGCGCAATGCCGAGGAGCGTGCCGGACGCTTGGTGCCGCGTCCGACGCCCAGACCTGGTGTTGTTGAGTCGTCAGAGTATCAGCAAGAGCTTGAAGCGCAAGTGCAAACGCTCACGAATGACGTTGCGGAACTGCGTCGCGATCTTGCGCTTGCCAACACTCAGCTGGAGAACGCCAAGACTCAGGCTGAACAGTATCGCGAGCTCAGCCAGAGCAACGAAGATGCCCTCGAGGATCTGCGTTCCTCCCAAGATCAGTACAGAATCGAAATGGAGTCACTGATTACGGAGAAGGATACCAAGATCAAAGAGCTTGCACAGCGCGTCGACGACATGTCTAGTGAGCTGTCGCGATCCAACACTGAGCTCTCTTCCTTGCGTGACTCTCAGAGCGAAGTCGCTCGCAAGTATGAGGATGAAAAGGCAATCCTCGAAGAAGAAATCTCGCGCCTCAAGGAGGATAGCGCCAGACACCTTGAAGCCGTACGCTTCCATCAACAAGATCTTCGCGCCCAAGCCGACATTGCGACACGCGCCCAACATGATTATGAGCAGGAACTGGTCAAGCATGCTGAGGCTGCCAAGCTTGTCCAGCAGCTACGAAATGATTACAATGAGCTCAAGAATCAGTCGGCGACCCTGCGCGCCGAAGCCGATTCGGCCAAGCTCACGCTTGCGCAGAGCGAATCGTCTTGGGAGGATAGAAGGCTCCAGCTTGAGCAGGAGATGGTCGAGCTCAAGAGCAGACGCGAAGACGTGAACGCGCAGAACAAGCTTCTGCATCAGCAACTGGAGGGTCTGACTACACAGGTTAACGCTTTGCAGCAGAATCGTGGAGGAAACGGAACCGAGGACGATGCTGTTGTGGCTGGTGCTACGGATGTCATGGAGGGTCTCAGAGAATTGAACAGCTATCTCCGCCGCGAGAAGGAGATTCTTGAGGTGCAATATGATCTGAAAACGCAGGAGTCAAAGCGTCTGCTCCAGCAGCTTGAGTACATGCAAAGTCAACTTGATGAAGCACGCCTGAAACTTGATCAAGAACGTTCACAGGCTGCTCAGAGTGATCGATCCTCCATGACCCATCAGAGTCTGATGGAAAAGCTCAACGAGTTGAGCCTCTATCGCGAGAGCAGCATGGCCCTTCGCAGCGAGAATACTCATCTCAAGGGCCAAATTTCTGAACGCAACACCAAGATTCAAGAGCTGGAAGCAAAGGTCCAACCTCTTGAAGCTTCAATCGACAATCTCACGACTCAGAAATCATTCCTCGAGGACGAGATCAAGCAGATCCAGGAAGATCGCGATAGATGGCAGAAGCGAACCGAGGGTATCTTGACCAAATACGGCCGCGTCGACCCTGCCGAGATGGAAGAGTTAAAGAAAACCATCTCTGACCTACAGACGGAGTGCAATACCCTCAAAGAAAGCTCACAACCACTAGAGGCCAAGATCGCTGAGCTGGAGGCTGCTCTCGAGAGTGGGCGTGCCAGTTGGCAGACTACACGTTCAAAGCTTGCCGAGCAATTCAAAGATAGGTCCAAGAGGATCACTGGCGAGAAAAACGATGCTGTTCAGCGAGTCAAGGCCCTCCAGGAGGAGCTCAGCGCCGCGACCGCCAATCTCGAAGCCGCCAATCAGCAAGCAGAGGACAGTAGGACTCAGCAGAGTGCGCTGGAGAAGCAACTGGAGGAGTCTCAACAACAGCTGGAGCAATTGCGACAACAGTCGCAAGTTGATGGCAATCAGGGAGGAACTGCATCAGTTGAGACGGGTGGCGATGCTGCCGCTTCCGCAGAGGTGGTGGCGAAGCTTGAGCAGAGCCTTGCTGAGGTTCAAAAGGAGCTGGAATCGGTCAGCGCTCAAAAACTCGATGCCGAGCAGCAATTGAGCGACCTCCGTTCTCAGCTGCAGTCTGCCGTTGCAGAAAGAGATGCTGCCCTCGGCAAGCTGGAAGACGCCGGGGAACCTACCGAAGGCGCCGTGAAACCTGTCGAGACGAGCTTGTCGGATGAGGAGAGGAAGGCCCTACAAGCCAAGATTGCAGATGCCGAGGCTAAGGCTGCCGATCATGAAGCAAAGGCAAAGGAGATTGAGGCCTCTATGCAGCAGACTATCAGGGATCGCTCCGATAGGATGAAGGATGCTCTCAACACCAAGCTCAAGGAGGCTCGCGCCAAGGTAGAGGCCGATTTCAAAAAGAAGGAGGAAGATCTCCAACTTCGCTTTGAACAGGAGAAACGCATCTGGCAGGCTGAGAACAGCAAGCCAGCTGGCGACTCCAGTGCCGGTGCAGAGCCACCGGCGACACCCGCCAAGGCCGGGGCCTCCTCGGTACCAGCTACTCCTGGTGCCAATAGCAGCGCTTCAGAACTTTCCCAACTTGACGATGCAGGCATTCGCCAGTTTCTGTCCACCAATGGCACGGCCAAGAACATCATTGCCTCGAACATTAGAAAGCGCGTCGAAGCTGAGAGCGCGAAGCTGAGGCCTGAGTTCGAGAGCAAGGTTGCAGCTGCGCGTGAGCAAGCTCAGCTCATGGAGTCGAAGAAATCGACCTTGCGCATTAACATGGCTGACAATAAGCTCCGAATCGCAAATGCCAAGCTCGGTGTGGTCGAGACAGCGGCAAAGGAAACACCACAGAAGCCCGTCGTTGAAGTTTGGGAGATTGCTAAGAGTACGATGCCTCCTCCGCCACCTGCTGCCAACGTCGCAACGCCAAAGGGCACCCCAGCGAAGCCTCCAGCATCAGTGAAGCCTGGAGCGACGCCCGCAACCCCCGCAACCCCCGCCGGTAATACGGCAGCACCTGCCACCAACCCTTTTGCGACATCTACCAATAGCAATGCAGCTACCCCGGCAGCAGGTAACCCGTTTGCTGTGAAGACGGAAGGGGATAAGGAGAAAGTCACATCTGCGGCACCTCTGGCGACGACTTCGGCGAAAGCTCCGGCAACAGCGCCTACGCCAGCCCCTGCAGCTGCTCCGGCGGCGGCTCCAGCAGCGGCTCCAGCAGCGGCTCCAGCAGCCGCAGCTGGCACAGGAGCGCCTAGTAGTATTCCACAGCCGCAGCAGAATCAGGCACCTCAACGATCCAACATTCCTATGCCCCGTGGCGGTGGCCGTGGACGTGGAGGAACGTATGTGCATCCTGGACAGCGCAATGCTAGCGGCAGTCAAGAAAGTGGCTTGCCAGCAGCATCGGGGCGAGGCGGACGCGGTGGTCACCGCGGTGGGCGTGGCAACATGAACCCAGGCGCTTCAGAATTCCAGCCGGGAACCAAGCGACCAAGAGGGGACTCTGAGGCCGGGGCCGGTGCCAAGCGCGCGAGAGGCGGCGGTCCCCATTAGAAGAGAGTGCGCCTCTCAACTGTCAGGACTGGCCGTGGAAGCTATAGACGAGAAAGGACCTAGACGGGGTAATAACGGATGTAGCTGGAATTGTATTATGATCATGTTTGTTAATGGGTCAAAATTGCTTGGCTGCTTTAGGCCTGGATGGCGCAGCATGTATTAGTTGCTCTCAGGAAAGAGACTCTAAATCTACACTTGAATCTTCTTTGTTAAACCAAAATCAAGTACATTCTTCTTGTGACTGGAGATATTATTGATCAGCTGTTGCTGATATGAGATTAGGTGATATTTGTAGTGATGACGACACAGTTCGAATTGTATAAGCAAGGGAAGCTGTGCTTTCTGAGGAGCCGAATATATTAATGTCATTGTAGAGCTAGTTGGTAAGTAAAGAGATTCTATTCGAAGTTTTTGAATTATACAGATGATCCATGTTGAAAGGTGGGTGGTACCACTGGTACCATGTCGGTGGATCGGCGCGAGTGGCACCGACCGCCGACAGCTCTAAAAAAAAATTGTGACCCGCCTCTAATGAACTTTTTCTTGTCAGACCTGGAGGTCGCCTTGAAAGGAATTTATAGAAATTCTCCTGCGCACCAACTGCATACTGTACGGGACATTTACTGCAGTCATTTCAGCACGCCATCCCCAGCACGCACAGCGATGGCTCCGCTGAGCAAAAAACGCAAGCAACAGCCTGCCGCCGGGCCCAATGCGAAGCGCAGCAAAAGCGGCAAGGCCAGCACTCCCCGCCATTGCGTCGAGGATGCCAGCTCGCTGGCCTGGCAGACCTTTGGCGAGGACTTTGGCGGCCTCGAAGTCATTGAGGGTGTCGACGTCGTCAGGGAGGGCGACCGCGTAACCTTTTTCGTGGCAGACACGCCGGCGGGTAAGGCGGCGGTGGCCAAGGACCAAGAGGCGGACGGCGACGACGGCGAAGTGTTTGAAGGTTTTGGCGATGACGGCGATGACGGCGACGACGACAACAATAAGGTGAACGGAAAAACCAACGAGACGGATACTGGCAAGGAGACGAAAAAAGCGAAGGCGCAGGATGCGAAATCAAAGACAGAGAAGAAGACGAAAAAAAAGACGGCGACGCCGAATGCGCAAGACCGCAAACTAGAGGCACAGACGAGCAAGAAGCAAAAAGGCGACGTGCACACGAATCCTTTTGGCGTGCTGATGAATGCAAATGACGAATACGACGACAGCGGCCTGGATCTGAAGAAATGGGTTGCGCTGAACCTCTCGCCTGCGACCGTCTCGGCCATTGGCAAGCTGGGCTTTGCCAGCCCGACCGAGATTCAGGAGCAGACGATTCCACACATAACGGGCGGCGCCGATGTCATCGGCAAGGCGCAGACAGGCTCTGGCAAGACGCTGGCCTTTGGCATCCCGATTGTCGAGCGCTGGCTGGAGCTGCACCAGAGCACCGACGAGGAGGACGAGGCCGAGGCCGAGGCCAAAAAGGAGCGCAAAGGTCCGATAGCAGTGATTCTGAGCCCGACGCGCGAGCTGGCCAAGCAGATTGGCGACCACATCAAGGCGCTGTGCGACGGGCTGCCGACGGCGGCGGCGCCGTACGTGTGCGTGGTGACGGGCGGGCTGAGCATCCAGAAGCAGCAGCGGCAGCTGGCCAAGGCGGACATTGTGATTGGCACGCCCGGCCGCCTGTGGGAGGTGCTCGACGGCAACATGAAGCTGCAGGACGAGTTTTGCAGGATTCAGTTTCTGGTTGTCGACGAGGCAGACAGGCTGTTCAAGGCGGGCCAGTTCAAGGAGGCGGAGCTGATCATCGGGGCGCTGGACCGTCGCGATCCAGAGGCGGAGGACGACTCTAGCGATGACGAGGATTTCTCTGAAGAAGAGGATGAGGACGCAGACGCGCGCCATCCGCCGCCTAGGCAGACGCTCGTCTTTTCGGCCACGTTTGACAAGGGCCTGCAGACCAAGCTGGCGGGCAAGACGCGCCCGTCGGCGAGCCAAGGCGCCACAGACGAGGAAAAGATGGCGTACTTGATGCAGTGCCTCAAGTTTCGCGGCCAGCCCAAGTTTATCGACGCCAACCCCGTCGAGCAAATGGCAGAGGGTCTGCGTGAAGGCCTCATTGAGTGCGGCGCCATGGAAAAGGACCTGTACCTGTACTCGGTGCTGCTCCTGAACCCCGGCCGCCGCACGCTCGTCTTTGCAAACTCCATCTCGGCGGTGCGGCGCGTCGCGCCCTTTTTGCAGAACCTCAACGTGCCCGCGCAGCCGCTGCACTCGCAAATGGCGCAAAAGGCGCGGCTGCGCTCCCTCGAGCGCTTCGCCGCCACCCCGGGCAGCGTGCTCGTCGCCACCGACGTTGCCGCGCGCGGCCTCGACATTCACGCCGTCGACCTCGTCTTGCACTACCACGTGCCGCGCACCGCCGACACCTACGTGCACCGCTCCGGGCGCACCGCGCGCGGCGCCCGCGCCGGCGTCAGCGTCCTACTCTGCGGGCCCGACGAGGTGCTCCCCACGCGGCGCCTCGCCGCCAAAGTCCACGCGAAGCGGCAGCAGCAGCAGCAGCAGCGAGGCTCCTCCTCCTCCTCCTCCAAGTCATACAACCACATTATTGAGACGCTGCCGCTTGACAAGAAGATTGTCGCGCGGCTCAAGCCCCGCGCCGACCTGTCCAAGAAGCTGGCGGACGCGGTGCTGGCAAAGGAAAAAGCGCACAGCGAGGACGCGTGGCTGCGCGGCGCGGCCGACGAGCTCGGCGTCGAGTACGACGAAGACGAGTTTGAGACGAACAACGGCGGCGGCGGCGCAGGGTTCCGAGGCGGTCGCGGGGGTGGGCGCAAGCGCAAGGAGAAAGAGGCCGCGGCGCTGAGCAAGGCCGAAATGGGGGCGCTGCGCGCGCAGCTGCGCGAGGACTTGGCGCGTCGCATCAATTTGGGCGTCAGCGAGCGCTACGTGGCGGGCGGACGCGTCGACATGGCCAAATTGATTAGGGAAAAGGAAAAGGCAACGGTGGGAGGACTCTTTCTGGGCGGCGACGATTCGTTTGGGCTGGGTTTCGGCATGACACTGTAGACAAAAAGAAGGATATGTGATTTTTTTTCCTTTTTTTAAAAAAAAATTGTATATATAGCACATGACCGCAAGCGATCTTTTTTAGCATCTTGCAAAGTCAAGCCCTACAGTTCTTGTTCCACCTTGCTGTGATGATCCGTCGTTGAAAGCAAAGACAACGAGCCCCCATCATCATCATCGTCGTCGTCATCGTCGTCGTGCAGCCTAGCCAGAGTGCGAGTGTACGCCTCCCAGCGGACCGCAGAGTCCGTCTCCGTCATGTGCGACGCCACGCTGTGCTGCTGCGACTCGTCCTGGCCGGCCGTGTCGTCAGCCCGCCGCGCCCTCTTTGGAGTCGAGTCCGGCCGATCGTCGTCGTCGTCGTCTCCCACATCATCCCGGCCACGGCTTTCAGACAGCAAGCACGCCTTTACAGGCGACGACAATGGGGCTTCTTCTTCTCCAAAAGCCACCACGGATACCCGCCCAGTCGTCTGCGTATCATGCGCGTCCTCGTCCTCATCCTCATCCTCCTGCGGCGGTGGAGGTTCCGGATACGTCTCCTTTACCATTCTGTCGTATGCAAAGACGTTGCCGGAGCAAAACTCGCCAAAGTACGAGGCAATAGAGTACCCTACCAGCAGCCCAAGTTAGTGTGAAAGGTTTTTTTTATTTGTACCGCACGGCAAGTTGTGCCCTGTTGCAATTTGTTTTTGTTACCTTTGCGCCACCATTGCTGGGCATTTTCTGTGCAGGGCCATACGTCGCGTGGCTTAAAGGCGTCGACGAAATGGCAAAGCTCCTCGTAGGAAGAGTGTCGAGCGTAGGGAAAGCGAATCACACACGGCAAACCTGCTTGGCTGGCTGGCAGTGTTGTATTGGCCGAGCTATCGGTGCGCTCGGGTGGTGATGGCATGCCACTCAGCTTTTCTATGCTCGCCGTGAGATGTTCTCCAAACTGATTCATTGCCAGCCCGAGCGGCATGTCGCGTCCTGAAGCCATCTTCTGGGCTAGAGACTCTAAAAAGCCGTCGTGGCCTTTTCCAGTCCGTTTGATTCTAGGCCGTAGCAAATTTAGCGGCTGCGCGCTTGTGTAGTTGTGCTGCGAAAAGAAGAATGGAGTCAAAAAAGACATACAGTTCCTGAAGGGCGCGGAAATCTTGAGGAGACAAGGACCCCAGCTCAGCATCTCGCTGAAAGTCGTTTCCTCCCCCGCCCACTCCAGCCTCTGCAATGTCGGTCCCGTTTGCAAGATGCGCCACAATCGGCTGTATCTTGACAACGTTTGGTCGGCTCGCAACGGAGCACAAGTTGCCCTTTTCGCAGCTGTGTAGGCGCGCGCTCTCGTCCGTTGTCAAGCAACCGGGATGCCACGCATTGCCGCACATGTAGCCCGTCAGCGACGCGAAGCGGTGGTCGCCGATTTTACTTGACAAAGACGTATATATCCTCATCTTGTACTCGTCAACGTGTATCTGCCATCATTCAGCATCAAATGGTAACCAGGGGACCGAGTCGTGCGAGTAGTTTTACTGGAGATTTCAAGGCTTTGGAGAGTGCGAGCCAGACTTCCTCGTAGCCATATGTCCATGTTTGGAAATAAAACACAGTGTCAGGCGGATATGATGCTACTTTGCGTAGCAGCTCTGCGATGCCCTCTTGCTTGGTCTGAAAAGGGATATTTTTCGTAAAGGATGTGTCGAGATAGATTTTGTCCAGTCTGCGAATGCCCGAAGTATATTCAATTAGAGTTGGATGTCTGACAATTGAATTGACGAACCATGGTTCACTGCGTAGATCCCCGGTATATAAAATTGCCGTGTCATTGCGCTCAATCACTGCCAAAACGGGGACAGGTTAGCCCCTCAAACGTAAAACAGCCCTCTCATCGTTTGGACTCACAAAACATGACCGCCCCCGGACAGTGATTCGCGTCAAACAACGTCACCTGCATCTCCAAACTGGGGGCTAGCTCCAGCGTCGTGGGTGTTTCCAGCGGAATTGGCCTCTATCGCGACAGTCAACCAACCCACCTCTCTCGCACAGCCGCGAACCCTAACCCCCGAGCGAACTCACCAGCAAAGTGCTCAAATGCTTATATGTTTGCTGCCTCGCCTCCAACACTCCCTTGGCATAGTTGATACGGCATGGGTACCGCTCTAGCCTCAGCAATATCTCGCGCGTAGCGGCCGAACAGTAGACGCTTTTTTTTTAGGGGGGCCCGTTAGCTTCCCGCACGCGGCCAAGCCCAGCCCTTGGTGTTTTTTTTGTTTGTTCTTACAATGGTGAGCGCAGCGTATCCAGACCAGCGAGGTGGTCGCTATGAATATGGCTGAGAAAGCATGCCAAAGGCGGTGCCTGCCCTTGGACCCGACGAAAAAAATCAACTTGATGATTGCTGGTAAGTGTATGTGCTTGGAGGGCGGTTTGACGATGCGTGAACAAGCTTACTTTTGATTTCTGGAAACTCGGGCACTAATCCGGCAAATGTCGACATGTTCTTCGTCTCTGTGCGCCAAACCTGGCAAAACTACAGCTTATTATCGCATTGTAGTGTCCCCATCAACGAAAATCAGCGTGTTTGGGCGTTTGCTATCCGAGATGTAGAGGCAGGGTTAGACGCCACCAGAAACGAGCTGGTCCCCACTTGATACATCGACGATTCGACATGCACTATATTAATAATAATTCGGGAAATATTGACAACAGGCAAATCAGATTCTAATTTCATGGCTACTCTATAGACAAATGCATATTCTCTTTTTACAGTTCAAAAGATTCTCGTCACAAATGAGTCCCGCTCGCACATGACTAACCAATCAGTCGAAGTGAATGCGCCACAGCTCACGATCACAGCCACCCTGGAAGTCACTGCGAGTGTGCATCATCAGGATGTTGTCATTGACAACCACATCGCCCTTTTCCCAGGCGTGGTAGTAGGCAACGCGACGGTCATGCAGGGTCTCGTCAATGGCCTCGCAGAGCTTTGCGCTGTCAGCCTCTGACAGGCCCTCAATGGCCACATGTGTCGGATCGAATGCCGTCTTGGTCGAAGGCCAGGGCTCGTGGTATCGCAGGCATGGCTTGCCTGTCGTCGGGTGCGAGCTAACCAGAGGGATTCCCGTCATGGCAGTCGCGTCAAACGAAGACGTCTGCACAGACCAGGTCTTGGTCTTGAGGTCCTCAATGTCGACCCAAGAGGGCAGGCATCTGAAGAAGTTGGTAGAGGAGGAGAAGAGCGTAAAGCCCGTGTCTTTGGGAGAGGCAGAGGCGCCAATGAAGAACTGGAATTTGGGTGGCACCGACACGAGGGACTCTTCGCCCTTGTCGTTGATCTGCTTGACCGTCTTGAAGAGTCCATCAAAGTGGAAAGGCATCCACTCGGCTGACAGGACATTGTTCAGGCCAGCAGTGTTGGCGCCCTGATCCTTGACCTCGAGGATTAGACCAAACTTCCAGGGGAGGGGTGTGCCAAACTCGTGGGCCTTTTCCAGATATAAATCGCGGTTGATGGTGTTTGCGAAGCCTCGCATGATGACGGGCGAGTTGTGCTCGGCAAGGGTGCGAACCTTTTTGGCATCAATGTCAGGCAAGGCCAACGCCTTGGGCCCCTTCTTGGGGGTAATCATCCACCCAGAAGGATAAATGGGCTTGCATTCGATGCCGCCCTTTTCTTCCGCCCAGGAGAAGAGATCAGACTTTTCACGGAAATAGCTGGGTCTGTCGTTCTCGTATACCAGCTCGAGTTTTTCGTCCTTTTCCAAGTCGGAGCGCATTCCACTAGTAACAGTTCCGTCTAGCATGTATGCGACACTGCAGTGCCAGGGAGTTGTAAAGGTGCTGGTCGTCGGCAGAAGGCTGATGGACAGCTTGGTGGCGCCAGTGGAAGGGTGGATAGAGAGACGGACGTAGTCACCGTATCGCTTGCGAACCGCATTTGCAAAGGCCTGCAGTGATGTTAGTATCCTGGGTTTTGAATTGTCCTGGCTGGCAGGAATTGCTCACCTCGCCGCGAGCCAACATTTCGCGAGCAATAGCCTCGGTACCGCGCTTGAATTTCGTCTTGGAACGGTTCTCGCCAACTGGGTATACATGCTGCAGATCGGTTTCAAGGAATCTGATGTAGCCCCGATATGTGAGGCAAACGTCTTCGTTTTGGCTGACCTCCTTCCAGTTCCAGTCTGGTCGGCTGAATCGGTTCAGCAAAGCGCGGCGGAAGTTGGTTGCGTTGGAAACATAGGTAATCTCGTCTAGCTCGTCTGGAAGATCGATGTTGACGAGATCGCGCAGACGGCAGAATGCAATGTTTGTATATTCCCGCTCAATAGCGAGTTTACGGAGCGACTCTCCGTATGCCCAAACATCCTTGTCTGCGACTCCTAGGAGATCTGAAAGTAGAGTTAGCATTGATTTTTGCGTTGTATGAAATGATTTCGTTATTCGTACCATTGTATACCAGACCGTCGGAGATGATTGTGAGTTTGGCGCCAGGGGCGTATACGCGCTGGATAGACGCGCAAATGCCGTTGAGGTGGGCGAGTGCCAAATCCTCGGCTCTGTCGGGAAGCTTTCCAAGCACTTTGGAGACTGAGTTGGGAGATTTGAAAGGAAAGGCCGGAAGGCACATGGGGATAACTTCCTTAGCCTTGACATGGCTGTAGATGAGGGCCAAGAATTTGAGAGCACCTTCATCAGCCTTTGTGGTTTCGCTAGAGCCTTTGCGAAGGCGATAACGATCAATAATCTGGAGAACCTTGGCGGCAGTTTCCAGTGAAGCGGCATCGAGTTCTGCAGAGGAAGGCGTAGCTGAGGAAAAGACGGAGAGCTTTGCCGCCAGCGGTGATGAAGCTCCAGATCCTTCGACGGCCATCTTGGGAGGGGTTTGAGGAGGAGAGTTGAAGGCTTTGACGAATATCGAGTCTGAGGTGCTGACTGCTGCTGCCATTGTGGGAAAGGAAAGGAAAGCAAAGAGAGAGAGGTAGGTAGAGTTATGATGAGAGAGGTTGAATTAAACTGCTTGATCAACGATGATACACTAGGACTCGGTATGGACTAGTTCAGGATAAGCAGTGATATATATATTTACATGTTTGAGCAAGTCTGTGAGGAAACATGAATCAAGACGGATCAGATGGTAGGTACTAAACGCGCAACGTCAGCTCCAGAGTTAGCTCCAGAGTCAGCTAACGCCTTGGGAGAAAAGAGCAATCCATTGTTCGAAAGAGGCAGGCGGGATGGCCGCAGGGGATAGCCCTGCGGGTATGTCTCCACGCAAGGAGAGACAAGGAGGGCCAAGGAGGGAACCGCGCACGCAGGCTCAAGGCTCCAAGGCCCATCACCAAGTCGTGCGCCGAGCTGACGCATCAATGTTATTTGGGTCCCCTTATTACGATGGAGATTCCCGTTTTCTTTTGGCCGATAAAATTGCGTTGTTCCCACTCGCGGAGTGGAGTTGCAGAAACTGGAGCTTATTAACACAGGGCAGACTCTATGTTTCGACGTTGACTACCTAGTTGACTAGCTAGTAGCGACCAGTAAATTGCCACAAAAAACCCGACTCGCGCTGCAGGGCCGTGGCGAGAGACCTCAAATGAAATTATACGACAGTCCGAGAATGCATTAGCAATCCAGAGCTATATTTCGAGAGTTATAATTTTTTCTCTTCTCTTTACTACTTTGCATTCGCTTCTTTGCTGCAGCTGCCAAAGTCAGTTAGATGATCGATTTGTGACCCCCCACGCCCCCTGTTGCCAATTATAATACCGACAGTATAATACTAACAGTATAATACTGACAGTGTTGCTATTAGTACGGACGGGTTGGCCGTTTCGGGGTTTTACTGGCTTAGTCAACGGAACTAACTAGGTAGGTAGTCACGTGTTGACTTCGGAATACTAGCTGAGAGGCGGAAATGAATTAGCAAGTTGGCCGTAGCGGCTTAAGCATGTTCTAGCAGGCTAGTTTATGTGTCAGCATCGGAATAAAGATTTTTCTTCCACCAACTAGTGGTAAATGATGGTGCCGCTACTATATGGCAATCTTGCCGTTGGGCCTCATTCTGCACTGCAAGTAATCGCCGCGGCCGTCATCCGTCAGACCGAGACCGCGGCGCCGCTCTTGACCGTGTTCAATAAGCCGGCGCTGAGACGCATTCGCCGGCGCGCCCGCAAAACTGGAGCCCCCATTGCAACATCAGAAACGAGGCGGAGTTTTGCCTAAACAATTATCCCAGGTGGTCCGACCCTGTTCGATGAAAGCCTTGTCATGATCACTTTTAAAAAAGCCCTGTAGATGGGATGGCGGAAAGATCGGTGAGAACTAGTCAGTCTCAAGTCTCACAAAAGTCTAATTGATCATGGTCCCTCTCCCCCTCCCCCCAGACAACACGATATGACACACCATCGGCCACGATGATGGGAAAGTGGAAAGTGGACGGGGGAGCATGTGGGCAGGTCTATGAATATTGTAGTGGCGGCGATGCGGCGCGCGATTGCGTGTAAGCTTCTTTCTTGTCCCGCAGATTACGGGGCAAAAACGTACCAGGAGCCACCAATGACTGGCCATGTTTATTTTCCGGTGCCATTGCTCTGCAGATTAAGGATCTTTTTGACATCCCTGCGTGTATCGAACGGCCGACTTGACAGGGCCAAGACGTGCCTGGGCTCCGTGGGATGACCGAAGCCATGTCTCATGATGGCCAAGCTTTCTGTTGCATGACAAGACGGACATGAAGTGGAACGCTGCCTTTGTAAGTTGATAATTGCTACGTGGCTAAGCTGTTTACGACAACGATGCCCGAGCAATAGAAGGTTTTTTTTAGGAATCTTTGCTTTTGACACCAGTACATGACTCTGCAACTCGAAAACAGTTGATATTTATACTTGCTCGCTCCAGGACAAGTTTTATCCACGACAATTACACTCAAATTTTGGCTCTATTTACTTTTTTTTCCCCTTCTTTTTTTCACAATGTCTGCTATTACTGAAGAAAGCGCTTCTACTGTTGTTGACGTTGCCATCTGCGGCGGTATGCTTTTTACTTGAAAGCTTTAATTAAGTGGTTCCCGTCTAACTTTTGTGTGAAGGAGGACCAACTGGCCTTGCAACTGCGCTGCTGTTGAAGAGACTCGGAGTCTCTGTCTGTGTCCTCGGTATGTTTGCCCGGTAACAAAAATAAACCGAAAAAAAAAAGTCGTCTGAAGACTGACTTGAGAGGAAAAAAAAAAAACAGACGCCAAGCCTGCAAGTCTTGAGTTAGGCCGTGCAGATGCATTGAATGCCAGAACGCAGCAGTACCTCGAGGTTGCCGATCTCCTTGGCGAGTTGCTACCCCAGGGCATTAAATGCAACAGTGGGTACCACCAAGTCTTTGCCAGGGCGCGCCCCAAACCACGTCATCAAACAAAGCTAACCACCAATCATCACCACCACCAATAGCCAGCTCGACATTTGGAGATGGCGAGTTCAAGTCTCGACAAAACGACTGGTGGGTCGGCCTCGAGCACACGCTGCACAAAAACTTCCTCATGCTCGGCCAGCCAGTCGTCGAGAGGGTGCTGGCCGAGAAGCTGGGCGACTCTGTCCACTACTCGGAGCAGGTCACGTCCATTGCCGAAGACGACGCCGGCGTCGACGTCGTGACGAGCACCGGCCGCAAGATTCGCAGCAAGTACGCCCTCGGCGCCGACGGCGCGCGTTCCATGGTTCGCGCGGCTATTGGCGCCACCTTTAGCGGTGGCAAGCCCGAGATGCTGTGGTCCGTCCTCGACACCTTTATCGAGACTGACTTTCCCCGCTGCCCCGAAATCATCACCTTTCAGCTCAACGGCCAGTCGCGCGTGTCGTGGATCCCCCGTGAGCGTGGCCTGTGCCGCTTCTACGTGCTGCTCGACGGCGAGGTTTCGCTCGAGCGCGCGCAGCAGTCCATCAAGGACCACATGGCTCCTCACAAGGTTGAATTCACCAAGACGGAGTGGTACAGCACATTCGATGGTGAGTGAAGAGCGCATAAACCCTGGTGGTGTGTGTGAATTTGAAAAATGTCGACTAACAAGGCACTCATATAGTCAAGGAGAGAATTGCATCCACATTCATTTCCAAGGACGGCGCTGGTCGCATTTTCCTAGGAGGTGATGCGGCGCACGTACACTCTGTCAATGGCGGTCAGGGCTTAAACACGGGCATCGCAGACTCGTTCAACCTTGCCTGGCGACTCGCCATGGTGGTTAACCAGCCCAACCTCCCCAAGGAGGCCGTCCAGAGGCTGCTGCTCAGCTATGACACGGAGCGCCGAAGCACCGCTCAGGGTGTCATTGACGTCGCGGCCAGACTTGTGCGCGACACTGTCCGCGAGGCCAAGACGTACGTTGGCACCATTGAGAAGAATGCAGGATACATTACCGGCATGGGCGTCTCGTACGAGGCCTACGGCTCGCCTCTTGTCGAGCAGTCGGAGCACGGCATCTGGAAGGCAGGCTTCCGCTGTCCAGACATGGTCATCAAGCCCCTCCTCCGCTCCGGGGGAGAGGAGGAGGAGAAGCGTCTGTACTCGGAAGCGAGCTACGGAAAGTACCTGCTATTGTCCATTGGCAAGGCGCAAGCTGCCAAGGAGTCGGAGCTTCCCGTCACTCGCTACTCTATTCTTCCGGCGGGAGCAAGCTCCGATGCTACCGCTACAAACACATTTACGGGAGACTGGGTCACGGCGGACGATGTCTTTCACGTCGTGGTTCGCCCAGACATGTATATTGCCTTTGTCAGTGAAAGCCTGGATGCTTGCGAGTCGCACCTAAACAAAGTTTTCAATGCGTAAAATAGAGATGATGAGTAATGATGGCAGGACTGGTATTATTAGATTCTCCATGTACTTTTAAAAAAACAACAAAGAATAAACGAAAGTTCCAGTTCAATTCGCATCCTTGAGAACGATTCGATTCATGCCGCCCTTTGCTGCGTGTTTCAGAAGAGTCCGTATTGCCCGATTCCATCTTTCCTTACCCAATATTTTCGATTCATTGCTACCGAATCACGCAAGTAAAATAGCCTGACCTTGTTCATGTGTCACGTCAGTTTACAATCTACTGTTGTGATTTTTATGGAGAATTTTCCCAAGAGAAACAGAGGACCAGAGAGACGATAACGACCCTGATATCTCGGTTACCATGACACGGAAGCGAGGTGGGATAGCCGTTTTGTGAGACATGCTTTCGCAAAGGCTAGCCGCGCTATCTGTCGGGCAGAAACAGAAGACCACCGGAGGACCAGACCAGGCCACTTTTTTTTTAACCTTCCAAAGAAGCTTGACATTAATTTGTCTAGCTGACCCTCCTGTTCCTGTTCGACTCGTTGATGAATGTTGCGAGTCAGTGGTTGTCGAGAAAGAATCAAAGAAAGGACGCGTAATAGGAGAAGCCGTGCATCACAGTGCAGAGTCAGTGCCTGGTAGGGCCGTTAGGTATGGCCAAAAAAAAATAGTGGCCTGTTATTAGCGCTGGCTCCAACGAGCCTTTTAGGTGGATCAATAAACAACCTAACTAACTCGTCTAGAAAAGTCCACGCAACAGGCGTGTTTCATGTTCCAGCTGTCGAAAATGCTCACAATGTAATAGTTGCGATTAATAATTCGCTCGAGACTAAATAATAATAAAAAATGATAATAATAAAGAATAGTAAAAAGTCTGATTGGTCCCATATACACAGGAACGCGGAATGTCGGTGCGCGACGCCACGATCTGACAATTTTCCTGCAGGCTCGTCAAACCCCAGACCATGGATGGCCCTTGGAAAAAAGCGATTCGTCCAGCTGGGGAACCTTGCTGACACTCGCAAAAAAAAAAAATTCCACAACATGATACATATTTACCTTACAGGCAGGCCGCCTGGCCGCGGCACAAATGCGACCCGTTCTACGTACTTATCCCACAAGCTCGCGAATACAGCGAGGTGCAGGTGCAGCCCCAGGACCACCCGGCAAACATTCCCGTCTTGCCGTTCGTCCACCACCGCCCGCATCCACCGCCGCTCCCGCCGCCTCCGCCGCCGCATACTCTTACTCTTCCTCCCTCCTCCATTTGCGCGGCGCCAGCTGCATGAGCTTCTGCAGCAGCCTCTCCAGCTTGCTGCTGCTGCCGCTCCGTCTCGGTCATGGTGTTTCGCGGCGGGGTTCGTCCTGCAGCCGTCGAGTATAGGTACATGGACGTGGCGACCTGCGCGGTCGAGGTGCTGGTATGCAGACTACGGTGAAGAAAGTTGGTCGGCGACGGCGTTGCGGCCCGGAGCCCCATCTATCATGGGCGCGCCGGTCTGATGATGCCAGCAAGTATTTTTGAGGAGAAAATTTGGCTGTGGTGGTGGATGTTGTTGCACTTTTGCCAACGAACGAACGACGCGGCCGGACAAGCGGGCGGGCGAGCCAGGAGAAAGAAGGCGACTTGGAGGCGCCTCTGGCGGTGTAATCAACGAAGGATTCGGACCCCGTCCGCCATGATAGCTTTCACCAAAAGTAGCAGCCAAGACTGCAGTTGGGACCCGTTTTGACGATGAACGGAGTAATAAATAGAGATGGGAAAAGAAGCTAGGCGGGTCCAGTCCAGTCAAGGCGGGCGAATGAGTAAGGTAAAAATATTTAGCCCACGAATCCACGCGACAAAGCAAAGTCCCCGCTTATTCTCCAACGGGGACGTTTCGGCTAAATAGACCAGTAGCATGACATTGAACCCCCCCCCCCCCCTGCCCACCATGTGAACAGGTACATGCGCTTGAGAACAGGGTCGTCGAGCTTACCTATTTGGTTTCCGAAATCGGAAAAAAAAAGGCAGGTCCATGTCTCTTTTTGGTGGTCCTTTATCAGTATTATGCTGGGTGCGGCATGGCCGGATCGCGCTTTTCTTGCGTAGATCGATCGGGACTAACTAACAACCATGCCGCGCTGATTTACGTCGCACGATGGGATTAAGCATGTGCACAACATGAGATGGACAGTCAAACATATATATGGATTATAATTATATTATTATATATTACAACATTAGATGTAGTCGCTACAGTATAATATTATCAATCGCTTCAAAATGACTTGGCAGCCCGCGCTTTTTTTTTTGGTGCAATCACAGCCACCGCCACCACCACCCTCTTACATGCATCTAGGGTATCAAGACAAAAGCAGCTAAACCAAGCCAGCCACACCAACGAAAAAAATAAAAATATAAATCACTGCTCCAATATCGCAAGATCCCAGCCTGGACGAGCACCGTACAATGCCTTTAGGTCCGCCTTGAGCCAGCAGCGGTGCTCGCTGCCCGGGTCGTCGGCGATGACGCCCCATCCACACGCCGTGCAGCCCGAAAAGTCGGCGCACCGCAAGATGCACTCCTGCACCGTCGTGGTCCACACGCTGCCCAGGTCGCGCGCCTGGTCGACTCCGCTGTAGTCGATGCCGCAGAAGCGTCTGAATGTCTTTTGACTGTCGGGCACGAGGTACAGCGTGTTGTTGGCGTCGGGGCAGGCCACGACGCTCGTCGTCGTCGTCGACGCGGCGCTTGGGGAGGCGGTCGACGTGGTTGCGGCGGGAGCCGTACTTGAAGCAAAAGATGCAAGCGAGGTTGTGCTACAATTCACGTCAGACATTGCTACACTTTATTTTTCTTTTTCCTCTCTCGCGCAAGTCGTACCTCGTCGCGTTCGTAGACTCGTTCTTGTGGCGACTGCGCCGCAATCCGAAAACAACGCCCACCGGAACAGCGATGGCGATTATGATTGCTATAACAACCACCCATAGCACAATCAAAAATCGGCGCCGCCGAATGCCACAGATCGTCGCGACAGGTAGCGGCGCCGGTGGCGCCACGTGGTCGTACCGGCCGTCATAGGTGTCTTGCGGCTCGGGCTCAAACCCTTGCGACGAGCCCGGCGGCGTGGCCTCGCTGTAAAAGGTCGAGGGCTGCGACGGCCGACCAGACAGCCGCTTCGCCATCCCTCCGCCGGACCGGATGCTCAGCGTGCTAAAAAAGGTGCGCTGGGACGGGCCATTATTATGATCCGCTCCCTCGGGGATCAGCGTCCTGGGTGCGGCGCGGTGCGCGCGCGACGGTATCCCTCCGGCCACGCGCGAGGCAGTCGTGCTGCTCGAGTACGGACGCGACATGTCATCTGCGTCTTCTTCATATGCTGCGAAAAAACAGCGCTCCCCTGCGGCGATTGCCGCTTACCTTGCGAGCGGGAGAGACAATTCGGCGCGTGGGGAGAAGGGGGGGGATGAACCGGGGTTCGAAGTTGTTGTTCCTTGCTGGGAGCTCCGTATCTAGAAAAAGAGTGGTCGAGCTCCGTATCTAGAAAAAGAGTGGTCGTGTCGCCCTTTTCTTTTTGGATAACCTGACAATATTTGGCGCAAAGCGAGCCCGCAAAAAGAAGCAATGACGACAAGACAAGTAAGGGTGTATGACGACAGACAAGCAAAGGTGTATGGGAGAGCACAAACCGTGAAAAGGAGAGTCGCGATTCGGTAATCGAGCTGTCACGCCATGTGCCCTGCTAAGGGTTACATACCAAGTCACCGAGCCATTCCCAAGCCAGGGGTCAGGCAAAAATCGAAGGCAGAAAGAAGCGTCAGCGAACAATCATAGCCCCTTTTTTGCGAGATTTGACAGCCACCAGCGCGCGCCACTTTCAATCACTTCAGACAGAGCTAGCAAACCTCGAAAGGCTACTGGCCAGTATCCGTAGCCTTTTTACGGATCATCTGTCGAGACAAAAATGTTTTTCTTTCCTTTTTTTGGTTTGTGGCGCTGCTGCCCCGGGGCAGAAGGGGGGGGGGGGACTTTTTGCGCGTTGGCATCGGTTCCATAATTGGGCCTTGGCTCATTTCCCGAGACACGATCATTGCCGAGACAAAAGATGTTGTCTTTTCTTCTTGGTGCCGCAGGATAGAATCGATCACGTCGAGGTAGATTTTCGCTCCGAGATGCGTCAATGGACCCAATGCGAAATATAACCCCAGATGGAGTAATAGGGCCGTGTCAATGTGTAAACAACCCGTTATAAGGCTATACGCCCGTTCACATATATGCTATAGCAGCGCAGATTGATTATTTACCCCAGCTCGTATTTGACGTGCCGATAACGGCCCATGGGGCTCGTTCAGCCTGTCAAGGTGGGCAAAGAAGAAAAAAAAAAAGTTTCACGGCCGATGCGCCGATAATAATCGCGAGCGATTGATAAGGCGCGGCACAACGCCTATTCGGATGACGGGTCAAGGGGAAGCACCACAGCGCCAAGAGGAAAAAAAAAAAAGAGAGACATAGCCAAGATAACATTGGCATCAAATATACATTGCCAAGAGGCTTGGCTGATGGTAAGCAAAGGCGGGAACCTGGTTCGGAGGCCCGGCCTAGCTCCGTGACGCTGCGCGACAACACTGGCCCTTGCACGAGGTCGGCCCCGAGGAAAGCGAGATTTTGGTCAACAACCTTTTTTTTAATTGATGCGCAGTTGCAGCCATCCAGCACAGTGTATTCAAATGCAATCCCAGCTTGATTTCTGCTTTCTTTTCTTCGTTTTTGATTTGATTTTAGAAACGCCGTATTCGTGACCATAGCTGAGTATAGCCGGAGAGGTAGCTGTTTTGAGGAAGATATCAACTCGTCCTTGTCTGTATTCAAAATCTTTCATGATTTGTATTTGCCGTTCCTTGTTCATCATAGTTCCACAGAACCAGAACCCTCCTGCTCTTTCGTCACGTTCCACTCCTTCAGCCACGCCTTGACAAACTCCACCTGCTGCTGCTGATTGTCAACGACTTGCTTTGGCGGCAAGCCCTCCTCATCCAGACCCGGCCGCGGGCCAAACTCGTCCCAGTGGTGCACGCCCCAGTCAATCAGCAGGTACGGCTCCGAAACTGTGGACGCGCGCTCCGGCAGGCCGTCGGCGTGCGGCGTCGCGGCGCGCCAGGGGTCCTGCTTGCCGTCAATAATGGCAAGCCGGGGGTAGCTAAAGTTGAAGCTGCCGTGCTTGTTGATGATGTCCACGTCTGGGGGCGTGGTGATGTTGAAGAAGCGGCGGCAGTTGACGGTGGCATAGTCGACGGTGGCGGCGCGCGAGAGGATGGGCCGACGGTCCTTGGGAGTGTGCTCGCCATTGACAAAGTAGCCCCATCTGTTTGTCACTTGTTAGCGGGTTTTTACTTGTTTCTTTCTGGCGCGACGCAGGTAGTAAAAAGTCACTCACTCGGTACACGTCTGCCACAACCAAGGACGGTACATGTTGTTGGAGATGGCTGTCTCGTCGGGCGCGTGGCGATTTGAGTAGCATTCTGCGGTCGAGAGGCCCTTGCAGGAAGACCTTTTGGCCTTTTTGACCATGTTGCGAATGTAGCCGGCCCAGTTGAGTAGCTGCGCGGACCGCAGCTCGAGGTCGTGACCGTGGCCGCCCAGCTTTGTAAAGTGCCTCGCCTTGTGCTCAAGGTGCGCGGTGCTCGCAAAGAGGCGCGCGGCCGACGTAATGGCGGCGCAGTAGAAGCTCAGCTCGTCGGCGTCGTCCTCGGTCGCCCAGTTGGTCGACTGCAGGCCGCTGATGGGTCCGGTGATGAGGTGCGCAAACTCGTCGTCTTGCAGGCCGTCGAGGTGAAACATCTTCTTCAGATCGTCAACCTCGTACTGCTTGCCGCCGAATAAGACGGCGTCGACAATACCGGTGAGGGCCTGCTGGGCATCTGAGCAGCCAGCGGGCGCAAAGTTGCGAAAGGCCTCGTGGTACTCCCAAAACTTGTCGACGGCGGCCGTGACGCCCGAGGAGGATATGGCGCCCCAAAAGACGTCTGGGTATAGCTTGCGCGCCATGGCCGCGAAGCCGCCGGCGTACGACCCGCCGTAGATGATCCAAGGCGTGTGAGATGCGTTTAGTTGCGCGTGCTCGAGCCCGGGAAAGGTAACGTGCTGGGCAAAGTAGGCCGTGTCGGCGAGGGCCTGGTCCGTGGTGAGGAAGCGCATGTTGGCGGTGGTCGCGTCGGGGACGGGCCAGCTGGTGCCATAGTACCTATGCTCGAGGATGAGGCCGAGGCCTCCCGTCGCCTTGGCCAGGATGGGGACGATGCCATGGTCGAGGTATGCGAGGCGGCCGGCGCTGTCAAACTCGCCCGAGTGCAGGACGATGACGGGCCCGCCGGGGCGGTAGTGCGAGTCGTCGAGCCAGTAGCGCAGCGGGTAGGCGGCGTCCGAGTGCGGCGCGTACTTGGTCTCGTTGTGGAAGTGGTCGACGGGGACGGAAAAATTGTAGGCCTTGATGGCAGGGCGCACGTCGGGCGGTGTCTCGTCCTGGTTGACGCTCAAGGCCTGAAGGAAGGTGGGCGCGGTGGCGTAAAAAGCGGCAGCGGCGGTGCCGACCTGGCAAACGCCGGAGAGGAGCTGCAGCGAAAGTCGCATCCCGGGAGGCAATTGAGCGTCTTGTAGTGAGAGACGTGTTCCTCGGGGCAACGACAGCGAGAAAGGAAGGTGAGCAGTTATAGGAAGATGGATGCTGCGAGGTCGGCGGAGGAGCTTTCTTATTTCATTCTGGATGATTTAGTAATAGGCGGGCGCTAGGTTTGGAGAAGCTCACTTTATTATTAGCGTCGTGGGGGGCGGGAAGCGGGGGTTGGCGGGGCCGAAGCACCACTGAAACGGGTAGCGTTCCGACCTTTAGGTGCCTTTATAGCGCGAGCTACCACTGTAACAAGGGTTTCAGTGACCCTACCTTACCTACAGTGGCTTTTACCTACAGCTTTTGACTCCCCACTGTACATCTCCCCACTGTAGCCACGTGTAGGTGCCACTAAACAATAACTGACGGCTTTGCAGCGCCCTTTCAGTTTAGGGTCAAGGTACCAGTACATCTTCATCTTCTTCAGCCTGTTGAGATGGTATTGCCTGGTCTGGTGATGTCGGCAATTCTTTTCTGCGAGACCATGTCACCCTGCAAAGTAGTTTGTTTATCATTAGGACTTTGATGCATGTTTCAAACTCGTCACATCCGGCTTCCAGGCACACCAGGCACACCAGGCACACACGGCGCTTGGCTTGCAGGCCCTGCCCAGTTGTCAGGGACTCGTACCCGACCTGTCTCAACAACAATCGCCGCTACGAAAATGTCCGAGACATTCTATAACGACTTCTGCACTCTTTCGACTATCAACCCCTCATATACAATCGTTGCTCACAGCTGAACCTCATCCTCAAAAGCAGCGTCTTGGTGCCAGTGCATGCCCGCAGGAATGCAAGAATCCCAATCACCATCATCTTGCTCACGATTTTTCTTGGCAAAAGTGCCCAAAATTTTCTCGTGAAAACAGTTGAGCATGAAATCAATCTATCAATAGATATTCAATATATTTTTCAATACATGGTATTGTCCCGCGCACTAGGTGATAATGGCTGACATCTATTTATTGTCTATTTATTGAACCCACTGTACAAAGTACGCACGCTAATATGGATAGTATGACGTGCGAGCTCAACTTCCCCACGTTTCCAGCTCATTATCGGCATGCCCACGTTCATTGCCAACGTCAACTCCGCAATCAAAACAACGCCTCTTTACAATTAGTACTATCATGACGCTAATCAAATTACCACCACCGAATAAGACCCTCAGAGGCCACAAGCTGGTCCTCGCGGATCCTCGCCCTCTCCCCAAAGACGCTTTAGATCGCCTCCACGCCCGCTTCCCCGACCTCAAGGTGCAGCACTACGACGCCGAGGCGACGGACCCTTGGGCAGATGCCACGCTGGCATTGGGAACGACTTTCAACCTGCCCTCGGTAGAGCAGGCCAAGAAACTGGAGCTGTTTCAACTAACGTCGGCTGGCGCGGATGGTCTCGTTGGGAAACCAATTTTTGACGACACCAAGATATCATTCTGCACCGCAAGTGGTGTACATGGGTATGCATCATGCGCTCTCTCGAAGAGCAAATATGTCAATGGATCAGCTAATTTGCTTCTTTTAGACCACAAATATCCGAGTGGGTGGTGAGCACCTTTCTCGCCTTCCAGCATCGTCGTACGTCCCCGCCGCTGTCAATCCTAACCTAAACTTTGCTGACACTTTTGCAGTACCTGAATACCTTGAGAACCAACACCAACGCAAATGGCAACCATCTAAAACCCCTACAGACGACTCTGTCGGCCAGCGAGTGCAAGTTTTGCCCCTCTCACCCACCAAAGCCACCCTCCTCCCCCACTAACACCTTTTCGCAGAGGAATCCTCGGTTACGGCAGCGTTGGTCGGCAAGTCGCCCGCCTCTGCAAGGCCATGGGGATGCTCGTCCACGCCTATACGCTGCACCCCCGCCGCACGCCCTCCTCGCGGCGCGACGACTCCTACGCGCCGCCGGGCCTCGGCGACCCCAGCGGCGCCCTCCCCGACCGCTGGTTCGCCGGCGGCTCCACCGCCGAGCTGCACGCGTTTCTCGGCTCCGGGCTCGATCTGCTGGTAGTGGCCCTGCCGCTGACGCCCCAGACGCGGGGACTGGTGGCGCACGCCGAATTCGAGGTGCTGCGCGTCAACAAGACGTTTGTGTCAAATATAGGCCGCGGGCCGATTGTCGACACGGACGACTTGGTGGATGCGCTGGAAAGGGGCGTGATTCGCGGCGCGGCGCTCGATGTCACGGATCCGGAGCCGCTGCCGGAGGACCATCCGCTTTGGCGCGCAAAAAATGTCATCATTACGCCGCATGTGAGCGGTGGCTCGTCAAAGTACATGGAAAGGGTGTTTGAGGTGCTGTTGGCCAATTTGACCAGGTTCAGCAATGGAGAAAGACTGATGAATTTAATCAATAGAAAAGAAGGATACTAGAAGATCAAGCAGGCACAAAACCAAAGGATAATGAATAAACTTGGGTCATCATACAGCAATCTGCTTCCCATTCTTCTGCTGCAAGCCATGCAGCAACTCCCTCAACGCCCGAATCTCAGCATCGCCATACGTATCGTCGAGCAGCTCCAGCACGCCCTCGGCCGTGATTTCCGGATCCCACCCATCCGCCACCACGAGGGCGTCCGGCTCCGCACCGCCCACCTCGAGAAACGAGCGCACAATCTGTACCCACCGCCGCGTGCCCTCGGGGTCCACGTCATACAGCCTGATCCACCGGCGCCGTCGCGCATCCCGCAGGTGACGCAGCACCGCCAGCCACGGCGTCGTGTCCGTCCGCGTAACGAAATCCAGGTAGACGTGGTTGGCGCCCGGGTTGAGGAAGGAGCTCTCGGTCCGCAGCAGCAGCAGGTCCTCGACGAGCGCCGGGTCGGAGAGCGGGAAAATGGTTCTTTTGCGCGAGCACAGGTACTCGGTCGCGTAGGCCAGCAGCGGCACCGCATCGTCGACTTGCAGCTTCTTCATGGCGTCGGATACGTCGCCGCCGCCGTCCTCCTCGTCTTGTTGGCGTTGGCGTTGTCGCCGCGCGGCCAGCTCCTCGACCACGTACCGCCGCAGGCCAAACTTGACGGCGAGGCCCAGAAAGGGCTGCCATATCGGCGCTGCCTTGCCGCGCGCCTCGAAGCTGCCGTACGCGCTGCGCGCCCAGTGGTCGTACGGGTCGCCCCCGCGTTTCCGCAGCCAGTAGCGGCCGACGACGTGGTCGAGCGCGTTGACGAAGCCGCGCTGCAGGCGGTCCGGGTCGGCGCGGACGCGCCGCGCGTGCGTCAGCGCGAGCGTAATGTCTGGCCACCAGTCGTCGAGCACGCGGTGGCGCTCGAAGCGCCCGAGGGGCCGCCGCATCTGCAGCACGTAGGAGCGTAGTAGGCGTAGGTCCGGGTCGAAGCTGGCGGGCTGCCGCTGCTGCTGCATGAGCCGGTCGTGGACGCCCGGGCAGGAGACGAGCCAGTCGCGCACGGTGCGGTGGCTGTAGACGATGCGGCTGCGGGCTCTGTCGCGCGCAGTGTACTCGGTGCTCGAGGAGGAGCCGCGGCGCGAGATGCTGCCAAAGTGGCCGGCGCGTTTGCGAATGTGAAGATTGAGCATGCCAGAGAAGCGCTGCTTGATGACGGCAATGGTCGCTGCGCTGCGCTGAGCAATGTAGTCGTCTGTAGGTTCCTTGACAGCTACTCGACCGAGAGCCAACTCATCGTCCTGCTTGTAGAGAGCGAATGCAAGCTCCCAGACTGTCAAGCTATTGGCGTCGTCATTGCGCACAAAATCAGCAACCTCCTCCCGAGCCCGCATCAGGCTGTACAGGGCTGCAGACTGCTCAAGCTCTTCTGCTGTCTGGTCCTGAAAGAGCAGCTTCGTAAACAGCTCGTCTAAATCTGCCGGCAGCGCCGCAAGAATGTCTCTCAGACCCTGCATCCCCTCTTCCTTGGTAAACCTCTCCAGCACCCTTTCGACGGCGAGCCGAACCCACAGGAACACGCCGTCTGCGCGGTCAATGAGCGCCTCCACAAATTGAGAGCCCTTGTCCGTATCCTGCCGCAGAATGTAATTCACATCATCGCTCTGCGCCAACGTCTCAGACACGTACTGCCGCATATCTCCACATGTCAGCTCCTGCAGCTTGAGATTGGGCACCGCAAACTCGAATGCATCCCGGAACACGGCCCACGGCCGGGACGACAGGCACATTTTGACATTATCCGCCCTCTTTCCCGTAGCCAAGCTCCTAAACAGATGAATCATCATGGCGTGGTCGCCCTCAAACTCATCCATGCCGTCGACAAACAGGCAGATCCTCATCTTTTCCCTCGCCGCCGCCGCCTCGATAAACGCCAAAAACGCCGACAGCAGCTCCTCGGGCGTCCACTCCAGCCGGACTCGAATGCGCTCTTTAGTTGACATGTTGCGCAGCTTTGCCCAGAGGGCCGGCACCGAGGCCGCAATGTAGTTTGGGTGCGCGGAGAAGAGCTGGTGCAGCAGCGAGCGCAGCAGCCCGGACTGGGAGCGCTGCTCGCGCGGGCCGCTGGTCCAGAAGAAGAAGCCGGCGACGAGCAGCGGCCGGTCGCCGCCGCCGCTCCAGGCCTCCAGGCAGCGAGTGGTTGCGGCGTGCTGAAACAGGTACCGCATAAACGTCGACTTGCCGGATCCGGGCTTGCCCGTGATCCAGTATATCGGGCCCGACTCGGCCGTGGAGAGCCAGTTCTTTAGACTGTGCTTCGTGGCCAGGTCGTTGCCGTCGTCTCGGACGCTTGGTTCGTCGGCAAAGACCCAGTCAAACGTCGTGGCGTGTGCCTCTGCGACCTCTTCTTCACGGTCGTGCATGCTCTTGTACGCGAGCCCCTCGAGGATAAAGTCGTTTAGGATATCCGGCGACACGAGCCGCGGAGGTTCTCCATGCTGGTGTGGTCCTTTTGGGGTCCGCTCGAGCTCAGTCTGCGGCTCTTGCGCTTCAGGCTTCGTGGGCGGAACGTGCTCGCCGTTGAAGTACTCGTCGCTCGACGGAGCATCAGGCGAGAGACGGATCGAGAGCTTCTGTTCAAGGTTCCGAAGCTGCTCCGCGGTACTATAAGCATCGTGTCAGCCCAAGAAACCCTCAGTCGAATCCACATGATTCCAAAGATCATGGCGTTGATGCGCAACAAACTCACAAGACCGACTGTTCAAAGTCACGCGCTCGCTGAACCAAGTCGTCCAGTCGCTCCCCAAGCACAGCCAGGTCAACCAGACTCCACGTCCATGCCTTTTCCGCAGCCTTTTCCCGTCGATCAAGGCGCAGCACGACATCCCGACCAATCTTGACACATGCGCGCAGCAAATCGACAGACACGCCTGCACCGTGAGTCTCGTCAACGGCCGCCACGACGGCCAAGGCCTCGCGAAGACGGCCACCCTGTTGGGTAATGGACCAGTAAGGCGCAAGTTTGTACTTGTTCTCCGAATCGTCATTGTCGACGTCGTCGTCATTGCCAAGACTGTGCTGCTGCTCTGACCAGGCAGCCGCAAAGACTGCCGTCGCCGCTTTGAGGAACGCGAGCACGGCAGCAGCGTCGCTGCGGCGGAGGATGGGTGTGGCAGCGTCCATTTTATAGCATGTAATGGAGCGCTTCTCTGGTGTATATATATTTTCTAATTTCTATTTTTTTACGGGCGATCTAGCATGAGCATGTGGTATCTCGTCAGAAAAAGAAAAACCCCGCGATGGTTGGGTTGGCGATAAAAAGTGTGGTCTGAACAACAAAATGTGCACAACAGAATGTGTTTGGTGTAACAATGGAAAGAAGAGACTGCGTGGGATGTAAGCAGGTTGCCGAGATCCAGTTTGAAAGCGGCTTATTCACGTATGCAATTAGCGGGAGTTGAACAAGGCTCTCGTCAAGCCACTGAAGCCGCTGTTGGGATTGAAGTCTGGCAGTTTTTCCAGAGTGCCTGAATCAAATATTCTTGTTTATTGCAATCTCACACCTTACATATCAGTAGTGACTCTGTCCAACTACATGATTCATTGCTTCTGCCTCTGCACGGACATCTGGGGACTTACTGCGTACAGCGCTCAATCTGGACTATATCTTGGGCCGAGGTCTGAGCCTCGTTAAAACCAGACCGACCCGCGGCGTACCTGTGCGCAGAGAGGCGTTGTATGTGAGGCACAAAAGAACAGCTGCTGTTGACAAGGGTTATTTATGAAATGGACACGCGGAAGAAGGGCCAAGATATAAGCTCTAGATTTCTACATCTTTATACCAAGCAAACAGATGTACACGGTGCGACAAACCGCGGAATAAGAATGCAGATTACAAACTGCGGATCGCATATATAAGAAAAGTCAAATAAAAAATGGCCTTGTGCCATGGACAAGACCGTATATCCAGAAAACATATTTCGCTCAGGGGAAGAGGTGTCATTATCGTAATGTTGTCGTTTGTTATTTGCATACCATTCCAAATGGCACGGTGTAAGAGTGAAAGGAAAAAAAAAAGGCACAGAAACATCATACACGCATGGTTTACGCAACGACGAGCTGGCTGCGGCTTGCGTCCTTGTTCTTTCTCCTGAACAAGCTCTTGAAGAGATCACTCTCCTGACGCTGCGCCTTGGGGCGGACGGGCAAGTCGACGTCGTCGCGGCTACGGTGGCGACTGCTGCGGCCGTCATCGGTGCGCGACCTGTGCTTGCTGCTCGTCGTGGACCCTTCGCGGGTCGAGCCCCTGCTGCTCTTGCGGTCTTCTTCGTCGTCCCTCCTGCTCGAATGGTGGGATTTGTGCGACTTGTGCGATCGGTGCGTCCCGCTCGTCCCGCTCGTCCCGCTCGTCTTGCTCGTCTTACTCGTCTTACTCGTCTTACTCGTCTTGCTAGTTTTGCTGGTGCGGTGGGTGCGGCTGCTGTGATGCGAGCGGGTGTCGTCAAGGTCGCCCTGGTCTTCGTAGCGGTCGCGCGGATCGGCACGGGTGGCGCGGTCGGCCTCGGGGGTAATGAGCTCCATGTCAGCGCTCTCGCCGTCGCCAAATGGCTCGATGCCTCGGCGCCAGGACTCAATAGTGCTGAGCTCGTCGCCAAGGACAAGAGCCTCATCATAGCCATCATAGCCGTCATAGACATCATATTCGCCAGCATACGTTTGTGCGCGCTGCAGTGGCGGCCTTTCCATGGGCTCGGGCTCCTCGATGGCGGGAAGCGGCTGGTAGGCGAGGGCAGCTTGTTGCATGGCGCGTTCTTGTTGCACCCTCTTGACAATCTTCCAACCGCCAAACATGACTACGGTGACGCCGACAGCGAGACCAGAGGCGATGAGAAACTGAGGAGAGGCCAAGAGAGCAAAGACGGCGGGCGAACCGCCTTTGAGGAGACCGAGGACTGCTGGTGACATTTTGGCGGCAGCAGTAGATAACTCACTCAAAGTTAGTGCGACAGCGGCAGCGGCGTCGGGCTTTTCTTGGAGATGTTTAATCATTGCCTGGGCAGAGTGGTGGACGCAGTTTGCTTCGTCTAGCAAGCTCTCGATCTTGCGTACCAGCGCTGTAGCCTCTCCAGAGTCCTCGGCAAGATCGGTTCGTTCGGCAAGATCAGGGGGAATGTTGCCGTAGGCTAGATTCATATCAATCTTTTTCTTCTTTGGCTGCGGCACAAGAGCCCCAGACTGAGGGACCAGAGCTCCGTACTGCGAGCCAGGAGCTTCGTGTTGTGGCACGAGGGCTCCGATCTGAGACTCGGATCTCGTTCTTTGAACTATAGAGGGCTGCCTCGGTTGGGCGGGTTGATAGACGCTGCGCTCAACTATCGTAAGGTCCATATTGGACTGGCCCATGGGAACCGTCTCGGCATAGGGACTGCGGTACCGTGACATGGTGGTCGGGGGTCTGGAAGGCCGGGTGCTGGCGGCCTGGCTGTGCGTTTTCAGGTTGTCCTCTGTCAAGGCGACCGAGTATTCCGAGGGTGCACGAGTACTTCGTGGTCTGTGGGTTCCATGATGGGAAGTTCTTGTGCGGTGACTGCGGCGTGAGCTTGCAACACTGGCAGCATCGTAGGAACTGCGTCTCTGTTGGTCATGTAATGTGTATTGGTCCTCTTGGGCATAGTAGACTGTTGGCGCTCGCTCAGCGTCCTCGACATAGTAGGCGGTCTGAGCGCGACTCAAGGTGCGAGGACGGTATTCGACCTCATTATATTGGACAGAAGGCGCTCGTTGGATAGAGGGCGCGTGCGGAACACTTCTGGCAACACCTGCGGTGCCGTCGAATGTGTTTGCGCGTTGGAGTGCACGCTCAGCCCTGACGTCGTCCTTCTTTTCGCTATAGGCAGCCTTTGCTTCTTTAAATATTGAAAACAGCTGCTTCCCCTAGAGAGAGGAGATGAGCAAAATTCGCAGGTTAGCTACTAATATGGCATGTCGATCGCGGAAATGAGGCCGGTAGTTGTGGCGGGGATAAGGAAAAAGGCATCGGTGCGGGGGATTAAAGGTGAGGCGGAATGGCGCTTACAGTGCTGATAATCTTGCCCGAGTTGTTGACAATGGTGACGGTCTGTTCCATGGCGGGCGAGCCCAATGACGAGTTGCCAAAATGTGTGCTCGCAGCTGGTGTTTTTAGCTTGTCGAGGAGACAAGAAAAAGAAGCGAGGGGAGAAGGCAAAGCTTCTGTCGGAGTCTGTGACAGGAGGCCGTCGTATGTTCCAATACCGAATGAAGCTGCGAGGGGTACCTGGTCGCCCGTTTGCCGGTCTGTATTAGTGCCGAAATCGCGCCACGAGGCTGAATCTTGCAGGGTGCACGAGACTGCTAGAAACAGTCGAGGGTCGCTGAAAGATGGTCGCAAGGTGCGCTGAAAAAAAGACCAGGCCAGCTGAAACTGTACAGGTCGAAGGTGTTCGGTAGTCAGCTAGATCAGGCGGGAAATGGCGGAATATGGATGTACCACTTGCTTCTATCGAACCAGTAACAAGTGATTGCCGACTCTTCTGCTCTAACCAAATCGTGCCTATTTTAGCAAAAGATTTGTTAGACAAGTGTCGGTGAATAAGACGATGCCGGGTTGTCGAGGATAGAGGCTGGCTACTCCCTTACCTGGATAGGTAGATAGGCGATACTTTGGATAATACCAAGTAGCACGAACTGTGCGAGGTACCCACAAACAGTCCTTTAGGAGCCAAGAGCTGTCCACTATAACTCCACCAAATTACCCACTGTACCCGGCGTGAGGGGGCTGGATCTAAGGCGGTATCGACAGACCGCCAGACAAAACGGGGGAAAGATGAAAGGAAAATGTAGAAAATGTCAAAAAAAGAGGAAATGGAAAAACTAAAAATCAAAGTAATGACTACCGTCGCACTTAAATAATGACACCAAGGTACTTGTCAGGTTGTACATATCCGTATGACGAAAATTCTGCACAGAGCCGCCAAGCACGGCACAAAACAAAACACTAGGCAAGCACTTTTAATGCTCAGCCAACCGCTGCCCAACCGATGCGGCCTTTTGAAGCGAGAACAATATGAAAGAAGTCTTAAAAAAAAAAAAGTGACAGAGCAAGTCGGGATTAGCAAACTTCGCCTCACCCAGCAAACCGACTCTGCCATTGGCGCTGTCCCGATTGGCCCGGGGCCCACCCCATCACCACGACGGATGAGCCCTTTGGGCTCTGCGTTGTCACGTTGTCAGGCGTTGTTGCATATTAAAAAAAAAAACTTGTTTCGCCACCAGCCAAGTTCAGCTCTTTTCCGCGCCCATGATGAAGACTTTCTCATTTGAATCCTTCTTTTGACCACGAAGCCCTTGTACAACCGACCCAACCCCCCCCTCCCTGGCCGGCCCCTATTGAGTAGCCCCAGATGGCTTGGCCAAGTGGCCATGTCCAGAACCTATCACTTGGGATGACAAGGGACCCATGCGGCCGCATGCGGGCCGCTCCCTTTGGGGGGGAGAGAGACTGCGACATCTTCATGGGAAGAGCCCCTTCGAGGCTTTTTTTTGCATGCAAAAGATGACGAATTCGAGGGCTTGGGATATCTGCCGTCCCATCCTCACGCCTATGTGCTCCTTGAGCCTCAAGGTCTTCTCAACTGGGCATTTGTTGGGCACGAGCACGAGCGAGGAGGCTGGGGAGTCAGGGCAAGTGACAAGACGAACAATCCCCCCTGGTCGAGAACGGCATGGGGTTACACGGTTGTTGCACAGTGTTGCATGGGGGTTTCGATTGGTGACGGCAATTAGAGCTCTTGGAGCAGCTCATTGGGGGTAAACCGCTGGCCTGTGCCCATGAATAGCCAAGGTGATCGTCTCCCACGTTGGCTGCCTGTTTTTAGGCTGCCATGTTGCATATTAAATCAGGGCAAGGTGTTGAGCATGGACCATTTGCAATTATTAGTCACTGCTTCTTCATTCTAAAGATGGTAGAGATGTTGAGACGAGTTTGACAGCGTTACACCACATTACTTTTAGGCAGCATCTCGATACTCTACTTGCAGCCAAAAAAAAAAAAGAAAAAAAAAGAAAAAGAAAACTAGGCAACGAGATGTTGGGTGTAAGTCATTCGTATTTACTTGTGGCTATGGATGGTAGTGAGAAAGATCTAGAACAGTATCAATGGCCAAACGTCTATGGTGAGCGTCGAGCAGCCAGACAACCGACGATGCAAAAAAGAATTTGCGCCCCAAAATGGATACAAATGAAAAAGAGGAATCAGCAACAGCAAAACGCCGGAACTAAACTAATATTGAATACAGAAAAATGTACCCAAAAATCAATGCTTGAATGAATCTTTCTCCTTCTCCTGACACGACGTCCTGCACACGTTCACGTCATGTAATAACACAACTTTATTCCATCCTACTGCTCGCTCGTCTCTCTCTGGCCGACGACGCTGCCGCTGCCGCTGCCTCCGCTGACGCCAAAGCCGAGCTTCCCATTTACTGCCAGCGGCTTTTGCTTGTTGTTGCTGTCGTTGTTGTTGTTGCGGTGCGTCAGCGCCCTGTCCGCCTCTGCGCACCGCACCACCACCTCCTCGCGGCTGACGTGCAGCTGATCCTGCGGCAGGCCCATGGACTCGAGGAAGCGCAGCGTCTCGCTCCACTCGCGCGTCTGGCGGTCCGCGCTCCAGCCGAGCTCCTGCGCCATAATGTCAATCACCTGGGGCAGCGCGAGCAGCGCGCTGTCGACGTCGAGAAAGGCGAGGCGCGTGCGCCGCGCAATCAGGTCGGCGGCCGTGCAGGCAGCCTCGGCGCGCACGCCGTACCGCACCTCGGCGTCGGTGAATGGGTGCGCGGGCAACAGGCGAGTAGGCGGTGAAGACGGCGTCGTCGTCGCGAGGAGGGCCCAGGCGCGGTCGCCGTAGTTGGTAGCCAGGTGGTGCGCAATGTCGGCGTCGAGGGCTTGGCTCTCGGCGAGCTCAGCCGGTAGTCGCGTCGAGTAGCCGTGGGAGCCGGCAAGAACGACCTTGCGGGTCACGCAGGCGCCGGTGCTCTGGACGGCGGGGAATCCGGCGCCGGAAATGTCGGCGGGAGTGGCGTCGGCGCGGGGCGTCAGGTGAAACGTCTTGATGGCCTCGTCGACGGCATCCTCGGCCATTTGGCGGTAGGTGGTCCACTTGCCGCCGGCGCAGGTCAGCAGGTTCGAGGGCGACACGGTGACGAGGTGGCTGCGCACGAGGGACTCGGTGTTCTTGGCGTTGGGATCCTTGACGAGCGGGCGGATGCCGGACCAGGTGGCGAGCACGTCGGCGCGTGTGAGCGTCGACTCGGGCTTGAGGAGCTTGCTGACCTCGCCGAGGATAAAGTCGACGTCCTCGTCGCGGGCGACGGGCTGGCGCTCAATCTCGCAGGCATTATCCGTGGTGCCGGCCAGCGTGTAGTTTTGCCACGGCAGCACAAAGACGACGCGGCCGTCCGACGTGGCCGCGTCCAGCATGCCCATGCCGCTGGGGCACAAGCTGCCGGGCAGCATGATGTGCGCGCCCGACGCGGGCGCAATCATGGCCTTGCGCGAGGGGTCGTCCATGCGCTCCACCGCGTCAGCAAAGGGTCCCGTCGCGTTGATGACGCCCTTGGCGCGGACGGCAAACTCTTTGCCGTCAAGGCCCGCCTCGGGGTCGACCTGCGCCATGACGTCGCGGACCGTGGCGCCGCGGATCTTGCCGTCGGCGTCCTTTTGCAGGCCCGTGACCTCGACGTGGTTGAGCACGGTCGCGCCGTGGAGCGACGCCGTCATGGCGAGGGCGACATTCATGCGCGAGTCGTTGTGCTGGCCGTCGTAGTAGACGAGCGCGCCGACCAGCTTGTCCGGGTTGAGCATCGGCAGCTTGGCGAGCGCCTTTGCGCGGCTCATGTAATAGGAGCTCTCGAGGCCCTGGTCGCCCGCGAGCATGTCATACGTCTTGGTGCCGATCCACATGTACGGCGCCTGCCACCAGTGCTCGAGCGGCAGCAGGATGGGCAGCGAGTGCGACAGGTGGGGGGCAATGTCGAGAAAGGTGCGCCGCTCGCGCAGAGCCTCCATGACGAGCTGCAGCTGCGCGTAGTCGAGGTTCCAGACGGCCTTTTCCAGGTACCGCACGCCGCCGTGCACGAGCTTGGTGCTCTTGGAGCTGGTGCCCGCCGAGAAGTCGTCGCGTTCGACCAGCGCCACCTTGAGGCCGCGCGTGACGGCGTCGAGCGCGATGCCGGTGCCCGTCGCGCCGCCGCCAATAATTAACAGGTCGTACTCGTCTGTGTTGTCGGGCTGGCCGTGGCGGCGAAGCTCGGCGAGGTTCTCGGCGCGGCTCTTCATCTTGGGAAAGGTGGGCGGTACAATGCGCCCGTTTGCGTCGCGCTGCAGCGAGACGAGAGGCGTGTCGAACGAGTGCTTATTTTGTCGTCGGGAGGCGTAGACGATGCCGCCAGCGGTGGCGACAGCCGCGAAGCCTATCAGCGGCTTGCGAAATCTCGTAAAAGCTCGCGACATTGTGTGAGAATTGTCGGTTGTAGAATGGCGTGAGCTGTCGATGAGCCTGTGAGGGGCGTGAGGCAAGCTCAGTTGAATCCAAGAAAAGCCTGTCGCAGTCTTTGATTTATTCTCGAAAATCGATGTCGGTATATGAGACAAGGAGGAAAAAGCAAACAATCCGGGTATTGGAAATTTTATGTAGTCACAAGCTTCGGCAGACGCGGTCCGGTAACCGGCTGTTTTTAGATGCTGCTAGTGATATGGATCTGCCAAGGGTGTGGGCTGTACCAATACGGGTAACAAAACTGTTTCGAGGTGTAAATTGGAGGGCGTCGTACAAATCGCTTGCGGGTATAAAGATGCAGGGAAAGAAATCAGAACGAGAACAGCGCGGTATCTTGTTAATAAAGCGCCGGCGGAATCGGGATTACCGCGAATGAAGAAAATGGAATGACTCCCACGGCCGTGAAAGATTGCAAAAGCTCCAGTCTCCACCCCGAGCTATCGGAAAGTGTACGGCGAACAAGAGCGAGCTCTGGATCAGGGTCTGCGCTGTGGCTGTCTCGAGCTTTGTTATCGTTCCGATCAAAGTGGCCCACGTGTGACGGCGGCTGGATTACAGTTCAACACCATGCGATTAGGAGAAAAAATAGAGGAGACGAGAAAAGACGCCGGAACCGCCAAAAAAAAAAAAAAGGAACTGATTGGTCCAGTAATTAGGTGAGATAGTAGGGGACGGCAAGGAAAAAAGGAAAAGGGCCGGCCGTCTTTGCGACTCTGACATCATCTTGGACCATGGGAAACTACAAGCAAGCGCTGCCGGGAAAAGAGCGGGACGGCGGAGGATGACCAAGACACACAGAAAAAAGAAGGAGAAAACTCTCTGGCGAAATGGTAGAGACAGGAAAGATAGGGGAAAATCGGGCGGCGCTTCACGTTAAGCGGTTGTCGTTGTTGTCTCCATCTTTATTTACCGAATAAATGTGAATGTCTCTTTATGTTTGTGAGACGTCTGATTTTACGCACCTCGGGGTTTTGATACCGAACAACCATGGACACAGAGGGGCACGTTGCGACCAATCTCGGGCTCTTGTCGGGGTTTGTAGCCCGAGACCCGGTACGACAAACTCCACTTATGAAGAGCTCCATTTCGGTACTCGTTCGGTGCTTCGACCCCGAGAAGGTTATGCAGGGACAAGAAAACATCTGACCATCTCTGACAGAGGCACAATTAAAAGTGGAAAAATGTCCCCTCGACGCGGAATGTGGTGGGGGTCGTCGGTTTTTTTCTTTCTTTTTTGTTCTTGTCGCGACCCCCAAGAAAGAGTCGCCGAAAAGTCCGGTGTCTGACCCGAGTCCTCCGGAGGCCGTCCCGGAACCAGCCCCCGACGACTCGGAGCTTGTCGCCACTAGGGAAGCCTTCTCTGGTCACGCGCCGCATCGATTCTTTTCCTCTCCAATATTTCAATCGCTTCGAATCTCGTTTCTTCCCAAGTTATTCTTCACGCCCCGCCTATGAGGGAAAATAAACGTGCGAGCGTTGCAACTGCGGGTGATCCTCCTCACCCCCCCACACTGAAACATCTTTCTTTTTAACCATGTCGTACGTAGCGTAGCATATTAGTAGCATATTACATAGTTATTCAATATCATGTGTATAGCATGCCTTCCCTGTCCGAAGCTGTTCATGATGCCATTTTCAGCTTCCTTTGTCAATTGCCAGTGTGGCTGCGCAAAAACCCCTATTTACTGGTTAATGGACATGTAGTAATAGCCGCTCGACGATATCCTAATACCAGCCCCTTCCTCGTCTAGTTTTGGCCCCCCTGTCCTCCCCGCCGTTCGCGAACCACAATGGCTGAAAAGCCCACAGCCGTGGTATCCCTGCAAAATGGGGGGCCGCCAGGACAGTTGGATCAAAGAAACATTGGCGATTCAATACTTGTGGTCCTGGTGGATCTATATAGCAAGGAACGCCTAACAAACAAATACACGCCGCTTCTCGACAACCAGGGCTGGTATGCAAGGTACGGTGAACATGTGACGGTTGCAGTTGGTATAATATAGTCCATTAAATTCCATTGCATCTATATAGCAATAGTCACTCTGCTTTCTCTCCTCTCCTTCTCATTCTCATGCCCGTCTAGGCCGTGTAAGCAAGCGACCACGCGGCCGCCCCTCCGCAGCCACAGCGAGCCAAGCCGACTAAATAGCGTATGACCCAGGCTGATGATATCAATGCACGCCCCCCCCCTTTGGCTCCATGCTCTCGCTTGCTAGCCCGCGTATAACTAAAACTTTGAAGCGGGGGTGGCGTGTTGAAAAAGCTCAGAGCAGTGGAAAGAGGTGAGCGAGAATGAATAAATTGGGCAAAATTTAAAGGTCTTTGCTATTTCTCAAGGTAGGGAAATATGCAGACTAATTGTTGGTTTTACCCGTACGTCGTGCAACCCATGAAAGAACCAAGTTGCCACGTTGGCAAAAAAAAAAGGTGACATCAGACTGCCGTGTACTACAAGCCACTAACATAAGCCCATTTGCATCTCGGTCAAAGCAAGTTATCCGAAACACCGCATCATTCTTTTGCGCGGAAAAAAAAAACGCCCGTTTTCTATATCAATGCATGAATCATGGAAACAAAATATTACAATTGAACCCTGCCCCATTACTGGTATGTGCGCATCTCGTCATGGGGTCAACAACTATTAACTAACGCTTTCAGATGGCAAAAAGCTGAATACCTAGGTATGCAGCTACGGAGGGGTGGCGGGCGTGTGCAGCGGCAAAGCCGCCTCAACTAGCCCAGAACAAGGCAGTCGTCCGATTATTCTTTTCACAAAGAAAAAGCGAGTCATCAGTTACCTACTTGCTTTGCCGGGGCCCTCTCAGCCGTGGCACGAGCTTCTTCTCTACCCAGAGCTCTACTTGGATCCTGAATTAAAGCAGGCAAGGGAGACTATTAATTAAAAAAAAAAAAAAAAAAAAAAAAAGAGAAACATGCAACAGAGGAAACACAACAGCATGCCCGTTGCGCTGGCAGAGCAGCAAGTTCTCGTATATTTTCAGGAAGAGAGTGAAATGAAGAACGAAATCAAGGTTTTTGACCGCGCCACGATGCTGCCACCACTTGTCGCACAAAAGCCAAGACCGTCCGATCCGCCTGGCAGCAAGCCGAAGAAACAGGTTTAGTGGTACAGTACAGTACCAAGCCGTTGCAGATTATGGTAGCACTGGCGGCTGCTGTTCAACAACTACTTGGGCATAAATGCAAAGTAAATCATTATACATGTTCACGATGCTGCAGATCCTGGTGGCTGCAGCGAGCGCTAGCATCATCGTTACGAGCCCACCGGCTTTTGCTGTCGGACATGCTGTGTCTAAATTACCTACGCCTGTTTTACTGGCTAGTACCTACCTTCCTTTGACTAGCTGGCCCTCTACGACTGGCTTATTACTAGTTGCTTCAGGCGTCCGGTGGACTAAGCATCATCGCAAATACGTCAATTTAAATGTGCATGTAGAATATATTCAAGTCATAAAGATGCCACATGATAATACAATCTCAACATGTGTAAAATCATATAAAAACGTAAATTATTCATGCCAAGTTTCCTTTTTGAAAGCCGTCAACCGTTAATGCTCGTCGCCTTTTCAAAATGAACCCATTCCCAGAAGAAAGTAGAAAACACTCAAACACCAAACATTAATGATAAAAAACTCGCTCATGCCTCTGCCAATCCAAATTTGCTCCATCCAGCTACCTCTTCATAGTAAATGCCCTCTTCAGCAAACGACCCTTCTAAGCGTCTCAAATTTTAGACTTTAGTCTCAGTAGACTGTCGGTAGGTGTTGGACCAGACATCGCGGCGGGGTCGAGCCAGTCTCTTCAGGCCGAACCAGGGAGAGTTGACGGGGCTTGGACCGGTGTAGATGAAAACGTCGTACAAGAACCCGCCAAAGACGGTGCCGAGGAACGGGGCAACAATCGGAATCTAATCGAGGTTAGCAAAAGGTTGTGCCTTGTTGGAGTCTCAGAGCAACGTACCCAGAAATAGTAGCCCCCAGCAGAAAAAACCTCGGTACCGTAGCCAACAAAGTAGGTGATGAGGCGAGGACCAAAATCACGAGCCAAGTTGATGGCATAACCAGTCTCCCAACCCAAGCAAGCACCGATGCCAAAAATGAGGAAAAAGAGGGCCAAAGGTAGCATTTTGCCAGCGCCAATATTGTCTTCGTCAACAAGGGCAAAGATGACAAACTGAAGAACGGAGCTCGAGAGGAACTCGGAGAAAAACATGCCGGTACGGGTCATGAAGGGGGCAGGGTATGTACAAAAGACACCGGCGGTAGCATTGGGGCCCGTCACGGTTCGGATTCCGGGGCCGCCCTCAAAGTTGTCAATGGCGGACTTGTAGTTGCCGTATATAATGGCAGCGCCGGCCATGGCACCAAGAAGCTGGGCAATGGCGTAGACGGGGAGTTTGCGCCAAGGGTGGCCACGGAAGACACAGTTGGCCAAAGTAACAGCCGGATTGATATGCCCGCCAGACTTGCCGCCAACGTAGACACCGAACATGACACCGATGCTAGATATAGTCAGTATTGCTGAGTACAGCCATTCATTAGAGAGATGCTTACCCCCAACCCCATGAGATACTCTGGTAGTTTCCTTTTTGTTCTTTACTCAAAACGACTTGAGCAACGACACCATCACCAAAGATGATGAGAATCATGGTGCCAAGGAATTCGGAAAACGCATCTTGCCATATGGATCGAATCTTTGTCCAGGCGAGCTCCTTTTCTTCGGGAACAGGCAGCTCGGGATGAATTGGTTCGGGATTGCTAGGAGAAACCATCTTGGTCTCTTGGTAGGAAGTAATCTTGTCGACGGACGACGCTGACACAGAGTCTTGAGAGACTGGAAGGGACATTGATTCGAGATAAATAGGAAGAGGACGGGTAAAGGGCTGCAGTCAAGGAAATCTCGGATGCAACTCCACGGGGAAGAGGTGGTTAATATGCAGTTTTGGTGGTGTGAGGCGAAGATGGTGTGGCGGGGCCTAGCCGTTGCAACTAACCCCGCGGACTGAGGAGACGAGCGGCCAGGATGAACAAGTTCAAGAGTTGGGATAGGATCTGGGGATGGTGTCGAGCAAGGAATATAATGGCGAGTGCCCTGACAGGGCCAGGAGACGTGGCAGAGGAATGCGCGTGTGTGGCCTGTCCGGTGGTCTCGGCCGCGCGGGTGGGCCTATGCACTATTATGTACGGAGCAGTGGCGGCGATGATGAGGATATAGTTTCGTAGGTGATCAGGTTCAAGGAATCTAAATATGCTTGTACGAGCAGGTTGTTGATGGGACAAGGGAAAAAGCAAGCCACAGTGGACAAGCTAGGGGTGCGAGGATTGATGAAAAGTTTGGAGGATGCGGAGAGGTGCCATGTGTGTAGTGGACTTTTGGGGGGAACAATAGAGGGGGAGGAGCAGGGAAGAGGCGTTGAATGAGCGCCTACGATTCCGCTATGCTGGTCAGCTACTGGCAACTGCCCGTTCTTGAACATGGTCCGGGCTTTTGCAAGATGCGGCAAGTCTGGGGCAATATGGGCAAGAGCAAGAAGGAACGAACCTATAAGAGGGGAGGGGCGTGTGTGGGCTAGCTGCAGGAAACAAACCATCAGCGCGACTAGGGCTAGGGAAAAGTCAAAGTAACTATACAGAGCATGGAATAAAAATAAAAAAATAAAATAAAAATCGGACGAATGAGCCAATATGAGAGGAAGGGTCTTATTGGGGGTGCAGCACCGAAGAAGAGGGGGGCCGGCCCAATGACTACGAATAATTAATAGCAGCGGCGGCGACGTCCGCATTCTGCGGAAAGCAAGGGATGAAATATCGATCAATGACTTTGCGGCGGTTGTGCCGGGACTTGACATACTTTGACGGTTCCGGCGAGTCGCTGGAACCAGCCCGGGGCTGCGGAAGTGGCTGTCATTTGATCCATTACAAGGTGTGGCTGAGCATCGGTTCCTTGGCCGTGGCGTAGGCCACGAGGAACAAGTGGCGTTTGAATTCAGAGGCGGGCTGTAAGTAGTAACTAGGCAATGGCAATACATTTTACAGGGCAATTTTTCTCCTCATATTCATCACATTTGAGGTGTTCCATCTACGGTGTGGCATCTCCAGTCATTCCATTATTTTCCTCTCGTCTGCTCACTCAGGATGGGCCTTGGCTGTTGAAGTGAGATTTGGCGCCACACCTCTGCTGATCACCCACGCCACCCCCACCCACTGCGGACTGCACTGCGTACGTACTGCAGACTGCAGTGCAGGACTGCCAACGCCAGCGACCGGGGTGTCCGAGGAGGGTGCTGTAATGCGCGCTGAAAAGATTTGCTGCCAGGTGTTGTGAGAATAAGCACCCTATGCAGGCCTTTTTTTTCTTTTCTTAAAAGCTCTCTTTTGGTACCAGTTAACATTTGCGTTGAACTGGTCAGCCAAGGTAACATTAGCAGCCTTATTCGTCTGCGCCTGATCTCATGCAACAATGCCCAGCAGTGTGCGACGAGTTCCGTGCCTGGATAAAATTATTGTGTACGGGACGCCTCCGTTTTTTGCCTGCCCTGAAGCCCACAAGCAGCCCTCGAATACTGAAGAATGGGATACTTTATACGGGGTCTATCAGCTCTGGTTACTGGTAATATTATTCGTACTTTACCGTGGGGATCGTAAAAAGAAATAGTGCACCACGAATATTGAAACGGCGTTTGGCGAGCACCTTCAAAAGCCCGCTTCGGCCTCTGAAAGCCCCTCGTGGCGGCCAGGACCAGCCACCAACCCTTTTTTTTTTAAAAAATAAAATAAAATAAAAAATAAAATAAAAGTGCAGGCACACAGCAAAATCAAACCAGTGCAAGCCTCGCGCAAGGCTGGCAGCAAGCATTCGGCCCTTTGCCCCGACATTGGCGTTGGCCCGTGCTTTTTGGTGTCCGATTTAGAGGGTCGCTCCATAGAAATCGTCTAGAAGGCTCAAAGAGGCTCGGCGTTGAAGACCGAGTTTTCTGACCGGGGGGCGCTTGCGGATCCATTAATCTGGACATTGGACGTTTTGGTGACGGAGCGTCGGATCCTTGTCCTGTGCCATTCGCTTGGCGAGCTCGTGAGAAGAAGAACAAGAACAAGAAGAAGCTCTGCGCCAAAGTTGACCGCGCTGCAAGGTTCGTCTGTGGCGCCAGCGAACCACTCCCCAAATGGAAAATGCTGACCGAAAACAGTGGACAATTTCGGAACGGCCCACGACTGCAGCAAGTGCATTTACTTTGCAGTGGCTTTTTGCATCATCACAAGTGACATTCAAGTACACGCCCACACCCCCGGAGCGGTCCCAGCCAAGTCAAACTCGTCTATCCCTTTTTCCCCAGCCGGTTGATGAGAATTTCCACGCCATGAGTAGCGCACAGCCCGTTTCTTAGATTTATTTCTCATCTCGTGACGCTGTAAAGCTCCTCTTCCCCACAGCCCTCCGGTGGTTGACCATGAGAGTCCATACACCGCGGACTGGGGGGCTGTATTGGTTATAGAGATGCCGTAACGCGAGGCAACTACCTAGCCGACGTAAATTCGCTCGGGATCCGTCGGATGTAGCTTGTTAAATGTTGCTGACTTTTCAAAGACAGCTCGACGAGAGAGACATGTGCTGGTCAACTACTGCATGCATGCGCAACAGCGCAGCTGGTCCCTGATGAGGGGTAGCTGTGCGTCCCAGCCTTGCGCCAACGAGCAATAGTCCGCGTCGGCTGTGCTATAACTAACAAGAGCAGATCAAGAGACAAGAAACACGGGAAATAGGGTGCATTGTAAATTGAGCGACGGTGTCTAGGCTCGGAGGTGGCTTGAGTTGGCCCGGCTTTTCTCCAAAAACGCTTCCCCGTGGGCTCCCTGGGCTGGGGAGCGTCGGCGCCGCCACAAAACGGGGTCTGGGGGAGTCGGAGTTGCGTCAGGCCCTCCACATGCCAACTGCACGAGACTACAAGTATTTTTGCGATCCCCCTTTGTAGCTGAGATTTTCTCCTCTAGTATTGATTCATCCTTTGCCCTTCTTCTTCTGCTGTCTCATCTCCATCTTCTCCCTCTGCTCACTCCGCATCATCATCCAGCTGCAAAAGCGCACTTCCCCATCTTTGCTTACTTGATCCCCGCCATAACAACCGTGCTGCTGCGACCAAAGCTTCCCCGCTATACTTTATGCTCGCCAACCTCGTCTCCCAGACTCACTCCAGATTCATCAACGCCATGGTTTCTTCAGGGAAAGATGTCTTTGTTGGTGCCATTGATCAGGGCACCACAAGTACTCGCTTCCTCATCTTCAACACCAATGGCGAGGTCGTCGCCCTTCACCAGATTGAATTCAAGCAAATCTACCCCCAGCCCGGGTAAGCTTCCACCCCTCCATGACCGCGCCAAGCTGCGTTGCGCAGGCGTTTGTAGTCGCACACAACTCGCGCGCACTCTCAGTCCATGGCGCACTCTCTCCTCAAGAGAAAAACAATTAAAAGGTCGAATGACTAATTTCTCCATCCTCACAGCTGGCACGAACATGACCCTGAAGAGCTGATAAGCTCCGTCGAGCAGTGCATCGACGGCGCCGTCGCGGCTTTTGAGGAGCAGGGTCACTCACGCAGCCAGATTGCCGCCGTTGGCATCACCAACCAGCGCGAGACCACCATTGTCTGGGACAAGAAAACTGGCAAGGCCCTCCACAATGGCATCGTCTGGACCGACACCCGCTCCCAGGAACTCGTCCGCCGCCTCAAGCACCGCCTCGGCTCCAAGGAGCTTACTAGCCGCTGCGGCCTGCCGCTGTCCACCTACTCCTCGGTTGGTAAGCTTCTCTGGCTGCTTGAAAACGTGCCTGCCGTCAAGGAGGCGTACGAGAGCGGCAACCTCGCTTTTGGTACCGTCGACGCCTGGCTCGCCTACAAGCTCAATGGCGGCCCTGACAAGAACGTCCACGTCTCCGACCCTTCCAATGCCTCGCGTACCATGTTTATGAACCTTGAGACCCTCGAATACGACGCCGAGCTGCTCGACTGGTTTCGCCTTGACCGTAAAAAGGTCCAGCTTCCCAAGATTGTCCGCTCCTCCGACCCCGAGGCCTTTGGCAGCCTCGCCAACACGGCCCTCAAGGGCACCAAGATCACAGGCTGCCTCGGCGACCAGTCTGCCGCACTCGTCGGCCAAAAGGGCTTCACGCCCGGCCTGGCCAAAAACACCTACGGCACCGGCTGCTTCCTCCTCTACAACGTCGGCCCCAAGCCCATCTTTTCCACCCACGGCCTCCTGTCCACTGTCGCTTTTGATTTTGGCCCCGGCAAGACCATGTACGCTCTCGAGGGCAGCATTGCTGTCGCTGGTTCTAGCGTAAAGTTCCTGGTCGACAACCTCGGCTTCATTGAGTCGTCTTCCAAGTTGAGCGCTCTCGCCGAGACTGTCGAGGACAACGGCGGCTGCACCTTTGTTACGGCTTTTAGCGGCCTGTTTGCTCCTTACTGGATCGACGACGCCCGCGGTACCATTTTCGGCATCACTGCCTACACTAAGCGTGGCCATATTGCCCGCGCCACCCTCGAGGCTACTTGCTTCCAGACCAAAGCCATCCTTGACGCGATGGAGAAGGACAGCGGGCAGGCTCTGACTGAGCTCGCCGTCGACGGCGGCATGTGCAACTCGGATCTCATCATGCAGGTTAGTACCGACTCATGATCGACAGCAGCCACATGCAGGATTCTAACAAGATTCGCAGACACAATCAGATTTCATCGGCATTCCCGTAAACCGCCCCGCCATGCGTGAGACGACGGCTCTCGGCGCTGCCATTGCTGCAGGTCTGGCCGTTGGCATCTGGGATAGCTTTGACGACTTGAAAAACGTCAACAACGACGGCCGCACAACTTTCAAGCCACAAATCACCGCCGAGGATGCCAGCAAGCGCTTCTCCCGCTGGGAAAAAGCCGTCGAGATGAGCAAGGGCTGGGCCAACTACGACTAGACTCGGGTGGGTGGTTGATGAAGAGGGTGTACGACTATGGCGTTGTTTTTTTTTCTTGACAATCTTGTTGATACTTTTGGTTTGGAACACATGATAGCAACAGCTCTTCTTTTAACGGCTCGGAACGAGCCATGGAATGACGGAATGACGGATGCTTTACTCATGAATATAGCAAAATCCACCTTTTATATGAACAAAAGAAGATTTCTCTTTGCCGCCCACTTGATGATATGTTCATGTAACTTGCCCCTGACCGAAATGGCTCCACGCCTATTGCAATAATGCGGTACATGGCCACACTCACGGAGTTTCACCTCCTCCATTGACGTTGTTACACCAAGGCCTCTCGGGGACAAAGGCCTCTTTGGGCCTGGGCGGGCGTCGTCTGGCGTGAAGCCACAGTACAGCTAGCTGGCGGTGTGCTGCATTGATAGTCTTCAAGCAGCCCTGAACGAATGAAGCTTAGCGTTTGGAAGCTGGGGAAACGGGGTAGGTAATTTATAGCTTGTAAGAAATGAGTGGCGTGATGCTTTGCTGGGGAAAGCAACTAATGAGATGCTCGGCTCTCGATGGAAGTTCAAGATGCAAAAGCTGGGGAGTTGTCACACAGGTTCAAAGTGAACAAATTGATGCTGCGCATTGTTTGGTGGAGCTTTTGGCACGTTTACAGCGGCCCTCTAGCGCATCATCCGCCGAAACGCCCTGTAATCAAGCTGCAGCAGGCCCTGTACCTAATAAACACTGCCCACCTGGAAAGCCCATGGGTACAGTGGCACGAGTGGGTCCAAGCCATTTTGCAGAGCTGCTCGGAAATGCCTGGAGTATGACGCCAGCCTGCATCTGCACATCCTCACCACCATCTCAAGCCAAGCAAATTCTTTCATCGCTCTCCCTTCCACACACCATCTATCCGTCCATCCATACCCTTCAATTGCAGCAGTTCCACTGGGCGCCCCCGACCATCTGGTCCAAAGTTGCAAAGCTTCCGTACAGAGTACATTAGTCAGGACCTCTTTTGCCGTTTCCCTTTCACCTGCAATTGCAACCTGAACATGGGGTTCCACACAGTCGGGACACTGAGAAAGCTTCCATAAAGCTCAGCCACGACTAAGAAAAAGCGGACATGGACCTCGCAAACTCAATCCCGAACTGAATATAAATGCGGACCCAATCCTCGGTGTCCAAACTGCGAACCCGAGATCTGAGGCTGAGGCGCGTCCCAAAGCAAAATACCTCTCAATCAGTGCTAGTATTGGTAGTTACCTACCTAGGTAGCTACCTAGGTACTGTGGCAAGTGTCACAACGGCAGCGCCAGCCATTCTGCGACTCTGCTACCAACTACCTCTCTGTGAGCATCTTCTCCTCACATCTGCTTCGGCCCATCTTCTAGGCAATCTAATCTGACTTACACCTTGTTGTAGATTCTCTCCGCGCTAGATCTATATCATCTCTGCGTTATTGATCCCACCCCCTTCACTCTCCCAAGCCTGGCGCTCGCTTTGCAATATCGCCGCCAGTGGTGCCAGATCTCTCCATCTACCGTCATCGTTTCACCACTTCTTTACTTTTTTACACACAAGACCCATCTCTGGCGGGCCTTGAGCTCGGTGTGGAGGTTCTCCACGACCCTATCAGCCCTTGGACACCAATCTGCATCGTCTTGTTCGCTGCTGCTGTGTATCTTCCCTGTCCATCTGTCAAAGCTCAGTTGACACACGCACCTTGCCTTCCCAACGCAGCCCACTATAACTCGCTACTCAATGCCCGAGGAGGAAGAGGAAGTCTCGGCCGTGGTAAGCCAGCATGATGGCTCCAGCGGTGATGAGGCCAGAGACAATGCCTCGACCGACTCTGCGGGGGGGTCCAAGAAGCGCAAGCGCGGCAGATATCAAAAGACCTCGTGAGTAACCTCTCTGTCTTTGACTTTATGAGGACTGTCAGCCTTGCATACTACTGGCTTGTCTGTCTATGCGATATGACTAACCCGGCATCTCTCCAGATGCGAGCTATGCAAAGCGCGAAAGGTCAAATGTGATCGAGCAGAGCCTGCGTGCTCCTGGTGCGCTCGCCACAATCGTACCTGTGTCTATCTCGAAAGGCAAAAGCCTGGCAGCCGCATAGGCTTCAGCCTCGAGCTGGAAGCCAAGGTCAACAGAATCGATGCGCTGCTGCAAACTCTTGGTCGCCGCGTAGAGGAGCACATCGCTGAAGGCCACGCTGCGCCTCCACAGACGCTTTCACCTGCCATCAGCAACCACGCTCAGTCTCAGATTGAACTCTATGCGCAGGACAGAAACAGGAGCAGCCCTGCCAGTGCCGCCCTTCGAAACACGCCGTCAGGAGTGGGAGGTCCGCCATCTTCGCTTCCTGGCCAAAGCTGGGATGATGGCGACCAACGCCAGGGCCGAATGTCTGGTCAGGGGATGAATGTCGACTATGCCAATGTAACGCTGCATCCTCCAAGGATAGCACCACTTCGACGAGGACCGTCATCACTGTCTGCCGGTACAGACTTGCCGCCTCAAGATATCGTTTACACGCTGGTCGATCTGTATTTTAAGCACTGCAACACGTGGTCCCCCATCCTGGACCGCAAGACAACATTCACCATTTTTTTTGGTTCGACATCGTTGAGCGAGGCCGACCGAGTTCTACTGCATGCCATTGTGGCAACGACGTTACGATTTCTGAAAGATTCTAGATTTTCACCCGAGATGCGCGCCCACTACCACGAAACATCTCGCCAGATTGTGCAAATGTATGCCATGGAGCATGTTAGTGTCGAAGCTCTTCGTGCTCTCGTCATTGTTTGCCTTGACGAGCTCGGCACTTCCAACGGGCCGCGAGGTTGGAACTTGCTCACGCTGCTTGCTCAAAACGCGCGGCAGCTCAGCCTATGTGAGGAGAGCAGCGTCTTCCTTTCCGTCGAACACAGCGACGATTCGCCCATGACTGGCTCCATCAGACGCATTGCCATCGATCGGCCACAGTCTTGGATCGAAGACGAGGGCCGCAGGCGGCTCGCTTGGATGGTCTACCTCCTCGACCGATACGCGACAATTGCTACGACGACCTTTGATTTCATGTTGGATGATACCAAAATGAAGAGGGTACTGCCCTGTTCTTACGACCTCTTTTCCCGCGACATCCCTGTTGAAACACGCTCTTGGGGCTCGAGTCCCGATCAGCATGGAGCGGTTGGCCTTGTTGTAAATAAGCCCGATAATCTGGGCAGTTTTTCCTATCACTGCGAAATTTTGAGAATCTTGAGCAAAGTGCATGACTTTCTCAAGACACCTTTGGATATAACATCTTCCTCCGAAATGGCGGCTTGGAGGAATACGTATCGATCACTGGATGCTTCGCTTGATTCTTGGCTGCGAGGACTGCCAGGCGACTACAGCAAAATCTCTGCCTTGTGCCACTCGGATCCTGCAAGCCGAGTCGCCAACTGGTTTATGCTTCACAGCGCCTACGTCACGGCTGTTGTACGCCTTCACTCTTCGGCAGCATACCCGACTGTTCGATCACATCTATTTGTACCCTCGCACTATGCTATGCAACGCTGCCTGTCAGCTGTGCAGAGCTTGGGTGACATTGCGCAAGATGTGTACGAAGCCAGCGGACTGGATCATTTAGGTCCTCCATTTATATTCTCCCTTTGGGTCGCAGCGCGCCTGCTTCTTGTCCACGCTGCGACGACCTGCTGCCCGGTTGACCCGCGCATTGAATTCTTTATCGAGATTCTGGGGCATGTCGGACAGTACTGGGAGGTGGCTGATAATTATGCAAAGGTCCTCGCTCGTGTTGTTCAGCGCGGCCGACAAGGGGATGTCAATTTCAACGCCATGCGACAGTGAGTAATGCGGTGCGAGAGAGATGACAGTAGACGTGTACTGACATGGCTAATGTAGGAGCGCACACGGCCTCGTTACCCTTGCTGGATCAACCCGTCTAACAGGAATTGAGCCTACGTCTACTCATATCACCTCGCTGAGCGAGCTGGACAACATTGACGTCTTTGACTTTTTTAATTACCCTAAAATCTCCGATGCCGTGAGGCGAGCACTCAGTGGTCAATTACAGTCACAGAATACAGCAGATAGCGAGACACCAAGGCTGCCAGACCCGGAATCTGACTGGCTTGGATTCACGCCCCAAGGCTCATGAGCCATGTACCGTATACTATATTCTACCAATTCATGCATTTACACCCTAATTATGACAATGGCTACAAACTCGAGCTTGTTGAGAGGAAATGAAGCGACAGAAGGAAGCGACTCGAGAGCTTAGTGATACCAATGCGATCGATCACGGCTGACTTTGTATGGAAGACACGTATGCGTCACGACGTTACCTCTCAATCACTGAGGTTCATCGCAGCCACCAGCTCAGGTCCTGCTCCTCAGGCTGATCAGCAATGTTCTCTTGCTCAACGTGATGTTTCCGATGTTCCACCTGCGAGCTGGGCTGATTCCGGACGCCAAGAAGTGATTATGGGTTATCTTCAGACTGTTGTCGGTCATCGTGCTCCGGGTCCGCTGCCGCCGACTGGTGCGCAAGATTATGAGGACGCCGCAAGAATGCTTCTGCATAGATCAGCGCAATTCCTTATTCCAAATGGCCATTCGTCATCCTGCAAAAGCTGCGATACCGAGTACACCCTGAAGCACGCCATGACCGACACCAGGTACACAATCAGGATGTTTCGACTGTCGCCATACCCGGCGTCATTGTCCACCGCGCGTGTCCACACGAAGCCGAAATACACGCCCACAACAAGGAGTAGTGACAGGAGCGACGAAGACAAGAACATCTGCGGCGCGGGCACAGTTAAGACGAAGGTGATGCTCGGGCAGAAGTATTTTTGCGTCAGCTCACGCACACTGTTACAGGTCCTCTGACGCATCAAATCGTGGTGCTGCGGATCGCCCTGCCTTCGCGTGCCGAGAAGCTCGCCGTCAAGGGGCATACGACCGAGAATCCAGCCACAAACCTGCGTCGGCTGGTGCAGGCGACCCATGATGCGGCTTTGGGTGGTGGCGTAGTACACAGCCATGAGAGAGGCCAGGACGCTGAAGAGGGACAAAGCCCGCGCGACCCAGTGTGTACTGCTAAGCTCGGCGAACCTGGGTCCGGTGATGACTATTTGCGCTACAATAGCCGCCTATGCCTGCATCATCAGCCGACCCAGCATCATCATGTGTTTCCGTGAAGGGCCTCGTACTTACCGCCACTCAGATCATGGCGCATTCATCTTGGACAGACCTTTTGAAGTGGGCTCGCGTCGTCATATTGTAGAGTCCCGAGAACCTTGGCCTGGATGCGCCACGTCACCTGGCTGCCGAAGCAGTAGTAGAGGAGTCCTCGCAGGCCATAGAGTCGTACCAGTGCCACGGAACGATAGAAGACTAGGATCAAATAGTTGACGTAAAAGGATCCGGCAAGGCCTAGAAATTGCAACACTTCAACACATTCGACACATCCTCCATGATGAGTTTTCGTCTTGATTTAATGGCAGATGTCCCGTAACGACTTTTTCCAAGATCTCGGCTGAAAATGAAGAGTTGGGCCGGATTTGCAAAGCGGTGTGACGACGTGCAGCCTGTCCAATCGGCCAAGGTCTGCATTGTAATTTCTAAGCGCCGGGGCTGGTGAGATGGACTTTTAAAGGCTGAGAAATACCTCAGAGAGTGCAGCGCAATGCTGAAGGCTGCAAAGACTCTCGCGAGCAGAATTTCTAGGTGGCATGTAGCTGAATCAATGCGGCTTGTATGCTCATGCTGTCGTCCCTGTCAGCCAGCGCTGCCAAGGGAAACGACAGGTCCTTGGGCCGAAAGAGATCAAGGTTCTAACATCACTCGTGACTTTTTATACTTCTTCGCAGGGCAATGTGGCGGAGCTGGTTGATCTCCGGGCGTCCTATACGGTGGGGTGAACCCCCACCCGACACAACGAGTACACATATCGCACGTATATACGGATGTATAACTTGGTCGAATCCAGTCTCCAAAGATGCTCGAGTTATATGAAGCTCAGTTTTTGCTAGTTGGTGCCGTAGTAGAGCGCCATGTTTTGTCTGAGGCGAGATTCGCTACTGTCGGTAGGATGGCTGACGATGTAAGTTGGTAGATTAGCTGGATCATAGAGTGGCTGAAGATGCGCTGTTCAAACTACGGCTGCTTGTCGCCCGGCACGTCATTAATCTCGTCTTGGCCACACCAGACTGGAAAGTCCCATGATGCCTATAAGAATGGGCATACATGTATAGTTGCGGGCAACTATTGGCAGCGACCCGCCTTGTCTCGTGCCCCTTGCTCTTGGTTCTGGCAACCTTTCTTGGAGCGGTACTCGAGGTATTAAAAGCCCACACATTATGCATTATTACCAACCTTAAAAATAAAGAAGGTCCCTTGATTATGAATCTTGAGTTGCGTTGGTATTTCAAGGGCAGGTAATTATCGAGGAAACGCCGGAACTTGCGCACCATTTACCTTGACGACTTGAAGTAGATTAGGTGGTGAAAAAGCGCACATTCTTGCCATATCTGCACGTAAAAAGTTCTTTACTCTGTCGAGTTCAAATGATCAGAGAAGACCAAAGAATGGGCTTTGTCGATGCATTTAATTCGTATGCACGTGAGCCGGCGACGTAGCTGGCCAGGTAGTTGGTAATTACTTGATAGGTAGCAGTGCAAAGAAGGCTCCGCAGGCCGCGCAAGGACGCACAACAAGACCCTTGCGTCGGTTTGCCAGAGTGGGCGGGCTTCTTTCTTATCTGGTGTGTTGCAACTTGCAAGGAGAAGGACAAGGCGTAGTCATTTGCTTCATCTGGCAAAGACATGAGATGATTGGTTGATCTCGGCCGCCATGCAGTCAAAATGAAGACCACAATGCAAATTTCCAGGGCCCTAGGATCCGGGTTTCCAGGTCCCTCACTGCGTTGAAACGGTACTTGCGTGCCAAATCTCGAATGACTCGGAACCGGCGCCGTATTGAATCCGAACAGTACACAGTCCATGACGTTGTAAAAATGACAAGATTTGAAACTAGCAATCAAAGGTGAAGAATAATGTCTTTGATCTATAATTGATCGATTCAGAACCCTGGCCTTTTTGTCTTATAGTGGCGGCCAGCGCTGTTGCGAAGCGGCCGCTTAGCGATGAAAGATCGAATATGTAGGTACCTATGTATGTACAGTGGGCCCAAGGTAATCCAGAGCAAACCTACCGCCATTGAATCCCTAGACATTGCTACTGCGAATCAACTCGGGGCACTGTATATATAAAAGGGCCCTCATTGCAATCAACCAACTACTGCTACCAACAGTGAATACTGAAATTGACCAACGAGGGTTCAATAGAAGCCACACCCCACAAAGTTGGAACTTTTCCTACCGCCCAGCCCAGCCCTACCGGGCGCCAATGTGGTAACAAGGGGTTAGGTGACACCGAAAAGGGACAAGCGGCTTGGAGACAAATTCCGCTTACTGGTCGCTCGCATTCGTGGGCGAACCCGACGCCTTACGTTGACGAGACGGCAACGGGTGGGCGGACCGAAAGAAGGGGGGGCAACGTAATTCCGTTGTGGCTTGCCCGTTTCTCTAACCTTTTTTTTTTTACTGGTGGTATGAACCGAGCCATGCATTTATACAGACGCAGGAATATAATAAAATGACTTTGGCCTTTTGTTGGAGTAGTACTTTTGGTTTCACACGCTGAACCGCCACGTGTTTTCGAGCGTTAGAAAAGAACCCCCCCCTTTTCAATCCCAAAACTCCAATGCCGTCGATATGCTCTGTTTATAGGCCACTTGGTCGGAAGAGACCCTGTTTTCTCATCGCTTAGTCCCTGCTTGCCGAGCCCACTCTGGGTGGTGATGCGGCAAGGCCAGAATCATCGTCTGCGCTAACTACTGACTGGTAACATGAAGAAACTCGGGCGGGTGGTTTGGTGGAGCTATACGAAACCAAAAACCGCCCTGTGTTATTGCTCTATCTCCCTCACTCTGGTCATGGTCATGGGTGGGCGGTGATTGTAACTTGTCAGTGTTGGTGCTGCAATACCTTGTTGGGACCACCACCGCCAGCCACAGGGGATCGGTGTAGCCTCCCCCCCCCCCCTCCTCTGCTCGATTATTGCGTGTTGATGTTTGTTGGGGGGCGTGAAGAGAAGAAAGCGGGTTCGTGAGACTGTATGCTTGGTTTATAGGACGGGTGTAGCGCGCGGTCCCAGCACGGCCATGCTGATATGCTCCGCGTCAGGCTCCCCAAGACCCCATCGTGTAGCGAGTTTGCTCCTTTTTTTTTCCTTCTTGGTTTCCGAGATCTTGTTCCAATCACTATCATTGATTTTTACTCCTCCTATTCATCTTTGATAATCCTGCATTCATTCCTTATCCGTCTACGCCACAGTCCTTCCTTCATCTCTTACTGTATTAGCGCTTGAGATTTGGCTTCATCAAAACCCCCTTTGATTTTTTTTACTCGGCATCAAGCTTGGCACAGCGATACAAAGCCGTCATGGTATTGTTGTACTGCAAAAGAGCCTCCCGCGTCGCGCTGCTGGCCAGTGCGGCGGCTGCCTTCTTCCTCTTCTTCCTCCTTCATCACATCCTCTTCCCTAGCGTTGCCTCTCCCGAGAGGCTCAAAGAGGCCGCCGATACCGTCGACCACTGCGACACACCGAGAAACAACACAAAGCCCCGGATACCAAATATTGTACACCAAATATGGAAAAACAAAGATCTATCCACCTACCCACTCACGGCGTCCTCGAGCAGCTGGGAGTGGCAATTCGAAAAGGCAAACTACACCATCAAGCTCTGGACAGAAGCCGACATTGTAAATCTCGTCAAGACATCGTACCCGTGGTTCCAGTCTACCTACGAATCTTACAAGTACGACATTCAGCGCGCCGATGTTGCTCGGCTGATGGTGGTGCACCACGAAGGCGGCATCTACGCCGACCTGGATGCCTACCCCTCGGAGGATACCTCGGCCGACACGATAGCCTGCCTGCAAGCTCTCGGCTACCAGGCCATTCTGTCGCCCACCAGCGAGGATAGGGGCATCAGCAACCACTTCTTCATGGCGGAGCGCGGCTCCGAGTTTCTCCTGTGGGCGCTGCACGAGGCCAAGAAGAGGGCAACCTCGCTCTCCGGACGCTTCATGCTGCCCTACGTGGCCGTCTTCTGGTCCACGGGCCCCATGATGGTCACGGCCGTCATGAACGAGTACGCCTGGCTGTACAACCAGGCGGCCGAAATCAAATCCATGGCGGTGCTGAAGGACTCGTTCCTCCACAGCTTCGTCCACCACGCCGCCGGCAGATCTTGGCATGGCTCCGACGGGCGTGCGTTGAACTACATTGCAGATCACTTTCAGGACATCTTTGCGCCGGCTTTGATTGTTGTGGCGGCTGTGGCCACGGCACTCTTTGTCGCGCGGCGATGGAGACGGTTTCGCCCACACGTCTACAAGGCCGTCCGCTCGTCGCAAGTATAAAAGCACAGTGATATTTAAGCTTTATGGAGTACTGGCTGGAGTATGTTTTTTTTTTGTGTGTACTATTAGGTCTTTCAAGGACAGGCAGCGTCCAAAGTAATATCAGAGCCCTAGCCACATTTATAGCCTTCTGGCTGTTGGCAATGGGCACCTTCCCATCCACCTTGCCACCACTTCCCACCTTCCCAGACACATGCCAGCGTCATTTTCGATCATCATTCTTCAATCATCTTACAACACGGCTGTGGCTCCATCATCTCCTACAACACCGCTATGGCACCGGCTTAGAGCCAATATGGTCAAGATGTTTCGATCAAAGTTGAAAGCAAAGATCGAAGACCCCGAAGAATGCCGCAATAACCTCTCCCACTTGAAACGCAATGTCCCGTTGTGGCGCCAGCTTAAAAAAAAGATGTTTCGATCAAAGTTGAAATCGAAAATCGCATACCCCGAAAACCGCAGCGAGATTGGCTACCAGGTGAAACGCGGCTCTCCGCTACTCAAACTGGGTGTCTGGATGCTGGCCTTCTTTGTATACGTGGTGTCAATACGCATCATCGTTGTTCGGCATGGTTTCGATTGTGAAGTCAAAGAGACGGAACTAGGCCGCGATTACGGTTTCCTGGATTCCCTCGTGGGTTGGACATTTTGCATTGTTGCGGCGGGGGCGACGTTTTTGGTAGGACAGGGCTACTTTGGGTATGTTTTGTCTATCAGATCTCGTCGAGAATGGCCTGGCGAACAGAACTGACAAGATCAAGGCTGCGTGCTACAAGAGACATAATGGAACGCGTTCAGCATTCAGCTACAACGTTGGCCTATGTCCTTCTCAAGACGGTACGAATGCCGGACGGCGGTCACTCGCACGGTCATCTACCACTTGTGGTCTAGTATGAAGACTTGTAAAGCAAACCTGCCCGTTGAACTTGTGCTGACCAAAAGAGTGAATGCTTGGCGCTGCTGACGGCGTATCCCGTCGCGCTCTTGCACAAAGTCCGAGGAAACTGCCACGAGCCGGCGGTGACGAGATACTGCCAGCAAATTGCCTCCAACTTGAAGGCGCTACGGGATGGCGAAATAGTCATCGTCAGGCCGCCAAATGAGACGAGCTGGCGTGGTGGCCCTGGCCAACCTGATCGATTCGAATTCTTTTTTGAGCTGTTTTCTCTGCACTTGGAAGAAGAATTCAGCGATTATTGGAGAAAATCGACATTGCCCTCGATGATGCCGGAACACATCATCTGCCAGCTTCGCGATCATTTCGAAAACCTTATCGACAGCCACCGTCTCGACCCCAGCCTCGCCCCTCATGCCCGTGAGTAAAGCAAAGACAAGAAAGCGCGCCCAAGGGCATCTCTCGACGACTCCCCGCTGACCCTTGTACAGGAGAAAATATTGACATGTTGGCCCTCAGCGGGAAACAATGCAGAATATACGCTGGCTGCGATGTGATTCCCATCTGCACGCTTTGGATCATCGACATTTGCTGCCGGATGGTTGTGCTCTTTGTGCCTGTGCGGCGCTGCTCCTGGCTGGTCAAAACGGTTGGCCTGGACCTTCTTGTCCGTATCGTGCTCATCGTGGTGGCGTCGACCATGGCCATGTTGCTCCTCGCCGAGATGTGGTCATTCTGGGATCCGTTTGGCAAGGGCATGAGTACGTTTTCGTGGACGCTGGGCCTCGCTTCGGAACTTGACAATATGCTGAGTGAATTCTGGGAGAGAGAGACGGAGCGTAGGCAACATTTCATGGATCCCTCCTCCGTGTCATGTTCAACGGTGACGATGACAACGACGACAATGACAACGACAACAATGACAAGGACAACGGGGAGCGAGAGAGAGGGAAGCACAAGTAGCAGTAGCAATGAGACGAATAATGTTCACGGCTAAATGGAGCGGTAGGGAGACGACGCTAAACTCGACGATGAACAAGTCGAGTAGCAATGAAGGGAGGAATATTATTAATAGAATAGACTTTTGCAAGTATATATAGACATGTTAATACCCAGACGCTATTCAGAGCTTGAAAAAGGCATTACCTTTAGTGATTTATGATGAGTTACATGCGCCACCACCCCCACTAGGTAGGTAAGGTACCTTTGCGCATCGACAACATCAGGCGGCCCCATCAACAGCCGCCTGCCATCTACAGTGGTGTGTCCGCAGGCTAGCCGGTGATGAGGAGGGCTGGTGGCATTCTCACTGTCAACATGGCCACCTGCGCCTTGGCAAAGTGATACAAGGTGCGCCTGTACCAGAAGAGCGCCAGTGGCAGCGTGCCGCGTACTGCCGTGTGCAACTCAGCATGAGGCCAGTCTGGCGATTCGTGGACGGCCAAGCTCTGTGTTTGTGCAACTGCGGGAAGAGCGACGACCAAGTTTGCAGAGGCAATTTCTGAGATGACTGGCACATGGTCTTTGGCTGGCACATCTCACGTTTGGTAGGAAGTTTGCAGGAATGAAAGCTGACGGGCGGGCCCAAGTTTGCTTCTCAAGTTGGTGGCTGCGCTGTGTCGCTGTCCCGAGTTCGATTTTCGGGCGGCGAGCACACCTATCCGTGGGAGCACCCCCTTGTTCACACACATCTATCTGCGCGGGGAGTTGAAATCTAACTAGTTGGCACTAAAATTTTGAAAGTGTGCACATAACTAACTATGCCACCGGACAGGGGAGGGTGATTGTTGTTGCGCTCATCAGACGGCGCGGGCGATGGTGGCAATTGTTCGCGATCCAGACAATCCCTAATTCTTCGTACATGGGTGAATATTAGCACCTTAAGTTTTCACCACCAAAAGCGAAAATAATGGCAGTGTTGTTAGTTGATACTCTTGTCAGTGACCGCAGCGGTGCCGCTACGCACTCAAGGGTTGGGGAGAAGGTCGCGGATGGTCAACACGGCTGATTTAGGTACCTAACACGTCACACAATTTCCCCCACCAGCTTTGGTTCCTTGGAAGAGAGGGCTTGGAAAAACTGCGGGAATTTCCGAGTCTTTCATGAATCGTGTGTACGGACCCACTTGGAGTGAAACTCAAAGACGCAAAGGGCAAAAAATCGCATTTAGGTGGAACGGGTGAAAGCCTTAAAAGCCACCACCCACCCGTCCTCGCGCAACGGTTGCCGTACCACACTTCTTCCTTTTATCCTCTCTTTTGCTAGCATGTTCTCTCCTGCGAGGTTCCATCCAAGACCGATTTCAACGATGCGCACTCTAGAGACCGCCTCATTACGACTCAGACGAACACCACCTCGATCTCGCTGCTTTATAACATAAATAAGAATGCGTTGAGGCATATGCATAAACTCGGCGCGGCGAATGTTTAGGGTGGTCAACACGGCGCACGAAGGCTTATATCTGAAAATAAACCTCCACTCCTCAACAACAAACCAACCCAGGCTGGTGTAGTGGTTGCATACCTTGCTGACACACGGCGAAGCTGGGGCGGAAGCCTACTGCGTGGAAGTCCAGCGGAACCGTGCCCGAAAGGGACGAGGAGGACCGGGTTCGAATCCCGGGCTTGGAAACAATTTCATTTTTTGCTGCGCTCCTCATTTCGAGCCAACCCAGCCATCTAGCTAGCCTGTGGCTGTGTTGCGGTGCTTGCTCGCTCGTTGTGTGTGTTAGAGGCGAGGCTCTCTCTCTCTCTCTCTCTCTCTCTCTCTCCTGCTTTAATACAGAGGGGCAAGGGGATGTCGCGCCAGCTAGCATGCTGGTCGACCTCTCCAGATTCCATGTAGAACACGCCTCAGCATCATTACTGTCTAGCAAACAGGGAATGAAGCGGGCAAGGGTTGTACCATGTCCTCAAAGGCCGGTCAGAAAACGAATGCACAGACAGCGACACAGGCAACATGACTAGTGGGTGCAAGGTAATTCAGAGCAAATCACTAGTTAACCAAAACCCAATACATTGCTGCTTGAAATCACCTCGTGGCACTGTGCTTTGCGGTGGAGGCTTAGCAGTATTGTCAGCAGCTTAAACAGCAAGGCCTTTATAAGTCTATAAATCGAGCCGAATAGTAGTGTTTCCTTCCTGATATTTTGTGCGTATGAAAATAAGTTAGTACAAGATCTTGGCCGTCCACATGCCTACGTACATAGGTGCTGTCTAGAAACGGAACCCCCTCGATGCCACGCCAAGCCCCCCGCTAAAGTTAGCCACTTTTTATTATTTGGTAGGTAGCTCGCTGTTGAAGATGCCAAATCTGCAATCCGCAATCGTCAACTTCCAATCCTCCCTCTCTCTTCTCCTCCATACTCGTCTCAACACCCTTCATCGCCATCCCTAATGCCAATTTTTCGACAGTAGTCGCTTCTACAAACGTACATCATACCAGCGCCTGCTCCCAGGCTGAAATACTCCCGCACTACTCAAATACCCTGTTCTCCCCTAACTCCATCACGCATCTCGTCTGCTGCCACCACGCCACATCGCGACCGAATCACCACGTCACCCACACTCCCACGGGCTTCGCTGGCTGGCCCTGACGATATAAATGTCCAACCTTTTGCAATAACACGGCCCAGATACTATAGCCATGAAGCACCTGGCGTTCCTTCTTGCTGCCGCGTCAGCTTGCGTATCCCAAGCACACGCCGACTCTCCCCATATCGGTACGTCCATTCAACTCGACAATCTCGGCCCGCGCAACTTCCTTAACCCCAGCCTTGACAATGTTTCCCACGAGAAGAGCTAACACATGAAACTCAGCTCGAGTAGAGTACGCAGAGCCGCTTGACCTGCCAGAAGCCTCCGCCCAAGTCGACACACAAGATGCTGCAGTCATAGTCGACCGCGCGATAGACGCTGCACCTTCTGGATACATTCCATCCTCGTCAGCATGCCCCGATTCACCTCCCACGATCCGCTCAGGTAGCACCATCGGCCCGGATGAAAAGACATGGCTCCCCAAGCGTCGCAAAGAGACGATACCTTATATGCGCCGTCTTATCAAGCGCCTGGCCATTACCGATTTCGACAGCGAAAACTACTTTACCAATGTCACACACAATTCCACGAAGCTGCCCAACATTGCCATCGCCATATCTGGAGGCGGCTACCGTGCCATGGTTGGTGGCGCAGGCGCAATTGCCTCTTGGGATGCTCGCTCCGCTGGCAGCGAGGAGAAGGGCAACCTCGGTGGCCTGCTGCAAAGCGCAACCTATATATCTGGGCTTTCGGGCGGCGACTGGCTCGTCGGCAGCTTATATGTTAATAATTTCACCTCGGTTCAAAGCGCTGTTGACGCTCCTCTCATCTGGCAGTTGGAAAACAGCATCTTCAAAGGTATGCCCTCCATGGCCAACTACCAATTGCTCTCAATTCGATACTAACTTGCCACTCAATAGGTCCCGACCAGTATAGCGTCCGAGGATACTACACTGACATCTTCAACCAAGTAGAGGCCAAGTCCAACGCCGGATTTAACGTCTCAGCCAGCGACTACTGGGGCCGCATGCTGGCATATCAGATGGTCAACGCCAGCAATGGTGGGCCAGGATATACTTGGAGCTCCATTGCCAATGATGCAGACTTTTCAGCCGGCAGGGCGCCCATGCCATTTCTGCTCGCAAACGGCCGTAGCCTTATAAAGACTACCATTGCTTCCACCAACTCGACAGTTTACGAGTTCACACCCTGGGAGCTCGGCTCTTCGGACCCGACCCTGTCTGGATGGGTGCCGCTCCGGTACGTGGGCACAGTATTCGAAAATGGCCAAGTGGCGGACCAGGATAAATGCGTCACGGGCTTCGACAATGCCGGTTTCGTCATGGGCACCACGTCGTCCATTTACACACAATCCATCTCGTACCTCAAAGACAATAACAAGAAATACGTCCCCGGCGACGTCCCTGATTTCGCCATCAAGACGGCCGCGAAGCTCATTTCCGCGCTGAGTGACTCCAACTCGTACGATATTGCCGAATGGTCACCGAACCCTTTTCGCGGCTTCAACACGGCCACCAACCGCAACGCCAACAACTCGCGCCTCAACCTCGTCGACGGCGGTGAAGACGCCCAAAATATCCCCTTTCACCCGCACTTGCTCCCCGACCGCGATGTAGACGTCATCTTCGCCTACGACTCGTCTTCGGACACGGAGTATGGCTGGCCCGACGGCTCCGCCCTCGTTGCGACCTACGAACGCTCGCAGCAGTCCGCATTCAAGGATACGCCCTTTCCGTCGGTCCCGGACAAGAACACCATGCGCAACCTGGGCTTTAACACACGGCCGACTTTTTTCGGTTGCAACGCCACCAACTTTACCGCGCACGGCAGCGACGTCGCTCCTCTGGTCGTCTGGCTGCCTAACCACCCCTACGTCTACGACGGCAATTTGACCACATTCACCTGGACCGTCAACGACGGCGAGCGCGCCGCCATCATCGACAATGGCTGGGCCGTCGCCACCCAGCTCAATGCCACCCGAGATACCGAGTGGCCCGCCTGCGTCGCGTGCGCCATCCTTGCCCGCAGCTTCTACCGCGCCAATGCCACCGTCCCCGCGCAGTGCACCAAGTGCTACGACCGCTACTGCTGGAAGGGAAACACGAATACCACCACCCCCAGGGGACCCTACGACCCCACTTACTATGGCAAACCCATCATTGTCAACGATAACGCTGCTGTCGGCCGCGTGCCAGTCGCCACGTCCCAGCTGCTCACCGCGATGCTGTTTGTGACAATGGTGCTTGTGCTATGAATAGAAGATGGTGTTTTGAATGACGCAACGGCTGAGCGAAAAGATGGAATGATACCTTGTGACAGTTGTAATTCTTTTCTTGTTGAAATATTTAGCGGTATAAAGAGAAACTTGTCAAGTCTCTAAAATCGTCGAGTGATTAATCGCAGGCGCTGGTGCAACAATAGAGCCATTATTTTGTGTTGTACAAGTCTTTGAATATTTTGTTTTTTCCATCTTTTTATAAAACACCCTTGACAGGTTTTCCTTCTGTGACTTTGGTCATTCAAGTCCTATTTCTTGTATTACACGGCGATGCTAATCGCTGTGACTAGGCCAGCGTGCTTTCTCCCCATCTTTCCACAAGCCACAGGCTCCTGCAACTCCAAGGCGGGGCGCTGTGGCTGACCGATAATCAGCTCTTTGTCGGCCGGCTCAGGCGGACAATTCCTAAACTACCTTGCCAGGCGGCCTTTTTTTGCCCTTTTCCCAACCTTTCAACTCTGTCAGCTTCTTTTTGCTCTTGAGCTTCAACGCTCATCTAGACGGTGCCTCTGCAGCTGCGAGGGCTTTGCTTTACCAATTTATACCCGAGTTATTCTGTAGCTTGCTTTACGCCTTCCTTGCCTTGTTGCAACTCCGGTTCCCAGACAAAGGACATGCGCGCTGCAAGCTTCCAGCCAATCAATCAAGCTACCGAATAATCCGGCGTCACGAGCCATCACCTGATTGCCTGGGCACGAGAAATGGATGCCTGCCTGACCAACGCCTAGCTCAAGCCTGTGACCCCCCCATTCCCGGTCTACTTGTTCTGTTCTACAATCCGAGCTCGCTGCATTTCTCAGTCATTTTCGCTTTTGCCCAACTTGCAACATATCACCCTCATCAGCTCGCTCTTCACACTCCAGAAAACAATCAAGCTTTCGCGAAAAGCCTTGGCTTCCTCAACCCTCCTTCCTCCCTTTTGTGCCTGCATACATACAAGCTGTCATGAGTCGGGAAAATATCCCCGGCCCGGATGCGGCCCTGCGATTAAAGGATTACTCCAATGGCTCGACAGCGCAATCCGCGCCGGCTACCCGGGCCGCTCAGCATCCTTCCGGTAAGGCCGGGCATGGCGTGGTTGTCAAGTTTCTGCGCGGCCTTGCCTTTGCCGTGTACTTTTGGTCCTGCTGCTTCGTGTAAGTTTTTTTTTTTTTTTTGTTTTGACATGCTTTTTGGGGAATGCCCGACAAGAAATTAGAGACCGCTGGCTAACAAACTTAACTGCAGCATCGCAATCACCCAGCTGGTTGGCGCACCCCTCTACTTTGTCAACAAGGACATGTTTTACGCCTACATGGCCATGACCAAACGGTCCTTTGCCCTCGTCATTATTGTTATGACCAGGATCTGGGGGCGGACTACCATTCGTGTCAGCGGCGACGAGTCTGTGGCTGGTCAGATCAAGACGATGCCAGACGGCACTGTTCAGTTTGACTTTCCTGAGCGCATGGTCATGATTGCAAATCATCAGGTGGGATATCAAAGTTGCCTTTTTTCTATTCTCATCATCCCGCTGACATCTCTCAGATTTATACAGACTGGCTATATCTTTGGTGGGTTGGGTACGCCAATCGTGTTGCCATGCATGGCCACATCTACATCATCCTCAAAGACTCTCTTCGCTGGATCCCTATCATGGGAACTGGCATGATGTTTTTTGGTTTCATATTTATGTCGCGCAAGATGGCAACGGATCGCCCGCGTCTCGCGCACCGCCTGCAGAAGCTCTGTCAGCTAAAGACGGCTCCCAACGGAAACAAATATTACGACCCAATGTGGCTCCTCCTTTTCCCCGAAGGTACTAACCTATCCTCTAATGGAAGACGCAAATCCTCGAATTGGGCGGCCAAAAATGATCTCAAAGATCCGGAACACGTCATGCTACCCCGAAGCACAGGCACATTCTTTTGTCTCAACGAGCTCAAAGGCTCGGTAGAATATGTCTATGACTGCACAGTGGCCTATGAAGGTATCAAGTAAGTCTCGCCAGATTTCTTTCGTCATCTCTTCAATTTAGCACCTTGAAAACAATTTTTTTTTAACTTGCCTCATAACACAGACGTGGTCAATATGGAGAAGAATTCTTTACGCTAAGCGGCACCTATTTTGCTGGCCGCCCTCCCAAGTCTGTCAACTTTCACTGGAGAAGATTCCGCTTGGACGATATCCCTCTCGATGACCCAAAAGAGTTTGAGGTGTGGTTGCGAAACGAATGGTACAAGAAGGACGAGCTCATGGAGATTTACTTGAAAGAAGGTCGCTTCCCGTCCATAACTGACTCGACGACTCCGTATGTCGAGACAGAGGTCAGAACTCGGTCTCCTTTTGAGATTTTCCAAATTTTCTCTGTTGTTGGTATTATTTGGCTGATGTGGAACAATGTCCGAAAGCTCTACGCCGTTCTCACCCAAATGTTTGAGTAAGCGCCTGCGCTAGCAAACTTTGCATTTTACTCCCTCTCGAACCTCTGCATGGGTTTTTTTCTCGTGGACAAAACATTTTTACCTTTCTATCGGATCCCGTTCTGCGGCTCTGGATTTTGGCTCAACGTCTCGGTTGGCCGTGACCATGACCGCCGTTGTATGAACTGCGATTGCCCCCTCCGGCGGCTCGTGACGGCTCGCATAGCATTGCTTCTTCGAATGGCATGTGAGGAATTGTCCTCGAGTGCTGTTCATCATTCTGCCAGGTGCCACATCCGAGCAGGGCCTCGTCTTGACTTGGGCACTGAAGCCAGTACTCCGGAGGGTAGTTGGTATCAAGATCATCTGTCAACTTGAGAGTCATGAATGGTGTATCACCTTTCGCCGTGTCTTTGACTGACAATCTCTGTGGCGAATTGCTCCAGTCGGACTGGGAGGATGAGATCCTGATCGGTGTCTCTTCAATATCAAGTGTGCGTCGAAACTTTGACTGAAGCTCCGTGCTTTGATGCCAGTTGCCAGGGGGACAGCACTTCTTTGATCTATGCAGACCCGAGTTGCCATGGGAAGATGAAGAGATGCGAGAGTCCTGCCAGTCTGCGCTGCTGAAGACGAGGTGCGGTGGTGTAGGATGTGACGGCATGTCATCTGCCATGGCAAGTGAATGGGGTCGCTTTGGCATATTGAGGAGGAACGTTGTGGATATGGGGGAAGATGTCTGGACTTGGGGCAGTGTGGTGATTGAGGAAGGTATGCTCATGTAGCAGAAGGGGTAGCGGCAGGGTACCAAGGGCAAGGCAGTATGGGTGATGGCAGGTGGTATAAAGACGCATATGGGATGGGCACTTTTGTGGAGGCCCGGACGGGTTGGGGGCAATGCCTTGAGAACAATGCAAAGGGAAAGCAAAGAAATGGCCAAAACTATGAAGAAAGGGCAAGAGATGGGGAAACGAAAGAGGAGGGTGTGGAAGGGTATTTATGTGCGGGCAAAAGACCTGGCCAGTCTGGCGAGTGGCCAATCAGAGGCCAGGACTGCCAACCCATGGCACGCTTCTCAGCTTGACATGCCGCTCCGATTTTGCCAAACCACGATCATTGTCTTGACTATTACGATATATGAATAGATTTCTTCAGATCAATGCCGGACTTGGGTCTTCCATGTGCTGGGATGCTTGTTGTGCGTGCAACGGCATGTCCTCATCGCCCACTTACACACGAAGTGCCGCATCGGCGGCGTCAGCGGTGCTTCGACGTAATCAATGGCAGATCTCGAAGCCCGAAAGCTTAGCCTGGTTCTTTGAGAAATTTCTGAGATGAAGAATCTGCATATTTGCGTCGTTGCGTGGCTGTCAAGTGTAGTCGTTTTGTAATGGTGACTTGCAATATCAGACGAGTGAAACAGGCCACGGGCGGATTCTGGAACCTCTGCTCGTCTGCTCACAAATATGAAATTGTTGCCATCTTTTCCATGACATTGGACTTTGTCTATACTTTATATGTGCATTGAGTGCATGTATGGATATCTACGGACAACAACGTCAGTCCCCCCTGTTAGTGTGTCTGGGTAGGATACAGGAGAGGTGAGGAGACATCAAGACGAGGGTACGCACTAAAAGACTACCGGCCAGCACAGCAACACGGTTGTGAAAAAAAAAAAAAAGAATGAGAGTCCAAGTGACATCTCGGCTATAATACTTGTGAAAGTCCGTTTTTTTAATTGATCTTGACAGCAATTGCGCTGAAAATCGGGTTCATGTCGTTCTGCCCGTACCAATCGTCGTTGGATTTGGCTGGTGGCTAGGCAGGCGGGTCGATCTGCTTCCT